TACCGAAAATTCGGCAGAGTCTACCCTGTAAATAGCCTATTCCCAAATATTTCCACCTGTACAAAAAGCAATATACATATATCCACAATCGCTTAGCATGCTCAATACATAATTCAAGCAACCAACATCTAATGTTTATGGCCTTAGGCCTCTCAAAACCAAATAAAATGTTCTGCAAACAAAACGGATCCAAAGAAACAACATGAATACATTTATAGATTTCAAAATAACTTAATTGAACAGCTTTTCAATCACTTGGTCTTGTGGCTGCACCTAGTAACTCTAGGTTGCCTACGTACCCTGAACAAGGGATTAAGCCACATGTAGTTCTTCTCCTTTTTATACTGCACTTATGTATCTTGTCAATTGTTATTGTCCATTGTGATTGCAAATCAATCCAAGTTCTCATGTTAGCGATATGCTCAATAACATTCACATGCTATACTCGTACATAAATTGAACAGGCATATTTATATTTATATAATATTTCACACGTTTACATAAATCATTAAATCAGTTAAAGCATTGAAAAATCAATATTTCACTTCCACCTAGGTGTACCCATTATATAACTGTCAATTCCTTAATTTCTGTCAATTCCCACAGTATACCGTCAATTCCTCATGTCACAATTTGTGACACGTCCTCGCAGGTCTCGGTAACACAAAGTCGACCCGAGCCGCAATCCTTGGAGGACTCAGGGGACAATTTAGTCAACCTGATTCGCATTTCCTCACTCCGCATGGTCCGGGTATCCCTAGGACTCGTGGGGCAACTGTCAAGCGTGCTGACATAACCAAAGGCAACAATAATCCGAAAGCAACATGATAACCGAGGCAACATTATAACCGAAGGCAACATTATAATCGAAGGCAACATGGGTACCTATGGTGGTTTAAAAACATTTCCTGAAAAATTATAAAACTATTCCTCAATTCATCCTTAAATCCTGTTGCAATTATCCTTTATACTTTCCAAGCCCTTCTCATTTTAAATATAAACAGAATATAACAAAGGTATTTGAATTCAAATAGTTATGGAACTTTGACATCCAAGTAATTGTAAAAGGGGTCCTTAATATTGTAAACCGTTGTGTTTATAAGAATAAGGACTACATTTACTTCTCCTAGGTCCATCCTTACCTTAACAATGTAAGAGAGATCCTTTCTAATGTAAATTATAGTATTATAAGATTATGGATTATAAGGAACCTTAACGTTGTAATTATGGTGCAAAATTGCATAAATGGGAACCCAAATCTTGTTATATACCAGATTAAGGATCCATTTTATAAGTATATGGAAAGTTTACGTCTAAACCATTGTAATACGAGCCCTTATTGCTGTAAACTATTGAGTTTACAAGAATAAGGACCAAGTTTACATCTCCAAGGTCCACCCTTGCCTTAATATTGTAATGGATATCCTTTCTATTGTAAATTACGATATTACAAGTTTACGAATACACTTTACAAGTTTATGGAACTTTGACATCCAAGTAATTGTAAAAAAGGTCCCTAATATTGTAAACTGTTGTGTTTACAAGAATAAGGACCACATTTACTTCAACAATGTCCATCCTTACCTTAACATTGTAAGATAGATATTTTCTAATGTAAATTATAGTATTATAAGATTATGAATTATAAGGACCCTTAACTTTGTACTTATGGTGCAAAAACACGTAAATGGGAACCTAAATCTTGTAATATACCAGATTAAAGATCCATTTTATAAGTTTATGGAACGTTTATGTGCAAACCATTGTAATATGAGTCCTTATTGTTGTAAACCGCTGTGTTTACAAGAATAAGGACCAAGTTTACATCTCCAACGTCCACCCTTGCCTTAATATTTTAAGGGATATCATTTCTATTCTAAATTATGATATTACAAGTTTATGGATATACTTTATAAGTTTATGGAACTTTTACGTCCAAGTAATTATAAATGGGTCCTTAATATTGTAAACCCTAGTGTTTACAATAATAAGTTTCACAATTACTTCTCTAAGGTCCACATTTACCTTAATGTTGTAAGGGGGATCATTTTCTTTGTAAATGAGTATTACAATGTTATGGATTAGGAATCACCTTAACGTTGTAACGAAAGTGCAAAGTCTAATAAATGCGAAACCAAATATTGTAATGTACAAACTTAATGATATGATTTACAAGCTTATGGAATGCGTATGTCCATGATAGTGTAATAGTAGTCCTTAATGATGTAAACTATTGTGTTAAGGACCCAATTTTACTTCTTCAATGTCTACTCTTACCTTAGCATTGTACTATGGGTCATTTTCTTTGTAAATTAAGCTATAACATATTTATATATATATATATATATTTCATTTAATATTTATTTATAATTCTATATTATAAATATAGAATTATTATATTTGATTATTTTTATTATATATATATATTTTTATAAATACACAATGAAAAAATAAAAAAGAAATTGCATTGAAAACATGAAGAAAAAAATTTGATTAGTAATTGATCGATTTTACAAAGAAGTATTTATATGATCATATGCTTGTGTATGATAATGTTCTTCTGCTTAGCAATAATATGTTATATGATATGCAAATATAGACTTTACTTTAAATTAAGAATCAATTTTATAAAACTCTATATTCTTAGATTTTAAATTATTAGCAATAATATGTTATATTATATGCAAATATATACTATACTTTAAACTAAGAACAAGTTTATAAAAATCTATATTCTTAGATTTTAAAAAATTTGGTGAAATAACATTTGTAAAATTTTTATGTATTTTAAGCACACAAAAATTTCAATGAACGAGATACATATTTTATAAATGGTAATCAAGATGTTATCATGATTACTTAAAATTGAAATTTAAAATAATCACAAATAAATAAATATTTTACATGTAAAAATCTAATGTTTTACTAACTACTTTTTGAAACTTTAGGTCATTTTATTATTTTTCCTAATATTTTACTAAAATATTTGGTCTTTTATTTATAGAAATCATTCACATGCTAGTTACTGGTGGAGTAATAGAGAAATAATAAAAGTGAGATTAGTGGAAGAAAAACATGGAACAAATTTTTTAATGCCTATTATTATTATTATTATTTTAATTTAAATATATTTAAAATTTTCTGTTAATTGTAATTTTCTTTTAATTTATATTGGTTTTTTCAGTTAATTACATTCTCACTTTAAGTTTTCGTATACATAAACATCAACCCAAAAGAGAAATTAATAAATAATAAAAAACTAGCATACTATTCATATACATTAAATCAACTCAAAAGAGAAATAATATATATATATATATATATATAAACATGCTTTTTGTCTTTTTTATATAGCCCATGTTGGCTGTTAGCTTTTTTGGTTTTTTTTTCTCTTTCCTCCTTCATCGGTTGTACAGGTTGGTGGGATTCAATTTCAGTGTTTATTAAGAGCCATAGATTTAAAGTGATCTAATGGCTGAAATTTGGGCGCATCCATGCACCTGGCGCATGGTAGAATTTTTGGTGGGGCGTCCTAGAGGGGAAAAGATGTTATTTTCATCATTTGTACTCCATGAATGGCCATAGATCATTCAATCAAACTCATGAATTTTTTACGACCACACAATTTCCAGCAATTATTGGGGCAATAATGTCTGTCAGTTTGCGCATGTTTTGGGCACAAGTTACAGGACCTGAGTCTAAATGCACCAATGTAAGGTTTGGAATCATGCATTCCGCTACTTTTCTAGTCACAAGTAATGAGCTCGTCTTCACCAATGACTACGTAAAAATTAGGTGGGAGTGATTTCGTATCATGAGAATATTCGTCCAAGATTCTGTCTTCCTCTTCACTTCTCTTTTTCCATGCAAAACAAATTGGAATAAGAGGACCACATCCGGGGGTATTGGCCAAATACCTTCGATACCTAAGTTAGTTCGAGTGTTTGTAGGAAAGCAATAGCTAACAAAAGGGTACGGAGATGTATGTATGGTGTGAATCGGGTGGCTGGAGCCGTGTGTGGTGGCTGGAGCCTTATGTGGGAGAGAGAAAGAGTTATGGCGCCTAGGGTTCGTGAGATGGAATTTCTGTAGAGTTATGGCGGCTAGGGTTTGTGAGATGGAATTTTTGTAGAGTTTCATACAGAAGTTTAGACATAGGTTTAGAGTTACCTCAAGCCTTGGTGTAACCATGTATTTATAGGAGCCTCATAGGTTAGGATTTCGGAAGAATAATTTCACATATGGAAATGAATTATTCTTCCCCAATTTGAAGGGATTGACGTAATTAGGGATTTGATTTAAATCAAATCCCTAATTATGGTAAGAATCGAATAATTGCCAATCGAATCAAATAACTCCTAATTAGGCCAAATAATCCCCAAATGGAAGGAAATATTTGACCTAGGGTTTTGCTAAAATTTGGTTCCCACAAGTTCCATGGTAGATTACAGTTGGAGGTTTAAATTTGCCTTTTCGGGCCATGGGTGCAATCACTTGGAAGCTGCCTTCTTTGAATCCTTCAAACACATTCCTCTCGATCCTGCTTTATCTTTATGAGTGACGTTTATTAAGTGTATATGAGATCAATTACCCTAATCTTTGAGTCTGCTCTGATTTCACTATCTTTATATTGCATATATGCATAATTTTTCCAGTTCAGATAAACATGTACGCCATAAAAAAATTCATCGCGGTTTATATGTAACAGAAAATAAAAAAGAAAATACCATTTTTTCGCTGTTCATTTTTTCATGCAATGTTGTTAACAAGTGGGGTTGACATGATATCTTTTACTGTCAAACGGAGATTTTGTGAAGCGAGTTTGCAGCACATTGGCCTTTTATTTGTGCTCAAAGTTATACATTGACAAGAAAGCAAGTTTTGAGTAGCTTAATGAAACCTTATTCACCAGGATGACAAGGAAAGTGATGAAAAAAGTAGAACAGAGACAAACGAAACGAAATGGTACAACAACAATTATATATATTTTAGTATTGAACTTATGAAAGAGGAGGTGGAGCTGAGACTTCAACAGTTCCTTCAAGCATCAGTGTGACTTTCTTCATGGTGGGTCTGAGTGATGGATCCTCCTGAATGCACCATATTGCAATCATCACATACTTCTCCATGTCATTGATTTCCTCATCATTCTCGAAGAGCTGGTGCAGCTTCTTTTGCATATAGCAATCATATGCCCAATCAGCTAGTATCATTTCATCTTCATTGTCTGCCACTGCTTCAAAATGCTTCCTGCAGAAAATAATCTCTAACAACAAAATGCCATAGCTGTAAACATCAACCTTGACTGTGATAGGTAAGCTTCTGAACCATTCAGGGGCCACATACCCTCTGGTTCCCCTGATAGCAGTCATGCTTCGAGTCTGGTCCAATCTCAAAAGCTTCGCTAATCCAAAGTCAGAAATTCTTGCTGTGAAATAGTCATCAAGAAGAATGTTTTGAGGCTTGATGTCACAATGAACAATTTGGCTGCTGCACTCCTCATGCAAATACACAAGCCCTCTTGCAATTCCCAAGGCAATTTGCCTTCTCTGGTACCAGTTTGGCATTGATTCTCCAAAGAGGAAGCTTGCTAGAGAGCCGTTGCTCATAAACTCATATACAAGAATTTGGTGCTCCCCCTCATTACAAAATCCAAGTAGCTGGACTAAATTTCGGTGATTTGTTCTGCCGATAGCACTCACTTCAGCTTTGAATTCCAAATCATTTTCTCTGACCTTAGCGTCTAAACGTTTGACAGCAACACACCTTCCAGTATCAGACGCTAAAACTCCTTTAAAAACTGTTGCAGAAGCACCACGTCCTAGTTCTTCCTTGAATTCGTTCGTAGCTTTTTTTAGCTCCTCATAAGTGAAATACTTCAAATTCATGCCTGACATGACTGGACGAGGTTGAATGACCTTTTCTTTTCCAGAATAGATGCGAGAAACAACCAAATAGGTTATTAATGGTAAGAGGATGTACAGGACCCCAGAGCTACTCAGGAGCACTGATCCAACAAGTATCAGAGTTGAATTATCTTTCTTTTTTGTGATTGCACCTCCACCTGACCAAGTAGAGTTGTCTTTCCCAAATTTGATCAGAGCTTTTGAATTAACACTACTAGGGTCAATCATCCCATTCGAAAAAGGAAGTCTCTTCTTGTAACAGTCTCCAGCCAGGTTGACAATTGCAACAGCACAAAAACAATCATCTAGGCAATTCTGTCTGCACCAATCCTCAGATACGTTCTTAAAATGCTCATAATCTCCATAAGGAAAATTTGTGTTTTGCATGTCTTTAAAATCGAAATGATGCTCTGGTGAGGCCTGGTCACAATTTTGTGGAACAAATGTTCGTTTACATCCTTTGCGCACATCATTTGGATCAAAAAAGATGTAACCATGAGGGCACTCGCAAATTGGTCCTTCCTCTCCACGGCTACATAAGCTGTTGAATCCACATGCACCACCGCCCATCTCTCCCGCAACTGAAAAACAGATATTTTCAGGTATGGAAACTGGAGCAGACCAAGCCATGGGCCGACGTTCGGCAATTGAGCTAGCACTTTTAGGATAAACATAGTGCCTCAAAACTCCATCATGCACTAAAGTTGCTCTCTGGTAGAAATTTTGTATTGAAACTGCATATGGTGATATGGTATTGATTGCGCTTCCATTCCTGGATGCAAGGTAAATGAGGCCAGACTGGTTGAAGATGAGCTGAAATCCAGTATCTGTTTTGGTTGACCAATAAGCAGAATTGGCAGAGTCTTGTGGGAAATTTGTAGTGTAAAGCACGAGATTTCCATCAGATTGTAGTGCAAACATGAATCTACCTCTTGAGTAATTTGTAGCCGTGTAGCGAGCATAGAGGCTGTTGTTTTGATTTAGAGTCTGTGTTGGCAGGATTGTATCAGTTGGGTATTCAAAACTCTGCCACAACAGCGTGCTTGAATTTCGGTTGGCCAGCACGAAATTTCCAGTGTCTAGCATGGCTGCATAGGCGACTTCAGTACCAGCAGATTCCGCATACCATATTCTCTGGCCAGTTGCATCTTTGAGCATAAACTGGCCATCACGTGTAAGTTCAACTTGGGATCCTTGTGGCACAAGATTATTCCCATTGGCTGACCAGACAATAGTTCTCTCTGGTATCTTATTGAACCAGATGGCCAGTAAGAACCCATCTTTTACAATCTGTTGAAAACCAAAAGCAAATTCACCAGATGGTGATGGCCACGATGAGTTCTCGTCATTTCGTGCAGTGAGGGATGAGTTTAAAGATATGTTTCTGGATGTTTGAGCTATGGTGGAATATGGGAGAATCATGAAAAGGAAGAAGCAGAGAAAATCGAGCACGGAAAAAACCATGGTAAGATGAGCGTTTTGCAACAGCCTTCTTTCCTGCCCTCCCTGGCTTAAAAGAAGCATTCTTTTTCTAACCCCCTCATTGGGTTGCAGCCAATTTTGAACATTCAAAATTGAATGTGGTCCTAGTGGGAAAAATATATTATTTTCATCATTTGTATTTTGTACTCCGTGAATGGCTATAGATCTTTCAATCAAACCCATGAATTTTCTATGACCGCACAATTTCCAGCAATTATTGGGGCAATAGTGTCCGTCAGTTTGCATTGGGTTGCAGCCAATTTTGCTTAGCAATAATATCTATATATATAAAGCAAAAGGCAAAGAATGGTGAAACATTCAAAATATCAGTAAATGCTCTTGCTTAATTCAATCATTAAGAATTGAAATTATTAATTAAATGAGGATAATATGGTAAATTCACATTTTTTTTCATATTAAAAAAATTAAAATTAAAAACAAAATCAAATAATAGGTCCTACTTTTATGGAATATAACTACCTATGTTATATTTGCTTAATTATAAAAATAAAATAAAAAATAAAAAATAAAACTAATTGGCACATGCCAAGGGGCTAGTGTTATATTATATGCAAATATAGACTATACTTTAAATTAAGAATCAATTTTATAAAAATCTATATTCTTAGATTTTAAATTATTAGCAATAATATGTTATATTATATGCAAATATAGACTATACTTTAAACTAAGAACAAGTTTATAAAATCTATATTCTTAGATTTTAAAAATTTTGGTGAAATAACATTTGTAAATTTTTTATGTATTTTAAGCACACAAATTTTTCAATGAACGAGATATATATTTTATAAATGGTAATCAAGATGTTATCATGATTACTTAAAATTGAAATTTTACATAATCACAAATAAATAAATATTTTACATGTAAAAATCTAATGTTTTACTAACTACTTTTTGAAACTTTAGGTCATTCTATTACTTTTCCTAATTTTGGTCATTCCTAATATTTTTATATTTTACTAAAATATTTGGTGTTTTATTTATATCATTCACATGCTAGTTACTGGTGGAGTAATAGAGAAATAATAGAAGTGAGATAGAAGAAAACATGGAACAAATTTTTTAATGCCCATTATTATTATTTTAATCTAAATGTATTTAAAATTTTCTGTTTATTGTAATTTTCTTTTAATTTATATTGGTTTTTCCAGTTAATTACATTCTCACTTTAAGTTTTCATATACATAAACATCAACCCAAAAGAGAAACTAATAAATAATAAAAAACTAGCATACTATTCGTATACATTAAATCAACTCAAAAGAGAAATAAATAATATATATATATATATATATAAACATGCTTTTTGTCTTTTTTATATAGCCAACTGTCAGCTTTTTTGGTTTTTTTTTCTCTTTCCTCCTTCACCGGTTGTATAGGTTGGTGGGATTCAATTTCAGTGTTTATTAAGAGCCATAGACTTAAAGTGATCTAAGGGCTGAAATTTGGGCGCATCCATGCACCTGGTGCACGGTAGAATTTTCGGTGGGGCGTCCTAGAGGGGAAAAATATGTTATTTTCATCATTTGTACTCCATGAATGGCCATAGATCATTCAATCAAACTCATGAATTTTTTACGACCACACAATTTCCAGCAATTATTGGGGCAATAATGTCTGTCAGTTTGCGTATGTTTTGGGCACAAGTTACAGGACCTGAGTCTAAATGCACCAATGTAAGGTTTGGAATCATGAATTCTGCTACTTTGCAAGTCACAAGTAATGAGCTCGTCTTCCAATGACTAAGTAAAAGTTAGGTGGGTGCGATTTCATATCATGAGAATATTCGTCCAAGATTCCGTCTTCCTCTTCGCTTATTTTTTTTCCTGCAAAACAAATTGGAATAAGAGGACCACACCCGGGGGTATTGGCCAAATACCTCCGATGCCAAAGTTAGTTCGAGTGTTTGTAAGAAAGCAATAGCTAACAAAAGGGTACGGAGATGTATGTATGGTATAAACCGGGTGGCCGGAGCCGTATGTGGTAGCCAGAGCCTTGTGTGGGAGAGAGAAAGAGTTATGGCGGCTAGGGTTTGTGAGATGGAATTTTTGTAGAGTTTCATACAGAAGTTTAGACATAGGTTTAGAGTTACCTCAAGCCTTGGTGTAGCCATGTATTTATAGGAGCCTTAGAGGTCAGGGTTTCAGAAGAATAATTCCACATATGGAAATGAATTATTCTTCCCCAATTTGAAGAGATTGACATAATTAGGGATTTGATTGAAATCAAATCCCTAATTATGGTAAGAATCGAATAATTGCCAATCGAATCAAGTAACTCCCAATTACGCCAAATAATCCCCAAATAAAAGGAAATATTTGACCTAGGGTTTTGCTAAAATTCGGTTCCCACAAGTTCAATGGTAGATTTACAGTTGGAGGTTTAAATTTGCCTTTTCGGGCCATGGGTGCAATCACTTGGAAGCTGCCTTCTTTGAATCCTTCAAACACATTCCTCTCGATCCTGCTTTATCTTTATGAGTGAGGTTTATTAAGTGTATATGAGATCAATTACCCTAATCTTTGAGTCTGCCCTGATTTCACTATCTTTATATTGCATATGCATAATTTTTCAAGTTCAAATAAACTAAAAAATTCATCGCGGTTTATATGGATCAAATACTGAAAATACCATCTTTTATTTATGTAACAGAAAATAAAAAAGAAAATACCATTTTTTCGCTGTTCATTTTTTCATGCAATGTTGTTAACAAGTGGGGTTGACATGATATCTTTTACTGTCAAACGGAGATTTTGTGAAGCGAGTTTGCAGCACATTGGCCTTTTATTTGTGCTCAAAGTCATACATTGACAAGAAAGCAAGTTTTGAGTAGCTTAATGAAACCTTATTCACCAGGATGACAAGGAAAGTGATGAAAAAAGTAGAACAGAGACAAACGAAACGAAATGAAATGGTACAACAACAATTATATATATTTTAGTATTGAACTTATGAAAGAGGAGGTGGAGCTGAGACTTCAACAGTTCCTTCAAGCATCAGTGTGACTTTCTTCATGGTGGGTCTGAGTGATGGATCCTCCTGAATGCACCATATTGCAATCATCACATACTTCTCCATGTCATTGATTTCCTCATCATTCTCGAAGAGCTGGTGCAGCTTCTTTTGCATATAGCAATCATATGCCCAATCAGCTAGTATCATTTCATCTTCATTGTCTGCCACTGCTTCAAAATGCTTCCTGCAGAAAATAATCTCTAACAACAAAATGCCATAGCTGTAAACATCAACCTTGACTGTGATAGGTAAGCTTCTGAACCATTCAGGGGCCACATACCCTCTGGTTCCCCTGATAGCAGTCATGCTTCGAGTCTGGTCCAATCTCAAAGCTTCGCTAATCCAAAGTCAGAAATTCTTGCTGTGAAATAGTCATCAAGAAGAATGTTTTGAGGCTTGATGTCACAATGAACAATTTGGCTGCTGCACTCCTCATGCAAATACAAAAGCCCTCTTGCAATTCCCAAGGCAATTTGCCTTCTCTGGTACCAGTTTGGCATTGATTCTCCAAAGAGGAAGCTTGCTAGAGAGCCGTTGCTCATAAACTCATATACAAGAATTTGGTGCTCCCCCTCGTACAAAATCCAAGTAGCTGGACTAAATTTCGGTGATTTGTTCTGCCGATAGCACTCACTTCAGCTTTGAATTCCAAATCATTTTCTCTGACCTTAGCGTCTAAACGTTTGACAGCAACACACCTTCCAGTATTAGACACTAAAACTCCTTTAAAAACTGTTGCAGAAGCACCACGTCCTAGTTCTTCCTTGAATTCGTTCGTAGCTTTTTTTAGCTCCTCATAAGTGAAATCCTTCAAATTCATGCCTGACATGACTGGACGCGGTTGAATGACCTTTGCTTTTCTAGAATAGATGCGAGAAACAACCAAATAGGTTATTAATGGTAAGAGGATGTACAGGACCCCAGAGCTACTCAGGAGCACTGATCCTACAAGCATCAGAGATGAATTATCTTTCTTTTTTGTGATTGCACCTCCACCTGACCAAGTAGAGTTGTCTTTCCCAAATTTGATCAGAGCTTTTGAATTAACACTAGAGTCAATCATCCCATTCGAAAAAGGGAGTCTCTTCTTGTAACAGTCTCCCTTCATGTTGAAAATTGCAACAGCACAAAAACAATCATCTAGGCAATTCTGTCTGCACCAATCCTCAGATTCGTTCTTAAAATGCTCATAATCTCCAAAAGGAAAATTTGTGTTTTGCAAGTCTTTAAAATCAAAATGATGCTCTGGTGAGGCCTGGTCACAATTTTGTGGAACAAATGTTTGTTTACATCCTTTGCGCACATCGTTTGGATCAAAAAAGGTGTAACCATGAGGGCACTCGCAAATTGGTCCTTCCTCTCCACGGCTACATAAGCTGTTGAATCCACATGCACCACCGCCCATCTCTCCCGCAACTGAAAAACAGATATTTTCAGGTATGGAAACTGGAGCAGACCAAGCCATGGGCCGACGTTCGGCAATTGAGCTAGCACTTTTAGGATAAATATAGTGCCTCAAAACTCCATCATGCACTAAAGTTGCTCTCTGGTAGAAATTTTGTATTGAAACTGCATATGGTGATATGGTATTGATTGCGCTTCCATTCCTGGATGCAAGGTAAATGAGGCCAGACTGGTTGAAGATGAGCTGAAATCCAGTATCTGTTTTGGTTGACCAATAAGCAGAATTGGCAGAGTCTTGTGGGAAATTTGTAGTGTAAAGCACGAGATTTCCATCAGATTGTAGTGCAAACATGAATCTACCTCTTGAGTAATTTGTAGCCGTGTAGCGAGCATAGAGGCTGTTGTTTTGATTTAGAGTCTGTGTTGGCAGGATTGTATCAGTTGGGTATTCAAAACTCTGCCACAACAGCGTGCTTGAATTTCGGTTGGCCAGCACGAAATTTCCAGTGTCTAGCATGGCTGCATAGGCGACTTCAGTACCAGCAGATTCCGCATACCATATTCTCTGGCCAGTTGCATCTTTGAGCATAAACTGGCCATCACGTGTAAGTTCAACTTGGGATCCTTGTGGCACAAGATTATTCCCATTGGCTGACCAGACAATAGTTCTCTCTGGTATCTTATTGAACCAGATGGCCAGTAAGAACCCATCTTTTACAATCTGTTGAAAACCAAAAGCAAATTCACCAGATGGTGATGGCCACGATGAGTTAACGTCATTTCGTGCAGTGAGGGATGAGCCTAAAGATATGTTTCTGGATGTTTGAGCTATGGTGGAATATGGGAGAATCATGAAAAGGAAGAAGCAGAGAAGATCGAGCACGGAAAAAACCATGGTAAGATGAGCGTTTTGCTACAGCCTACTACAAATTGATCAAACTTTACTAAAAAAATTCCATGTATAGATTTAGCATCAATTAAAATATATTATCTTTGTCAATGCCCTTTATTTTAATGGCTCTCAGCTTGACTTTGTATTAAATTAGACTGGATTTAAAGCACAACCAGGGCAACAATGATGAGCTCATGTTCATCAATGATATGGTGCTGAAGTCTTTTCCTAAGACTTTTTTTGCTGGGAAAAAACCATAGTAAGATGAGCGTTTTGCTACAGCCTATAGGAGTGGGATGTATTAAGTGTATAGTGAGATGCTTCTTTCCTGTCCTCCCTGGCCTAAAATAAGCATTCTTTTTCTAACCCCCTCATTGGGTTGCCGCCAATTTTGAACATTCAAAATTCAAAATTGACTGCGGTCCTAGAGGGAAAAAGATGTTATTTTCATCTTTTGTACTCCATGAATGGCCGTAAGTTTTCGATGTGGGTCGTAGATTACTAACTGAAAGTGGCAGTTTTTCCTTGCTTTGAGTCATAGTTTTTCCTTACGTGCAAGTCAATTGTGCAAGGTTTTTCTATTTGTAATCTATGACGTGCAAGTCATAGATTACTCATCTTTTAAACTTGCAAGCTGTTGGGATATTAATGAAAGAATTTGAGTATGAATTGGATACCCCCCCCCCCTTAAGTTTGGTGGAATTGGAAAGCATTTGAGCTGAATTTTAACTCCATAAAACTTTATTCAATCTTAGACTTTTCAAAGTCATGTACTTTTTATACAAGTAGAAATCCAGCCTTTCCTATATTATATATGTTTGCAAGTCTCTTCCAATCTTTATATGCAGGGTCATCACTTGGAAGCTGCCTTGTTTGAATCCTTCAAACACATTCCTCTCAATCCTGCTTTATCTTTATGAGAGGTTTATTAAGTGTATATGAGATCAATTACCCTAATCTTTGAGATGCTTATTTCCTGTCCTCCCTGGCCTAAAAGAAGGGAAAGTAGTGCTCAAGACATTATGTGAACCATACTTGTTATTAACAGCAATGCATGAAGTTGAACGAAGGAAAAGATGTTATTTTCATTATTTGAACTCTATGAATTTTTTAAGGGCTCTCCTCTCCTTATTTATATGAATTTTGAAAATGATAATAGTATAAAGACGTGAAAAGGAGTGATTGGCTCCGAGGGTGCTATATCCAGCTCAAGGATACAACTTTAAACATGGAAAATCAATTAGAAGTACATTTGAGTCTATTTGGTAGAAATTTTGAGAAAAACAACAAAAAAGTGTGGGTGGCAAAAAAGGTGGCAATGAAATTATGAACAAGAACATGACTTTTTGGTATGCATGGTGTCACGGGATGACTTTTTCGGAGTCTTCCTTCTGTGCGGCCTTAGACTTGATCGCCTCTCGAACAAGCTAAGTCAACCTCCTTCCGACAACACAAGATCGAACCAAGCAAAGAACAATCGCAAGAGCAAGAACGCAAAAGAATGCTAAAGAAAGTTTGGGAGAATATATGCTTGTATTGCTACTCAAATGCTTTACAAGTTGTGAGGTGAGGATACACAATGTGACATCCTCCTTATATACTGTTCCTGTAGGTGGCTAAGATACAATGTCACCTACCGGCATCTACCAACTACTGTCACCAACCGTAGTCTACCTACTACTGTACAACGAATCTGGACATAGGGCAAAGTGGTCTAGCATGATCAATCCAACGGGCTGGGCCTTGAACACACGGGCCGTGACAATGGGCTACACTGATTTCAATATGGAGATTAAAGTTTGGTAGAATTGGAAAGCATTTTAGATGACTTTGACTCCATAAAACTATTCAATCTTAGACTTTTAAATTAGAAATCCAGCCTTTCTCTTAAAATTTTCCAAGCTTTCTCACTTAGTGTCAGTTTGGCATTTAATACAAATTTATAAATAAACCAAATCCTAGACATGTATTTATAAAAAAACCCAAGCACTATTTAAACATAGAAACACACCCAAAATCAACCACAAAGTCAACTTTTTGGGTGTATTTATAAATGGGTTTTGAGTGTGTGTAATGATGGGTTTTGGGTGTGTTTATATGTTTAAATAGTGCTTGAGTTTTTTTATAATTTCAACCCCCCATTTTGGGTGTTTTAGTGAAACTCCCTTGCTTATTTGGGGTGATAAGTGATTTTTTAAAAATTTTGAGAAACCCAACCCGTTTGGTAAACTGCGAAAAAATCACTTATTGTTAAAAGTTGCTGTGAGATAAAGCTATAAGGGAAAGCAGCTAATGAGGTGCTTTCATTTTCTGATTATGCAAGAATCAGTTTCGAAGAGATGTTGGGTTTAATGATTATGCAGCAATCATTTTTTGATTATGCGTAAAATCAATACCAACAATACTTTTAACAAAAATTTTACCAAACACCAAACTGCTTTCTCTCATAGCTGATTTCTCTCACAGCAAATCTGACAGCGATTATTTTCACAGCACAGCAATGCCAAACTGGCCCTTACTGCACAACTTCTCCAGCCTTGTTGAATTAAACCACAACTATAGGCCACCTACCATGGTGTTTCATGTTTGAGATGAAGCCATGTTCATTGCGTGCTTCAATATGCATTTTCTTGGTTAAAAGAGTCAAAGAAAATAGTGCTTAAAAGAGTCAAAAAGCAGCATGAACAGAAAATAATGCTCAAAGGAGTCAAAGAAAGCAGCTTCCAAGTACTTTTCCCTCTACATAAAGAATGATGAAGAATTACTTAAAATACTCACCATGACTACCTAATTATTGAGGATTCTAGTTTTGTTTGATCAATTTGGAGCCAAATACTCACCTCAATTACCATGACTTTTGATGTGTTATTTCTTCTCTACTTCATCCTTTTCATGTTTGTCCCTTGTTCTACCACAGCTCAAACTTACAGAAACATATCTTTAGGCTCATCCCTCACTGCACTAAATGATGACAACTCATCATGGCAATCACCATCTGGTGAATTTGCTTTCGGTTTTCGACAGATTGGAAAGGATGGCTTCCTACTAGCCATCTGGTTCAACAAGATAACTGAGAAAACCATTGTGTGGTCAGCCAATGAGGATAATCTTGTCCCACAAGGATCCAAAGTTGAACTCACTGCAGATGGCCACTTTTTGCTCAATGATATTTCAACAGGCAAAGACAGATCAATAGTTTCTTCTGCTGCTACTGGCGTTGCCTATGCAGAAATGCTAGACACTGGAAATTTTGTGCTGGCCAACCAAAATTCAACCATTCTGTGGGGGAGTTTTGATCAACCGACTGATACAATCATACCCGCACAAGCTCTTAATAACGGAAGCAGACTCTTTGCTCGCTATACGGCTACAAATTACTGAAAAGGTAGATTCCTGTTTACACTATCTAGTGGAAATCTCATGCTTTACACAACAAGTTTCCCACAAGATTATCCCTATTCCAGTTATTGGAAGACCGATACTAATGGCAGTGGCTTTCAAGTCATATTCAACCAGTCTGGCTCTATTTACCTTGCTGCAAGGAATGGAACCATACTTAATGTAATATTCTCCAATACATTATCAAAGAAAGAATACCAGAGAGCAACTCTTGACTATGACGGAGTTTTGAGGCACTATGTCTACCGTAAAGGCACTGGTTCAAATGCCAGAGTTTGGTCCACATTATCCTTTAGAGCCTTTCCACCGCAGCAGCCCAGCCCGAGGCTAGGGGGAAAAAAAAAATTGCGTTCCAGCGGAGCAGCCCAGGCCCAGGGGGGGGGGTGTGGGACCCACCACCTCGGGCTGGCCCGAAGGCAAGTCTTACCCGAGGTCCAAAACGCGGGGGGTGACGTCGACACACAATGCACGCGCCAACGGTAAAAAAATTTTGAACCAGCGTGCGCTGACGTCAGCGCGACGCAGGCCCAACAGCTGGAAGCCACGTGGCACGCCCCCAGCGCTCTGATTTGATTCCACAGCCTTCATCCAATGGCTTGCGATTTTCCAGCAATAAAATTATGAAAAAAAATCGAAATTTTTTTAAAAAAAAATACTAAAAAATACTTTCAAATTCTGATTTTTTTTTCCTATAAATACCTATAAATACCCTTCACTTTCAACACCAATTCTCATACATTTTATTCTACTTCTACAATTACTCAACATTTTTTCACTCTTCACTTAACATTTTCATCTTTTTCACCTTGTATTTTTATTTCTTATTTTTATGGCTTCTTCTATTGAAACCGGAGGGGCGTGGAGCACCATGGAAGATGTTTCTTTGTGTGAGGCTTGGCTCCGAGTTTGTCATTGTCCCGTGACAGGCAATGAGATGAAATTTTTCCATATGTGGAAAAAAATTCATGCCGAATTTTCGGAAAAAATTCCGGAGTCGCCTCGTACGGAAATGGCATTGTCAAGTAGGTGGAAACTTCTCAACAAAGAGATGGCAAAATGGAGAGATGCCTTAGCAAAAGCGATGAACTTGTATAGAAGTGGGGAAAATCGTATTAACGAAGTAAGTATTTTGTAATTTTCGTTTTATTAAGTTTAATGTCCTAATATATATATGTTGTTAATATTTATTGCATTTTCAATATTTTGTTAATATTTCTTGCATTTTCAATATGTTGTTAATATTTCTTGCATTTCCAATTGTTTCTTCATATTTCTTGCATTTTCAATATGTTGTTAATATTTATTGCATTTCCAATTGTTTCTTCATATTTCTTGCACTTCCAATTTATTTGTAAGGTTAATTGCATTTCCATTATTTTTATTTTGTTACTTGCATATCCAATATATTTTAAATATTTATTGCATTGCCATTTTTTTGTTAAATAGCTCATTCAAGCACAGATGTGGTTCGGTGCAACCGGGTGGCAAAAAAAGGTTCACCCATCATGAATGTTGGGATGTGGTGAAATATTGTAAACGGTTCATAATTATTCCCACGGGTCCCGACGTTGTGTTAAACGAGACGCCTCTCCGTGATTCAACGACATCGGATTCACCTCTTGATTCCCCTATGAGTGAAGACTCACCCATCCAAAAGGAACCGAGGCCCATTGGCCGAAAGGCTGCGAAGGCAAAGAAAGCGGGTAATTCAAGCAATTTTAATTCAAAGTTTTTGGAGGAAATTGCAAGGCAAAACTCCATAAGAATTGAAATGGAGCAGAAACGCCAAGATATGGAGGTGGCAATTCAAGCCGAGTGTGCACGAGAAAAGGAGTATTTGCGCAAAAAAGATATGCAGAAGACGGATCGGGAAACCATGGCAATGGATACAAGTCATATGTCCCCCGAAACAAAACAATATTGGAAGCTAGAACGGAGGGATGTTATGAGAAGAAGACTTTTCCAAGATGATGGGCCTAGCAACACGGATTGGTTAAATGATCAAAACCATTAAATTAGTTGGCATACCTTTTATGTATTTTTATTTTTCATGTTTTCTATTAAAGTTGGTGTACTTCATGTATTTTATTTTAGTAGTAGTAATTCTTAATGACTTGTATTGGATTTCTTTATTTAATAAACAAAGCATTCAATAAAAGACCATTTTATTCAACATATTCCATACATCAAACATAACATAATTAAAATGAAAACAAAAACTACAAACAAGGCACAATAATAAATAAAAAAACAACACAACCAAACCATAAGCAATAGTAAACAACACAACCAAACCATAAGTAAATAAAACATAACCAAAGCATCTATGCTCCATCATTCATCTTCATTCCCTTTCACCGCCCATATATGCTCTATCAAGTCAAGTTGACGGCTTTCATGAATATACGAAGATTGCATCTCTGTATATCGATCTATCATCCGGGTCATCATACGATCGTCCCTCACCAACGGTTCCGGCTCAAACGGTTCTCCATTTGGCCCCATGGGCATTTCATAAATCCGGGTCATCGCCGTGTTTATTGGATCCGGCTCATAGACCTCTCCAGCATCATAATCGTACTCATCCTCCACAATCATATTATGGAGGATGATGCAAGTCATCATAATGCTTCGGAGGATCTCCTCATCAAACATACGGGCCGCACCTCGAACAATCAACCATCGAGCTTGAAGGATGCCAAAACACCTTTCGACATCTTTCCTGTATCCTTCTTGATAGGTAGCAAATAATTTTTGCTTATGGGATCGGGGATTCGGAATGGATTTGACAAATGTGGTCCACCTTGGGTAGATACCGTCAGCTAGATAATACCCCGTCTGGTAGACTGTATTGTTGACTTGATAGGTAATATTGGGGCCTTGGCCGCTCAAAACATCGTTGAAGACCGGAGATTGACCCAGGACGTTGAGGTCATTTTGGGCTCCGGCAACTCCGAAGAAAGCATGCCAAACCCATGTGTCGAAGCCAGCAACGGCTTCCAGGATGATACTTTTTGTGCCTTTTCTATTTCCGTAATCACCTTGCCAGGCAGTTGGGCAATTCTTCCATTGCCAATGCATGCAGTCGATGCTACCAATCATTCCTGGAAATCCTCGAGCTTCGGCTTTTTGTAGAAGCCGTTGGAGGTCCCTGGGAGTAGGTCTACGCAGGTAGTCCCTAGTGTACAGATTTTCAACTGCATCACAAAATCTTACCAAAGCCTCCAACGTAGTGGACTTCCCCATTCGGGCAACCTCATCCACCTGATCAGCAGATGCTCCATACGCCAACATTCGTATAACAGCTGTAAGCTTTTGCTCCGGAAGAAGGCCCAAAACCCCAGTAGCATCACACTTTTGAACAAAGTATGCATCATAATTGCAAATATCATGCATGACTTTATTGAACAAATGAGGTTGCATTCTAAATCGCCTTCGAAAATCAACATCAGAGTACAAAGCAGTTGGGATAAAATAATCTTCCAAAAGATTCTTACCCCGAGAATGCCTATGTCTGTCCACATTCCGGCGACGGCCGACTTGTGAACCACGGCGGCGACCTTGGTTCTCTTCCTCTTCCATTGCCACTGCTATGAGAACTTGTTCATCGACTTGCCTCTGCAACTCATTGATTTCATCGGCTCTACGGTTTCTCTCATTTCTTTCTCTCTCGTGCCTCTCCAAGCATCTCCTATATTCTTCCATTGAGAATGAATGGAGTATGAATTCTAAACTATAAGAAATGAAAATATTGAAAGATGTGGTGTGAGAGGTATGAGGTGAGCCTCTGGTTTTATAGAAAAATTTGGCAAGATAGAGATGCCACGTGGCTTGATTTGATTGGATGAAAATCTTATCTGAAATTTGAAATTTTGAACCCAAATTTATCTGAATTTTGAATTTTGAAATTCATCCGAAATTTGAATTTTGAAATTCATTCGAAATTTGAACCCAAAAATTTATCTGAAATTTGAATTTTGAAATTCATCCGAAATTTGAACCCAAAAATCTTATCCCGAAATTTTATCCGATTATGAATAGTCTTGACACGTAGGAACCCGTAAATCTTATCCGAAAATATTATCCAAATTAATTATTGAGGTAAAAAAAATTGTGAATAAAACAAAAAAATAAATAGTAACTGCCCTTAGCAAGGGCAACGGGTGGAAACACAAAATTCTGATTTTGCAAGGGCAACCATTATTCACGTGAATAGTGGCTGCCCTAGCTCCCCCCCTTGCCATGGTTAAGGGCAAATGGGTGGAGTTGCTCTTATACCTTCAAATCTCTGCATGAGTAGCCCGCAACTGAAAGGTGGTGGTGTATGTGGGTTCAACAGCTTATGTCAACATGACCAAGGACAGTCAATCTGCAAGTGTCCATCTGGTTATACCTTGATGGATCCATATGATGTGTTGAAAGGCTGCAAACAGAACTTTGCTCACAAAGCTGTGATGAGGCCTCAGCAGAGACCGATCTTTTCTATCTTCAAGAGATGAACAATGTGTATTGGTAGGGATCTGAATATGACAACATTTAGGGCATAACTGAGGATTGGTGCAGGCAGACTTGCCTAGCTAATTGTTACTGCACCACTACTGGTTTCATAAATGGGAATTGTTCGTTGAAGGGAGCCCCACTTCCGAATGGGAGGATAGACCAATAGTTTTATGGGAAAAAATTTGATTAAAATAAGGGAAGGCAACTTTACTTCGAAATCAACTTTGATTGTTGTTGGATCAGTGCTCCTCAGTAGCTTGGGGTTTCTCAACTTCCCCTTATCATTGATAACCTATTTGATTGGTTCTCGCATCTATTCTAGAAAAGTTAAAGTGATTCAGCCTTGTCTAGTCATGCAGGGCATGAATTGAAGTGTTTCACTTATGAGGAGTTAAAAGAAGCCACAAACGAATTCAAGGAAGAACTAGGACGTGGCGCATCGGCAACAGTTTTTAAAGGAAAGTCTTCCTCTGATAATGGCAAGTGTGTTGCTGTTAAAATTTTAGATGCTAACGTTAGAGATGACGAGTTGGAATTCAATGCTGAAGTGAGTGCAATTGGCAAAATACATCACAGGAATTTAGTCCAATTACTTGGATTTTGTAATGAGGGACATCACCAAATTCTTGTGTATGAGTTTATGAGTGTTGGATTTATAGGGGAAAACAAAGTGATTTTATTATATTTGAGGAGAATAGTACATAGCTTTGTGTAGGCTAATTGACCTTCTACACTTAGCATATTGGCCACTACACTTGCTTACATTTGTTTGGGCTATTTGGCCCTACACTTAGATTAGTTTGGGCTTTTTGGCCCTTCACTTAAATTAGTGAGTTTATTGGCTCCTCAACATAACTTTTTTTAGGTAGCTTTTTTGCTCCCACAAAGATTGGGAGTTGATTGGTTCACTCCACTTGGCTTTATTGCATTGCATGCCTATTTATAGGCATGCTTTGCCGACTATCTAAGTTGGCTTTTTGCTTAGTTAGGTCGGTTTGCACAGTAACCGACTTTGCCTAAGTAATTTCAGCCATATATTGTAGTTTTCTACTAGAGCTTTCCACTAGCTTCATTAACTATTGTTTAGGGAATACAACCACCGACTTTTCATTCTATATTATTCTAGAAAATTATGTTGTCTTGTAGAAATCTCTCTCAAATGTGCATTAATGTTTAACAATGAGCAATGGCTCTCTAGCAAGCTTCCTCCAAACTGGTACCAAAGAAGGAAAATTGCCTTGGGAATTGCAAGAGGGCTTTTGTATTTGCACGAGGAGTGCAGCAGCCAAATTGTACATTGTGACATTAAGCCTCAAACCGATGCTTGCTCGAGAGAGAACTTCGCCAACGTTAATTCCAAAGGAACCTTTTCTCTCTTACCGAAGTTGTGAAGACAGCCTCCTTCCGATTAATCCCTTCCGAACAGTAGGAACGATGAAACAACTCTCGAACTCACAAAAATAAATAGCCCAGTTTTGCCGAAGCAAGCAACCTGCCAGGCCCCACTCCTTGCCGACACCCCAAGAGGCTAGGCTCACAAAAGCTCAACCCCTTTTGGCCTCCTTGCCAAACGGCAAGGATCGAGCCAAAGAAATGGAGGCCCAAAGATCGTACCCAAGGATCGTGCCGAAGGATTACACGAAGACAGCAATCTCCTTCGAACTGGTCCTTCGATTTTTCCTCCATCGAACCCTGCCGAACGGCAAGGCCGCTCTAAGGTTGGTGGGGACTCACAATTCGAAACCTTGCCGAAGGAAACTTGCTAAAGCCAAGTCTGGTTCTGAATGGGTAACGGCGCAAAGAAGAACTCCCTCTTTCCGAAAGCACTCGACTTCTCTCTCAAACACTATTGTCAACCCTAGCCAAAGATGGCCCTTACCAAATTCTAGAAAGCCTTTGCCGAAGCCCAATCTCCCCCAGCTTTTAATTCTTGCTGAACCCACCTAAGGCCAAGACCAGGCCAGCTCCACGTGGCCCAGCTCGGTCCCCTTGCTAAAGCCCAGCTACCTAACTACCAAAGGCCCTTACGAAGCCCAACCTAGCCCTCTTACTGAACGGTAGACATCGGGCTAAAACTACAAGAGGCCTAACAACAACAACAACAACAACAAAAAAGAAAAAAGAAAAAAAGAAAAAGCCTTGCCAAACAGCAAGGGTTGTGTAGAAGGAATGAAAGGGCTCACAAGTGCCCAGACCTAGGCCGCACAACTTCACCCCTGCCGAAGATACTTAGGCCCTAGAGAAAATCATTCCCACTAGACCTTGCCGAACAGAAAGGCCCATGCTCAGGCTAGGGCTTACATCAAGGTAAATTTCTCTTGCCTAACCCTTAGCAACCCAACTCCACAGAGCCCCGACCCGGCCTCCTTGCCGAACACCCAAGTACCCAGCTACCAAGGGTTTTGGAAGCTCACACATTCTTCTTTCTCCTTGTCAGAAGCCCAATCGAATGGCAAGACCTATACGACTCTCGCGCAGCCTAACACTTAGGCCATACCTTCAAAGGTTGACGCAACTTCTAGCTTGCCAACTTGGGGACTAGGGAATGCCCTACGGCTCCCACTGAATCCAGAATGCGCGGTCATGATTACACAAAAATCTCACAAGTTCCAAACCCAGAAGTTACTTCTTGACCGCGAACTTAGGGGACTACTGTTTACACCATAATCAACAGAGCATATCCAGCACCAAAACAACTAGCACCAAGGCAGACACACCTTCTCCCCTGTTGAAATACCCCAAAGGGACACACAGACAAATCCCTAGAGGGTGACTGACGTCGTCACCTTCTTCCCTGCCGAAGGAAGACACTCTTTCGAAGCAGCAGCCACTTGCCAAAGCTCCCGACTGCCGAAGCTCCCAACTGCCGAACCTAATCTCCAAGGACACGTGTTACCACCATAGCAACTTGCACAAAGTCTCACATCGAAACTTTGTACAAAACTCCCATTTTTACTTCCCTATAAATAGGGAACAGTACCCGAGTAAAAAAGGCAACTATTTTCTCACATTTACTGTTACAATGCCAAAATTACCACATATAGCTGACTTAAGCATCAGAGAGCCTTCGGCAGGCACCACACTGGTGTTCGAAGCTTGACGACTGCTTCTTCCTCCTTATCTCTTGCGGTTCTTCCAATTCCGAAGGTCCTCACCTTCTTCCTTACTGAAGATCTTACACTTCTCTAGTTGACCCTCCCAAAAAGAGCATCAACAACTCTCTCTCTCTCTCTCTCTCTCTCTCTCTCTCTCTCTCTCTCTCTTTCTCTCTCCCTCCCTCCCCCTCTTTCGGACCAGCGCACCTTAAGCCCTATTCTCTATCACTACAACCACCCCCTCAACAACCCCAGCCACCATGCCCCTCCAGAAACCCCTTCCCCAACCTCATTCACCCTCTCCACCATTGCTTAGATATCCACAAGCGGCTTCATCCTCCAGTCTGTCATCAAAGCCTGGTCCGTACTCAACAAACCCAACCCTCTCTACAAGTTACGAAAATACATGTTGTTGAATTTGGCCGGGCTCATGATGTCGTTGAAGGTCGACACTGCGCAGAGCTTCTTCGACCCCTGTGCAAAATTGGGATTGGCCGGGTCGATGTCGGAGGGCTTGCTGAAATTGAAGATATGGTTGCTAAACTTCATAAATTGTTACCAAAATACAAATTGTCTGCAACCCTTATGAAGATTCAGCAAATCAATTACAAACATAAAAGAAATTGACATTGTGAAGATTTAGCATTTTGTGGTAGAGCACATGTTCCAAATTGCCAGTGGAATTCCTCTTCTTTATATTGGCAGCAACTTGAAGCCTGTCACCTCCAAAACAAATTATATATATACTAAAACTGAGTTCAGGAATTCACTGTTCCTAGACTGTAGCTTAGCAATAGTGAAGTGACGGTTTTGCCCTCACTTTGAGCTGACTTTTGAACAGTGAATTGGCCGTTATGCCCTCCAGCCCTGTTCTCTTTTCTTCGAACCTCTTCCCTTCATCGCAGCCCTCTCTCTCTCTCTCTCTCTCTGTCTCTTCTCTCTTCCTTTCTCTCATCAGCTGCGAACGTTTCGTTCGCTCAGAAAACCCAATTCCATCGTCTTTTTCTCACTGTGAGAACCGAAGATGTCAGTTTCAGCTGTGTTGGGGCCTCAATTGGTGGCTATGGGTGTGGCCGTGAAGAAGCCATCTGCGACGGCGTCGTTTGGGGTCCCAAAGACATCCCCATGGCGCGGCTCAGTTGGTGGAGGTACTTTTTATTGAAATCACTTGGGTTTCTGTGGAAACTCAAGGACATAAAGGAAAAAGTTTGTGTCTTTGTTCTATTATTATGTTTGGATTGAAAATTTGGTACCTTTGTTCTTTCATACATGTGCTTATGTTTACAATGAAAATTTCCTTTCATTGTTTTTTGGTTGTTGAAGGGTTTGAGTATGAGGAAAAAGGTGATTTTGCAACCTCAACAAAACATTTCAGGTAAGATCCATATCCTCGAAAATATAGTTCTTTTGTGATTTTGATTGTTTAAGGTGACTTTTGATTGCTTAGGCAGGTTTTGTTTTAAAAAAAATAAGATTAAATTGATGAATATTTCAATTGTTGGTTATATTTATTATTTGGTTTCTCTTTTGATCTTCCTTTTTAATCGTTTTTGTTGATTGATATAGTGATTGTTTTTCTTTTTCTTTTTTATAATTGTTTTGGGTTGTGTTCGATTTATGCTCAAAAGAATTGCCCCCAGTAGAGAGATAAATTAGACAAATTTGGGGGAGAGATAGATTTGATGAACCAAGATAAAGATATTCTGTATAACTATGAACGGCATGTAAGACATAATTTAAGACCTGCATTTAGTGTAGGACATTATCAGAGAAACATTTCAAATATTAAGATTTCAAGAAGATTAAGAAGAAGAAAAAAGAGTAAAGATGATGATCCTTTATAGTTTTTATAATCTAATGAAGCATTGGAGTCACCTTCTTTCTTAATGTCAGTGCAGTTTTCTGACTGGTGGCTTTTCCCTAGCCTGTATTTCTGCACAAGAAAACAAAACAGTTTTACAGTTATGCTTTTCCATAATAGTCTGAAAAAAGACTGGATGTGATTAACCAAGAAAAGGGAGAAAAATGCCTGTGAGTGGCTCTTTAGGTGGTACAGAGTGAGTACATAAATTCCCGTCACCCTCATCAAACTCTTTAGTGTGACCTCTGCCCATATGTGAAACAAAGACATTAGAACTTTGTATAGAAATAGAAAGAAACTAAAAAGGGATTTGAAGAAGAATATCAATCAAGCTTATATACTCAACTGTCTGCCCCACCAAGCTGATTGACTGCTTCAACAAATCTTTGATGAAGTTCTGCAGTCCATTTTAGCCCGGGCTTTGCATCAGTGGACAAAACCAAATTCATATTCTGATTTTGCATATTCTGCAGCAGACCCATTTTTGTATTGTGGATGAGAGAGAAAAGAAGGTAACATAAATGTTGGTTAGGAGCCTTAAAAGCTTTGATCCAATTTGTGGCGTTTGGAGTAGTTGGCCTGTCCTGTGTTCTTACTCCATATCTGGAAACATAAGTGGGGTTATGTTGGCGGAATATATGCCATGAGCTGTAGTTCCTCCTTTCCTTCCATCTCTCATTTCATACCAGCTTTAAAAATAATAATAATAATAATAATTTATTCTCTCACTTTGACTTGAAAGAGGTGGAGAGAATCTCTGATGCAGCAAAAACAGATAAAGCAACACAGTTCAATTTGAGTCTTAAAAGGAGAGAAGAGGAAAAGTGTATGGTTTGTTTTATCTTGCTGTTTTCCCACTCTCTCTCTCTCTCTCTCTCTCTCTCTCTCTCTCTCTGTGTCCAGAAATCCAAATTCAAAAGGGCACTCTGGGATTTTGTTGCTTGCAGATTTTATTTTCTATGTTTTTCGTTTTGATTCATTGCAACTGAGGTATTCTAGCTATCTCAGCCTTTGATTGTTGCCTTTGATTGAACTGGTTGATGATTTTACTCTAGATTTGGATTGTTTGGAGTCTTTTTGTCATATTTTATTTTAAATTTAAAACTTTTGTTCTCCAAGCAAGGAATTGATTTTTAATACATGAGGTTGATAAACAAAACCTAAGGGTACATCTTCTCTCTCTCTCTCTCTGTAAAAGACTTATTTACAGTCTTTTCTCTCTCTCTAACCCAAAAGAGTACAGCTGGACCCATGGGCAGCACCAACTTCTGATTCTGTACTCTAATTTCTAATTATTAAGTTCTGTGTGTATGGAGTATAGATTGAAAAATTAAAAATTGAATGTAGAAGTGGATTTGATTCTCTTTCTCCAACCTTTAACATAGTTTAATGCACACTTTTGAATGTGTATTTGTGGGATTTTAATTTCAACTCATACTAGAGGACAAGAACCTTTAATGTTTGCTTTTGATGTTTTGTAGGTGGTGTTCTGCTGCTTTAGATAGAGCTGTTTGGTGGTTGTTTTTTGTTATGTTAATTAAGAGGTGTGTTTCTATGTTGAAATTCCCATGTATTGTTTCGGTTTTGCATTTCATATTTGATTTTGAAGTCTATTGGTGTGTCAAAATAGCTAGGTTTAATGTATGCTAGGAATGTCTCATCGGTTAAGTATCAATAAAAATTTTGTTTTTGTTCTCAGTTACTGTTTATACCATGCTTGAATTTGAAGTATAAGATGTGATGATAATTGAAATGCCTAGAGACCAATCTTGCTTCTGATATTTTATTTTCAACTGATTTGCTTAGAAAAAATAGAGAACAAGTTTTATTTTTTGCAATCTCTGTTGATAAATGAGTAATTGTTGATGACCCTTCTTTTCTTTTTCTTTCTTTTGGCCTTTTTGGGTTGTTTCTGTGTTTTGTCTGTTTGGGACAGTGTCTTACTGCCAGACAAGAAGTCTTATAGAGGATGGAGTAGCATGTGCTAGCTCACAGCTTATATATATGCCCCATTATGTCAGAATTCAGTCATTTGTTTGCTTTGCATTATTTCTCTTTATTTTACTTCAGAATATTGGATTGTAAATGTGTTCCTGTTGTTATCTATATAGTAGCTCCTTTTTTTCTTCATTTCCTTTTGAAAATCATTGTTTATCGTAAATCATGTGCTTTTAGACCATTACCACAAACAGAATCTGTGTGTTTTTATTTTTCGCTCTTTTGATTGTTGCTTTATTTCATTTTTCGGTTTTTGTGTTTTTCTTTAGGTGCTGTGTAACTGCTTTTTGGACTGCTTGATAGCTCTTCTCATTGTTGCTAGGCAACAGGTCAGTTTTCTATTCATCTGTTGAAGAGGTCATGCATATCAACTGTGGAAAATTGGTTTTTTGATATTGTGTCATTTGAAAATTGTTAATTTTGTGGTTGTGATATTTTGCTTATATCTGGGTTAAACTTAATATTGTTGATTGATTTGTTTGGAATAGGTATTTCATGAGGAAGCTGAAGAAGGTCAAGAAGAGCAATGGTCAAGTGCTTTCCATTAATGAGGTTTGTTCTCTTTGCCGTTTATACTTTATTTTTTTCTAATTAATAAATTTGTACCCATTTTGATTATTTGTCAGTGTCTAATGTAGTCAATGTTTTTTTGCGGTGGAGAAGTGGTTCCTTCTCAACTCTCCTCCTGGTGAAATCCAATTTGTTGCCAATGGTCTCCACCTTTGACCCCAAAGCGTCACTCTTTTATCACATTTATTTCGCTTTTTTCTAATTTTGTTTCGATCAGTTGAATCGTAATTTGTATTTGATGTTTGCCTTTGGTGGCAGATGTGAAGGAGGCTGCGTCAGAGGCATCCTCTCGAATATTATGAAAACCTATCAGCATATCCACACCTTCTTTTACACCTTATTTCTCTGCACATTCCTCTCAAAAACTTAAATGCTTTATGCTCCACCATAGCCTTTGGTAGTTTTCTCTTCTTTCACTTGGTTCCATTTTAAGTTTTAACTTTTTTAAAAAATCTTTATTCTAAATTTGTTACTTTAAATCCTTAATTTTAGGATTAGTTATGGTTTATTTTTATATCTTATAATGAATTGAGATGTGGACAATCTCCCTTTTTGTCCCTTCCCCTTCGACTCTCTTTTTGTCGTCATTGTTCTCATCGTTTCATCGTTTCATCGTTTCATTGTTCTCATCTTTTCTTGCGTTCTAATCTCATCCTTCTTGAAAATTGCAACTTCCCCTTGGACTCTCTTTGGTCTTCATCGTTTTCATCGTCTCATCGTTCTCATCTCATCCTTCTTGAAAATTTCCTATTGAGAAGTAAAAATCGAAGCCAAGCAAGTAAAAATCGATAAGAGGGGTAAGCTTGCCTATGGAGAAAAAATGTTGGTTTAAAGGTTCTTTTGGTTTTCTAGGTTGGTTTATTCATTTGTCATGTTGAAAATTGAGAAGTAAATCAGAAATTGACTTTGGTTTGTTGTTATAGGGAGGAAGATCGAAAGAAAAAGAACTGGAGAAATCAATACAGGAACCCCCAGTCTGATGTCAATGGTATGAATCTCTCTCTCATTTTGGTTTTGTTTTTAGTTCACCAAATGGTTTTCATCTATTCTGATTTTTCTGATTTTTTTATATGAGATGTGCAGTTGTTGCGGCTCTTAATTCTTCAATTTTCTCCATCTTACTTGCTAAAGTTGAAAGTTCACATTAGTTTGGTTGTTTTTGGGTCTTCCTGCTAACTACTTAGAACATGCATTTTAAGTTCAATTTTTGTTGGCCTGGCATTTCCCTTTTTTAAGAATCTATTTCATTTGTTTTAACTTTTCCCTTTATCCATTTTTTCCCCCTAATAATTGAACTTATTTTTCATCTCTGGGTAGCATTCCTTTTTCTACTTTGTTGGTTAAGCCAACCCCATTGTAGTGAGTAGAAGGAGATTTACAGTTTCATATTTCAACAGTTTCATAAAGAAAGCATTTAGGTAACGTACAGATTATTATCCCTCTGTTGATTTCGTGGTCTGTTGTTGTTTTGTGTTTAGCTAATTTTATTATTATTTTTTTTTTTAAGACCATGTTTTCTTTTGATATTTTGCAGGTGGTCTTTCGTTGCTTTGGATGAAGCGGTTTGGTTGGTGTTTTCAGTTCTATTAAGTAAGGGGTGAGTTTCTAGGCTGAAATTTCAATTAATTGTTTTAAGTTTTGTGAATAGAGCATAGGAATTAGCTAATGGCATCAATTGACAATTGGTTGGTGTTAATTTGTTGTTGTAATGATAGGTTTAATGATTACAATATTTGAACATGTTGGTAAACCCCTTGATTATTTTGGCAATTGGGTAGTTGAGATGTTCCCTGCCTATTTTCATTGCTTTATACACATTTCACGCAATTTTAAAACCCGCAGCATCGCGCGGGCACTTTTGCTAGTATTAACTAAAAAAAAACTAATCTATTTGAAATACAACAAAGTTGTGAAATGAGAGAACCCCTTTTCATCTAGGCCCGTTGTTTTTGGTGTTGGGATGGCAGTGGCAGTGGCTTCTATGACCGTCCACAAGGTGGTGGGGCTGGTCGGGAAAGGGAATAGAGAAGGACAGAGAGTTTTTGTTTTTGTTTTTTAATGTTATTTTACTTTATTTTTTAATTGGAAATACTTTAAAAGAATTAAAAACAAAAAATTAACTATAGTTATTTTCAAGGACATGTGTCAAGTCCTAAGATAGGTGGTGAGGGTACACATTGAGTTAAGGTGGTGAGCAAAAAGGCTCTCAATTTTTTATGACCACACAATTTCTAGCAATTACTGGGGCAATAATGTCTGTTAGTTTGCCTTGGGTTGCAGCCAATTTTCAACATTCAAAATTGAATGTGGTCCAAGAGGGAAAAAGATGTATTTTCATCATTTGTACTCCATGAATGGCCATAGATCATTCAATCAAACCCATGAATTTTTTATGACCTCTCCTTATATGAATTTTGAAAATTATACAGTATGATGTGAAAAGAAAGAGTGATTGGCTCCGAGGGTGTTATATCCAACTCAAGGGTACAAATTTAATCATGGAAAATCAATTAGAAGTACATTTGAGTCTTTATTTGGTAGAAATTTTGAGACAAACAACAACAAAAGTGTGAGTGGCAAACAAGGTGGTGGAATTGGAAAGCATTTAAGCTGACTTTTAACTCCATAAAACTTTATTCAATCTTAGACTTTTCAAAGTCATGTACTTTTTATACAATTAGAAATCCAGCCTTTCCTATATTATATATGTTTGCAAGTCTCTTTCAATCTTTATATGCAGGGTAATCACTTGGAAGCTTTCTTCTTTGAATCCTTCAAACACATTCCTCTCAATCCTGCTTTATCTTTATGAGTGATGTTTATTAAGTGTATATGAGATCAACTACCCTAATCTTTGAGTCTGCTTTGATTTCACTATGGAGTTAAAAGTTTGGTGGGATTAGAAAGAATTTGAGTTAACTTCCTATATGCTTTACTGATTTTCCACTCTAGATGGCATTTTCGCTCTTTCTTTTCCCATCTTTATATTGTATATGCATAATTTTTCAAGTTCAAATAAACATGCAGGCCATAACAAATTCATCGCGGTTTATATGTGGAGTACATGATCAAATACTGAAAATACCATCTTTTATTCATGTAACAGAAAATAAAAAAGAAAATAACTTTGTCTCGCTGTTCATTTTTTCATGCAATGTTGTTAACAAGTGGGGTTGACATGATATCTTTTACTGTCAAACGGAGATTTTGTGAAGCGAGTTTGCAGCACATTGGCCTTTTATTTATGCTCAAAGTTATACATTGACAAGAAAGCAAGTTTTGAGTAGCTTAATGAAACCTTATTCACCAGGATGACAAGGAAAGTGATGAAATAAGTAGAACAGAGACAAACGAAACGAAATGATACAACAACAATTATATATATTTATAGTATTGAACTTATGAAAGAGGAGGTGGAGCTGAGACTTCAACAGTTCCTTCAAGCATCAGTGTGACTTTCTTCATGGTGGGTCTGAGTGATGGATCCTCCTGAATGCACCATATTGCAATCATCACATACTTCTCCATCTCGTTGATGTCATTGATTTCCTCATCATTCTCGAAGAGCTGGTTCAGCTTCTTTTGCATATAGCAATCATATGCCCAATCAGCTAGTATCATTTCATCTTCATTGCCTGCCACTTCTTCAAAATGTTTCCTGCAGAAAATAATCTCTAACAACAAAATGCCATAGCTGTAAACATCAACCTTGACTGTGATAGGTACGCTTCTGAACCATTCAGGGGCCACATACCCTCTGGTTCCCCTGATAGCAGTCATGCTTCGAGTCTGGTCCAATCTCAAAAGCTTCGCTAATCCAAAGTCAGAAATTCTTGCTGTGAAATAGTCATCAAGAAGAATGTTTTGAGGCTTGATGTCACAATGAACAATTTGGCTGCTGCACTCCTCATGCAAATACAAAAGCCCTCTTGCAATTCCCAAGGCAATTTGCCTTCTCTGGTACCAGTTTGGCATCGATTCTCCAAAGAGGAAGCTTGCTAGAGAGCCGTTGCTCATAAACTCATATACCAGAATTCGGTGCTCCCCCTCATTACAAAATCCAAGTAGCTGGACTAAATTTCGGTGATTTGTTCTGCCGATAGCACTCACTTCAGCTTTGAATTCCAAATCGTCTTCTCTGACCTTAGCGTCTAAACGTTTGACAGCAACACACCTTCCAGTATCAGACGCTAAAACTCCTTTAAAAACTGTTGCAGAAGCACCACGTCCTAATTCTTCCTTGAATTCGTTCGTAGCCTTTTTTAGCTCCTCATAAGTGAAATCCTTCAAATTCATGCCTGACATGACTGGACGAGGTTGAATGAACTTTGCTTTTCTAGAATAGATGCGAGAAACAACCAAATAGGTTATTAATGGTAAGATAACGTTCAGGACCCCCGAGCTACTCAGGAGCACTGATCCAACAAGTATCAGAGTTGAATTATCTTTCTTTTTTGTGATTGCACTTCCACCTGACCTAAAAGTAGAGTTGTCTTTCCCAAATTTGATCAGAGCTTTTGAATTATTCTCAATCTTCCCGTTCGAAAAAGGGAGTCCCTTCTTGAAACAGTCTCTGGCGGGGTTGACAATTGCAACAGCACAAAAACAATCATCTAGGCAATTCTGTCTGCACCAATCCTCAGTTACCCCCTGAAAATTCTCATAATCCCCACCAGGAAAATTCGTGTTTTGCATCTCTTGAAAATCAAAGAAATGCTCTGGTGAGGCTTGGTCACAACTTTGTGGAACAAATTTAGGTTTACATCCTTTGCCCTCATCATTTGGATCAATAAAGGTGTAACCATGAGGGCACTCGCAACCTTCATCTCCAAGCCTACATAAGCTGTTGAATCCTGAAGATATGTTTCTGGATGTTTCAGCTATGGTGGAATATGGGAGAATCATGAAAAGGAAGAAGCAGAGAAGATCGAGCACGGAAAAAACCATGGTAAGATGAGCGTTTTGCTACAGCCTACTAGGAGTGAGATGTATTAAGTGTACAATGAGATGCTTCTTTCCTGTCCTCCCTGGCCTGAAAAAAGCATTCTTTTTCTAACCCCCTCATTGGGTTGCAGCCAATTTTCTATGACCACACAATTTCAAGCAATTATTGGGGCAATAATGTCTGTCAGTTTGCCTATGTTCGGGTACAAGTTACAGGACCTAAGTCTAAATGCACCAATGTAAGGTTTGGAATCATGCTTTAAATTTGCCTTTTCGGGTCATGGGTGCAATTACTTGGAAGCTGCCTTCTTTGAATCCTTCAAACACATTCCTCTCAATCCTGCTTTATGTCTAGGAGTGAGCTGCTTCTTTCCTGTCCTCCCTGGCCTAAAAGAAGCATTCTTTTTCAAACCCCCTCATTGGGTTGCAGCCGATTTTGAACGTTCAAAATTTAATGTGGTCCTAGAGGGAAAAAGATGTTACTTTCATCATTTGTACTCCATGAATGGCCATAGATCATTCAATCAAACCCATGAATTTTTTATGACCACACAATTTCCAGCAATTATTGGGGCAATAATGTCCGTCACTTTGAGAGACCGTATTTAAAAAATATATATATATATTAAAGAGGAATAAACATTATTATATATTTATAAGTAATTATCTTAGATATATATATATATATATTGTTTTACTATTCCAGTAATTATAAGCATTTTATTTTATTAATTATTTTTATATTTTTATATATGTTCAATTGAAGGCTTTGTTTTAATATATATATCATTATTGTCTTAGAATGTGTTATAAAACGTCATAATTCATGGTGTAGATTTTTTTATGTGGGTCATAGATTACTAATTGAAGGTGGCAGTTTTTCCTTGCTTTGAGTTTGACCTGTTTTAAACTTGCAAGCTGTTGGGATAATATTGAAAGATATAGTTGAGTCATTAACTCACCAGTACGTGTCTTCATAATATCCATTCTCATCTTGTAATGCCTTGGAGTGGAAGGAAAATTACTTGGGCACTGTTGGGTTCATTTTTACACATGATTTATCATGTTATTCACCCAATATTTTGAGTTAGTTCTTAACTTTTTATAGCTTTTTACTTCCTTTTTGTGTTTTCATAGGTTTTACCTTGGTTAGAATGAAAATGAGCCAAAAATGCATTATTGGTTATAAATTCTGTTTTTGTTCATTTTCGTAGGTCAACTTCTTGGCCTTGGATCAGCATCCTCTGGTGCTCGGATGAGGTGAAGATCTTCATGAAACTTGTTGCAATGGATGTTAACTACAATATATCCAAATTTGAGCTCCATTGAACAAGTATAGCCTATCCAACTGATCCATAATTTTATCATAGCTCCAGAGATTTGTCTTGGGCCAGCTTTCACCTCCACTCGATGTCATCTTATTTCTACTTGTTACCATACCATTTGGTGACAATGAATTACCTTATTGAAGTGGGAATTTCTGAGATAAAGAGCATCTTTGTGAAGACAAGAACCAAAGAGCCCATCATGACATAAAGAAAAGAATGATTATGTTATTGATGGGTGAGTTGGAAAGGAGGAGAGAGAAGGATGGGCAAAGGAGAATGAATGTGCATCAGCTATTCTTGAATCATTATTCAATTTTGCAGAGATTTTGGGAGCTTGAGAGCTAGAGGAGGAAGACAAGGGCAGCCAAGCAAGAAGTGGAAAAAGATTTCCACCATTGAAGACCTTAAGCCTCCATCACTTATACAAAATCTGTAAACTCTCTTTCTAGTTTTGTTTTGAATTTGTGTTTGAAATAAGTATGAGGAACTAAACTCCATAGCTAGGGCTTAAGTTGAAGCCCTAAACATGAATACTCTATTGTTTTGATGCTTGAGTGTATGAATTTCTAGATGTTGTTGATAAATTCTCATTCACTAAATTAATCTATCCTTGAAGTACCTCCTTAATCGGGAACTTGGGGGACTCCTGTTAGTACAATATCTGGCCAAACACTCCTAAGCTAATCCAAACAAAGGGAAGAGAGTCCCACATCGATAAAACACAAAAACAGGGGACTCTCCCTCACCTATAAAAGGAGACTCCTCTCCTTCAAGAAAAGAGAGAGTAAGGCGGGCTATTAGGGTACCATATGGCTCACAAGGGCCTCATGGGCTTACCCCTAAGCCCATTTACAAAGCTCACGGATCATTTGCCTTCAGCCAGATCCTCAACCTTCGTCCATCAGCCTTCGGCACCTTTCCATCATTCGGCGCGTGCGATGTCTTCACATCCCCCCAATGATTCAAAATCGGCCTTCGGCACCCTTCTATCATTCGGCGCGTGCGATGTCTTCACATCCCCCCAATGATTCGGAATCGGCCTTCAGCCTTCGGCCATCAGCCTTCAGCACCCTTCCATCATTCGGCGCATGCGATGTCTTCACATCCCCCCCAATGATTCGGCATCAGCCTTCGGTACCTCATGATGAATCTTCTCCCTTACGATGTCAAGGCATGCCGAACGGCACCTCCCAAGAGACATCTTTTCATTCCATGCCTGCACACAAGAGAAAGCGAAGAAGGAGCTGAAGCATTGCTTGGCCAGTGCATTGACGATTACAAGTCCCCAATCATGAAGTACCTCCTTAATCGGGAACTTGGGGGACTCCTGTTAGTACAATATCTGGCCAAGCACTCCTAAGCTAATCCAAGCAAAGGGAAGAGAGTCCCACATCGACAAAACACAAAAAGAGGGGACTCTCCCTCACCTATAAAAGGAGACTCATCTCCTTCAAGAAAAGGGAGAGTGAGGCGGGCTACTAGGGCACCATATAGCTCACAAGGGCCTCATGGGCTTACCCCTTAAGCCCATTTACAAAGCTCACGGATCATTTGCCTTCAGCCAGATCCTCAGCCTTCGGCCATCAGCATTCGGCCCTCAGCTTTCGGCCCTCAGCCTTCGGCATTCTTCCTCCTCTCCTTAGGTCTAACCCTATGTGCAATGTATACAGTCTTTAACATAATGATAACATACTTCTCCGTGGACATAGCCCATTATTCGGGTGAACCACGTACATTTGTCTTCTATATGCATGCCTATACCGAATGCTCTCACATACCAAGAGTCCTCACCTTCATCATCCTCCTCCTCATCTTTAAGTTGGTCTAATTACTACCCGTTTAGTTTTTACCTCCAACAAGACTGATGAAGAATGACTTAAAATACTCACCATGACTACCTAATTATTGAGGATTCTAGTTTTGTTTGATCAATTTGGAGCCAAATACTCACCTCAATTACCATGACTTTTGATGTGTTATTTCTTCTCTACTTCATCCTTTTCATGTTTGTCCCTTGTTCTACCACAGCTCAAACTTACAGAAACATATCTTTAGGTTCATCCCTCACTGCACTAAATGATGACAACTCATCATGGCAATCACCTTCTGGTGAATTTGCTTTCGGTTTTCGACAGATTGGAAAGGATGGCTTCCTACTAGCCATCTGGTTCAACAAGATAACCGAGAAAACCATTGTGTGGTCAGCCAATGGGGATAATCTTGTCCCACAACGATCCAAGTAGTTGGACTAAATTTCGGTGATTTTTTCTGCCAATAGCACTCACTTCAGCTTTGAATTCTAAATCGTTTTCTCTAACCTTAGTGTCTGAACTTTTTACAGCAACACACTTTCCATTATCAAACACTAAAACACCTTTAAAAACTGTTGCAGAAGCACCACGTCCTAGCTCTTCCTTGAATTCGTTTGTAGCTTTTTTTATCTCCTCATAAGTAAAATACTTCAAATTCATGCTTGACATGACTGGATGTGATTGATTCACCTTAGCATTTCTAGAATAGACACGAGAAACAACCAAATAGGTTATTACTGGTAAGAGGAAGTTCAGGACCCCATAGCTACTGAGGAGCACTGATCCAACAAGGATCAGAGTTGAGTTATCCTTCTTTTTTGTGTTTGCACCTCCAGCTGATTTTAAAGTAGAATTGTCTTTTCCAAATTTGATCAGAGTTTTCCCACTAATACTAGAGTCAATCATCCCATTCGAAAAAGGGAGTCTCTTCTTGAAACAGTCTCCGGCGGGGTTGAAAATTGCAACAGCACAAAAACAATCATCTAGGCAATTCTGTCTGCACCAATCCTCAGTTACCCCCTGAAAATGCTCATAATCCCCACCAGGAAAATACTTGTTTTACATCTCTTGAAAATAAAAAAGATTCGTCCCTGGTGAGGCTTGGTCACAACTTTGCGGAACAAAGTTTTGTTTGCATCCTCGGGGCGCATCATTTGGATCAATAGAGTTGTAACCATTAGGGCACTGGCAAATTGGTCCTTCATCTCTAAGCCTACATAAGCTGTTGAATCCACATGCACCACCACCCACACCTTCCACAATTGACAAGCAGATATTCGGAGGTACAAAAGTGGAAGTAGACCAAGCCACCGGCCACCTTCCGGCACTTGAGCTAGTACTTTTAGGATAAACATAGTGTCTCAAAACTCCATCATACTCTAAAGTTGCTCTCTGGTAGAAATCTTGTATTGAAACTGCATTTGGTGATATGGGATTGAGTACGCTTCCATTCCTGGATGCAAGGTAAGTGAGGCCAGACTGGTTGAAGATGACCTGAAATCCAATATCTGTTTTGGTTGACCAATAAGCAGAATTGACAGAGTCTTGTGGGAAATTTGTAGTGTAAAGTGCGAGATTTCCATCAGATTGTAGTGCAAACAGGAATCTACCTTTTGAGTAATTTGTAGCCGTGTAGCGAGCATAGAGGTTGCTGTTTTGATTTAGAGTTTGTGTTGGCAGGATTGTATCAGTTGGTTGATCAAAACTCTGCCACAACGTGCTTGAATTTTGGTTGGCCAGCACGAAATTTCCAGTGTCTAGCATGGCTGCATAGGCAACTCCAGTACCAGCAGATTCAGCATACCATATTCTCTTGCCAGTTGCATCATTGAGCATAAACTGGCCATCACTTGTAAGTTCAACTTGGGATCCTTGTGGCACAAGATTATTCCCATTGGCTGACCAGACAATTGTTCTCTCTGTTATCTTATTGAACCAGATGGCCAGTAAGAACCCATCTTTTCCAATCTGTTGAAAACCAAAAGCAAATTCACCAGATGGTGATGCCCACGATGAGTTATGTTAGTATGAAATTTGTATTGTCATTTCCTAGACTCTAGCATAGGTTGGGAGTTAGTGTGTGAATATCGCTTACTAGATGTTTTGGCGCAACACATTCAATCCCAGATTTCTGAAGCATGACTTGACCGATATGAGAAACTGATTTCAGACATAATCATGCATTCATTATAGGATTCCTAATTGGAGTTATTTTTCACTCAAAGTATTTTTATCTTAATCTTATTTTTAATAGGATTAGATTTTATCTCTTGATATTATCTCTTAAGGAACTATATATGTCTTGGATTTTTTAAATTAGTTTGTATTATTTATGTCTTGGATGTTTACATACAGTGTCTAAGGAACTATATATGCATACTAGTACTATCTTCAAGCACAAGCAGAGTTGTTCAAGTGACTTACTCTTCCAGTGCGCCTCATTTTTCCTCATGCACACCATTTCAGTACAAAATGGAACAAGATACGCATGAGTTACAGTAAGTAGAAAGAGTAACGGGGTGAGAGAAAGAGGGAGAGAGCAGTCCCACATCGACGTGGAGATAGAAGAGAGGTCAAAATGTGTTGTATAAAAAGGCGAAAGGAAATTGAAAGAAAGCATGATCCTTCAGGCAGAAACGGGATATGATGAGTGGTCAGTATTCGCAATAATTATGCGAGAGATGGGTGTCCGCCCCAAAGCCTGGTTACGACAATTGGGCACCCTATTCTTTGTACCATCTGATCCCTATTCTCTCAATAAGCACCAAACACTAATTCAGTTTTAGACTTTTTTCAATTTTTTTTTACTTTTTCAATTTTTGTTTTGGAAAATAATATTTTGTTTTGAGTTGCAAAGTTTTTGTATTGATGTTAGTGCTTTTGTATTCTTGCTGGGTTACGGAATGCTCAAGAGGAAAGAAGGAAGAATAGAAGAATATGCAGAATGATGAAATGCTCTGCCTCTCTCATTCTGAAAATGCAGAGAGACAATGTATATTTCTTATCTGAGAAATGAGCACACAAAACGTGTACTGCATGACCATTTTCCTTAGCTGGATACACACAAGCATCATATTGTATCTCAGCCATTCATTTAGCTATACTAAGATCTCTACGCGTGGCTTATTTGAGCCTTATATTTTGGAGCCTTACACCTGCCATTCTAAGAGACTAAGTGCATTCACTATTATAGTTCTAGGCTTATGCTAATCAGCTCATTACTTACAGTTCTACAGTTGAGTCCACAATCAGATCAGAGACAGAAATATAGATATCCAGAAATCAATGATAATTGCGATCACTTTGATTGACATATAATGAGGATGGATTTGGTGGGACGGAGACTTCAATAGTCCCTTCAAGCATCTGTGTGACATTCTTCATGGTGGGTCTTATTGATGGATCCTCTTGAATGCACCAAAACGCGATCATCGCATACTTCTCCATCATCTTGATGTCACCCATTTCCTCACCATTATCATTCTCCAATAACATGTGTATTGTCTTTTTCTTGTAGCAAGCATAAGCCCAATCAGCTAGTATCATTTGATCTTCATTCTCTATTTTTGGTTCATAATGCTTCCTGCAGCAAATTATCTCTAGTAACAAAATGCCAAAGCTATAAACATCCACCTTCACTGTGACAGGAGAGCTTTTGAACCATTCAGGGGCCATATACCCTTTTGTTCCCCTGAATCTAGTAGTTGTTCGAGTTTGATCCATTTGCAAAAGCTTGGCTACTCCAAAGTCAGCAATTCTTGCAGTGAAAGAGTCGTCTAGAAGAATGTTTTGAGGCTTAATGTCACAATGTATGATTTGGCTGCTACACTCTTCGTGCAAATACAAGAGCCCTCTTGCAGTTCCTAAGGCAATTTCCCTTCTTTGATCCCAGCTGGGCATTGACTCTCCAAAGAGGAAGCTTGCTAAAGAGCCATTGGTCATAAACTCGTAAACAAGAATTCGGTGCTGCCCTTCGTTGCAGAATCCTAGTAGCTGGACCAAATTTCTGTGATTTGTTCTGCCAATCGCACTCACTTCAGCTTTGAATTCCAAATCATTTTCTCTGACCATACTGTCCAATCTTTTTACAGCAACGGATCTTCCATTATTGGATGCTAAAACTCCTTTAAAAACTGTTGCAAAAGCACCTCGTCCTAGTTCTTCCTTGAATCTGTTGGTAGCTTCTTTTAGCTCCATGTAAGTGAAACATTTCAAATTAATGCCGTGAACAACTGGATAAAGTTTACTCACCTTTGCTTGCTTAGAATAGATGTGAGAAGCAAACAAATAGGTTATTAGAGAAACAATCAAATAGCTTATTATTATCATCAACACTGATCCAACGAGGATCAAAGCTGAATTCTCTTTCTTTCTTGCACGTGGGACTTCTTGTCTATAAGTAGAATTGTCTATCCGTACTTTGATCAGGGATATCCAGCCAACACCCTGGTCGATCCTTCCATTTGAAAGGGGAATTCCCTTCTTCAAACAACCCCCAGTCGCTTTGTCAAAAACGGCAATGGCACAGAAACAATCACTTAGGCAACTTTGCCTGCAAAAATCCTCATTTACTTTCAGAAAATGCTCATAATCTCCATTAGGCCAATCTGTGTATAGCATCTCTTGAAACCCGAAATGATGTGTTTCAGGTGAGGTTTCATCGCAATTTTGGGGAACGAAGTTTTGCTTGCATCCTTTCCGCTCATCATTTGTATCAATGGATGTGTAATTCTTTGGGCACTGGCAAACAATTTGTCCTTCATCCTCATGTTTACATAAGCTGTTGAAACCACATGCACCACCACCTATTTTTTCTGAAATTGCAGTGCAGATATTTGGAGGTTTGAAGGACACAGTGGACCAATTCCTGGTCCCCTTTCCCTCACTTGAGCCATTGCTTTTGGGGGTAGATATAGTGCCTCAAAACTCCATCAAAATCAAGAGTTGCTCTCTGGTAGTAATCGTGCATTGAAACCTCCTTGTTTGATACCATGCTAAGTAGGCTTCCGTTACTGTCTGTAAGGTAAATATAGCCAGACTCATTGAAGATGACTTGAAAGCCAACACCCTCAGTTTGGGTTGCCCAGTAACGAAAGTTAGGAGACTCCAATGGAAAATTTGCTGTATAAAGAGCAAGAATCCCCTTAGACTCTAGAGTAAACAGGAACCTTCCTTTTGAGTAATTTGTTTTCGTGTAGCTACCGAAGAGTGTGCTGTTTCGGTTTAGAGTCTGCATTGGTAGGATTGTATCAGTTGGATGATTAAAACTCTCCCACAAATTGGTTGAATTTCGGTTGGCCAAAACGAAATTTCCTGAATCAAGCATGGCTGCATAGGCAACCCCAGTAGCAGCAGCCTGCTCAGCAATGAACATTTGTGTGCCATTTGCCATATCATTCAGCATAAACTGGCCATCTGCAGTGAGTTCAACTGTAGATCCTTTTTGCACTAGATTGTTGCCATTGGCTGACCAGACAATACTTCTTTCCGGAATCGTGTTAAACCAGATGGCTAGTATGAAGCCGCCATCATTACCAATCTTTTGGAAACCGAAAGCAAACTCCCCAGATGGTGAGAGCCAGGAAGAGTCATCATCCTGAGCGGTGAGGACTGAGCCTAAAGATATGTTATTGTAAGTTTGAGAAGTTGTGTGAAATGGCAACCGTAGAAGGATAAGTAGAAAGCTTAAACAATATGGTAGTTGAAAAGCCATGGTAGGAAGTTAGATGAGTTAACACTGAAAGAGTAGTCTATGAACACCATTTCCATAGTAATGTATATGGCAATATTATTAAAATATTTTTTTTTGTCCAGCTTTGCAAATTCACCTATATTCAATCCATTAAAATCATCGAATATATATATACATTAATGTCATCGACAATCCATTAAACAGAGACTTGTTTTCATATATCTGGCTTCTCTTACTAATGAAAAAAGTCAGCAGGATTGCTTGGCTTCCAATGTGCCGGACAATATGTTAACTTAAAGAACAACGTTTGATGTATTTTTATTTGACATCTTAATGGCAATCTCTTGTTTGTGTGTATGCGCCAATCAATGCCTTGTTCGGCAGATTGACAAACTCTTGAATTATATAATGATTTCCTACAATACATAAGTGTTGCCTGCTTTGTTTATCTCTCACCACCCTTGTTAAATTTGACCTTAGTCACTATTGGCTTGTCTGAGTTAAATAAAGCGCGTTGTATGATGTACTTTAATACCTTTTAGATGCATATTAAAAATTAAAAAATCATGCAGAGTCTTTGTAACACCCCGACCCCAAATTATCCCATGTTTTAATTTATTTAAGTGGAATTGAGAAATTACCCGTGGGATAGGGGTATTTTAGTCATTTTCTTATCCGGAAGGAATTTGGGAATTCCGGATGTACCGTTGCGTAGAGTACGGTGAGATGAGTTCATAGACACGTAGTGGGCTCAAATCGGAGTTGTAACGAGAGAGATATGATCAAAAGAAGCTCAGTGGCATAATCGTAAATATTTGGAAAATGGATTTTTGGTTAAAAGACGGAATTGCCCCCGTCTCTCACACACTCTCTCTCTCCCGCGCGCGTCTCTCCCTCTGGTTTTCGCGACAGCCACTGTGGCCGGCCACGTTTTGGCCGGCCGTGCTCTCGTCCGGCCACCAAAGTCGACGGGGCCGGTACCAAAATGACCGGGCCGCCGTCCTCTTCTTACCCCGGCCAGGTCCTACCGCCAGCCGCCGTGATTTCGCCGGAAAACGAGGAGAAAAGCTCCGGTTTTGACAGAAACTTCGCCGGCTTCGTTCTCCGTCGTCCGGCCACCGATTCCGGCAAGTGAGGTATGGTTTCTCACCTATTTTCCGAGCTCTAGCTGATGGTTGGGTAGGATTTCATAAATTTTGAGGCTAAGTAGCTCGATCGACGGATTGAAATTCGGCCGGTTTTGCGATCGCGATTCCGGCCACTTCCGGTCAATTTTTGGGGTAAGCCCAAGAACAAAAGTGACTCCAAATTAGGTGTATTACCTAGGGTAGGAGTCTGGGCTCACGATTTGGAAGTTTTCCGGCGATGGGTATCGCTTTGGACACCCACGCGCTGCCGGCGCGTGGGCACGGTAGCTGAGGGGCATTTTTGTCCCATTGTGATCCTCTCGATGTCACGAGCGCGTAGGTGTGCTCGGATCTCATTTTGGATATCGTTAGAGTCCCGAACGGATATCGCATATCGCGTATTTTCCGGGTTCGCTAGGTTTGGACCGTTGGATGGTCCTGAGATTGTAATATGTTGATCTAGGTATTACCAAGATCGTGTAGGATTCGACGGATCGTAAAACGGAGTCCCGGATACTCCGGAAATGCCAACCCTGGGGTTAGGGTTTTAGTAACCGTCCGATCGCGTGATCGTGAGCGATCCGACCGTCCGATCTGGACCAAACTTGCAGGACGTGCATCCTAGAGCTGGTAGAACCTATAGGAACTTTCAGATCGGAAATTGGAGGTCGTGGGCCCTGCGGCTCGTTTGACCAACGGTGGGTAGTTTGACCCTGGGTTGACTGTGAGACCTTTGGGATAGTTCTACCTTCTCAGGAGGGTTAGAATGACCATAGAGACAGGTCCTGATGTTATGGGGATTATGGGGAATTATCGGATGCTAGTTGTTTATTAAGGTGTTTATATTATTAGAATTTAATGTATAAATTATGTATGGATTTTATAATTGAATGTTAGTTTGCAGTGCTATATGCACTACCCTATGTACCTCATCGGATGTTGACAGGCCCCGTACGTGGCCGGGTGCGTCCCGACGTATGAGTGGGAGTTATGATGGTATGAGGGCTGGTGAGAATGTAGCCATGCCCAGTGTGAGGTCGCACGCGTCTTTGGGTTAGCCGGCGTGTTGACAGACCCCGTACGTGGCCGGGTGCGTCCCGACGTATGAGTGGGAGATATGATGGTATGATGGCTGGTGAGAATGTAGCCAGGCCCAGTGTGAGGTCGCACGCGTCTTTGGATTAGCCGGCGTGTTGACAGACCCCGTACGTGGCCGGGTGCGTCCCGACGTATGAGTGGGAGATATGATGGTATGATGGCTGGTGAGAATGTAGCCAGGCCCAGTGTGAGGTCGCACGCTCTTTGGATTAGCCGGCGTGTTGACAGACCCCGTACGTGGCCGGGTGCGTCCCGACGTATGAGTGGGAGATATGATGGTATGATGGCTGGTGAGAATGTAGCCAGGCCCAGTGTGAGGTCGCACGCGTCTTTGGATTAGCCGGCGTGTTGACAGACCCCGTACGTGGCCGGGTGCGTCCCGACGTATGAGTGGGAGATATGATGGTATGATGGCTGGTGAGAATGTAGCCAGGCCCAAGTGATAGTGTGAGGTCGCACGCGTCTTTGGATTAGCCGGCGTGTTGACAGACCCCGTACGTGGCCGGGTGCGTCCCGACGTATGAGTGGGAGATATGATGGTATGATGGCTGGTGAGAATGTAGCCAGGCCCAAGTGATAGTGTGAGGTCGCACGCGTCTTTGGGTTAGCCGGCGTGTTGACAGACCCCGTACGTGGCCGGGTGCGTCCCGACGTATGAGTGGGAGATATGATGGTATGATGGCTGGTGAGAATGTAGCCAGGCCCAGTGTGAGGTCGCACGCGTCTTTGGATTAGCCGGCGTGTTGACAGACCCCGTACGTGGCCGGGTGCGTCCCGACGTATGAGTGGGAGATATGATGGTATGATGGCTGGTGAGAATGTAGCCAGGCCCAGTGTGAGGTCGCACGCGTCTTTGGGTTAGCCGGCGTGTTGACAGACCCCGTACGTGGCCGGGTGCGTCCCGACGTATGAGTGGGGGATATGATGGTATGATGGCTGGTGAGAATGTAGCCAGGCCCAGTGTGAGGTCGCACGCGTCTTTGGATTAGCCGGCGTGTTGACAGACCCCGTACGTGGCCGGGTGCGTCCCGACGTATGAGTGGGAGCTATGTGATTATGTTGGGTGTGTTGTGATGGATAAACCCGAGAATGTATGAATTTATATGGATGTGATGGTTTAATTGATATCAGGAGCCAGGATTGATAGGAAAGAGCTACGTGTGGCTTGATCCCTTAGTAGGGTACGTAGGCAGCCTGGGATAGCGCCTAGGTGCAGCCACGACCTAGACACCACTTAGGTGGTTTTATCGAGTATGATGCGGACTTCGTGGTTGGTCCCAAAACTTGGTTGAATTGAGGCTTGTCCGGTGGACTGAGTGAGTGAAGGTGTGCATAGAGAGATTTGGAATTTGTTATATGCATGGTTGATGCATGAAGTTATTTTGAAAACAATGTGGGCAGTCTGCTAGAATCATTTGAAGGCCGGAGGCCATTTATGTAAATTGCATGAGATTATATTGTGCGTGCTGCTGGTTGGGTTATAAAATGTGTTTTATGCAGGTGGAAATTTTGGGGAATGTTCAATTTACAGGGGAGACTCTGCCGAAATTTCGGCAGAAAGTCTCGTGCCCTTAATCCTCTATGGTGAACGAGGACGTAGATTTAAGGAGTAAACCCGGCGTGGGTGTGATGCCGGGGTCTCCGCAGGGTTCGTCTCGGGTTCCGGGAAATTCGGGGCGGGTCCTGTCAGTCTTTGAGATTTCAGAGGGTGTTATGGATAGTTCATAGCTTAAAAGGTCAAGCTATGCTGTCACTGAAACATAAAAAGTCCCAGGTATATTGTGACCTGGGATTATTTGAACAAAACTTCCTCAGAAAATTAGTCTAGACCGTGAAGTTGAATCTTGAGGATGATCAAACACACACAAAGTTTGATATCCGAAATCAATTGTATTTATGATCACTTAGATTGAAAATATAATGAGGATGGATCGGGTGGTATTGAGATTTCAACACAGTTCCTTCAAGCATTTATGTGACATTCTTCATTTTGGGTCTTACTGATGGATCTTCTTGAATGCACCAAAATGCAATCATCAAATATAATTCCATCTCCTTGATGTCATCCTTTGCCTCCTCATCATCATCAATCTTCAGTAACAGGTGCAGTTTCTTTTGTTTATAGCAATGATATGCCCAATCTAGCTAGTACCATTTGATCTTCATCCTCTATCTTTGCTTCATAGTTCTTTCTGCATTGAGGGAAGAACATGAAAATGCCAATGTTCGAAAAATCACCAGGCGGTAGTCGGGTGGCAGGCAGGGGCCTAGTGCCTAGAGGAGTAATCGGGGCCTAGACGTTTCTTTTTCTTTATTATTTACAATCATTTTGTATTATAATTATAAATTTATAACAAAATCATGCAAAATAAAATGATATATAAATTAGGAGTCCGGTTTACCTGTTACCAAAGTTCCTGTGCCCCCCTGTTTCCCTGCTAATTTCATGACATGTGGCAAGCCACTTAACACCACTTTAACACCAATTTATTCTGTTAACTCTTTTTGCTTCTTTTTTCTGTTTTTTTTGTTGTTGCTTTTTCTCCCTGTTCTACCCCATTCTCTCTTTTTCCCCCTTTCCCCCTACCTCCTTCGTCTCCCCTTTCTCTCTTCTTCCCCCTCTCGAGCTCTTCCAGCAATCTGAAATTCCTTGGAACTGTGAACGAAAAACAAACCCAAGAGATATAATTACAACTCATGCATGAAGAGAATGAATACCATAGTATAGCAATCACGAGGGTGGCCATAAGAGGGAACGTCCTCACGAGTATATATCAGGCTATAAAAGCTCAAGATTTCAAGGGAGTGATTATCAAACAGGTAATTGCTGGAGTAGGGGAAATAATAGAAAGAGGGTCAGTTTTGCCCGAGTGTGATAAAGAATGGGGCATCGGTATATGTAATGGCCTCGAAACCGTCTATCCTTGGAGTCAATAGAAGCAGATTTGCAGGCATGATATACATATTATATTATTGCACCCTCCATAACCAATTTAGATAACCCAACATCACCCAATCCAACCCATTTAATTAGTCCCAAATATAAACCTTTGTGAGTTTGTGGAGAGAGGAACTCAGAAAATAAAGTAGGGAAAAAGGGGGTGAAGGAGAAACTAAGAAAAGAAATATAAAAAAATGAGAGGAAAAGAAAAAGAAAAAACAAAGCAAAAAAAAAAAAAAAAAAGAGAGAAAAAACGTGGTGGTGGAGAACTGGAAAAGAGAACAAAAAAGGAAGCAAAGGAGGGGAGACGAAGAAGAGAGGGGGAGACGGAACCAGAGGAGAGAAAAGTCCAGAACAGGGAGAAAAAGTAAAAAAAGCAAACAGTAAAAGAAGCAAAAAGAGTTAACAGAGTTAAGTGGTGTTAAGTGACTTGCCACATGTCACGAAACTAGCAGGGAAACAGACGGACACAGGAACTTTGGTAATTGGTAAACTAGGCGATAAATTAGAGGCCTAAATTAGAAAGTACCATATAAAACATGGGGAGAAAGTTTAGCATAAAGCATATAGTAATACTCTAATTAGTTAAAAAATATTACATTGCAATTTTTGGGTATAGACCGAAAGGGTTTTTGTTTGTTGGGCCCATAAACGATACATAGCTTTATAACTCCTACCCACCAAAACGATACGTATGGCTTAATAACTCCTACCCAACAAAACGATGCGTACAGGCGTATTCCATTAGGTCATCTTCTTCGCGTTTACCACCTGGTGCTGCCCCCGCAAGCTCGTGGAGCAGATCCAGCCAAATCTTCTTCGCTTAGTTTACCACATGGTGCCGCCTAAAGCTCTCGGAAATGAAGGACTAGCCCAGGCGCCCGGACCCGCCCAGGCCACCCCTAGGCGCCGCCTTGGCTGATTTTTCGAAGACTAGCAGCATATGCATGTGTATGATATTAAAAAACTAGTTGGCAGGAAATTGAAGGTGATGAATGATTCAGACACAAAAAATGTACCACATGAATATAAATTAAATATTTCCTGGACAGTGTGATACAGAACTCGTCACCGAGGACGGGAGGCAGGCAGAGCTGGAATGCTGGATAGAAGAGCTAGCTATTCCCTTTCATTAATATATATATATATATATATATATATATATATATATACAGAGAGAGAGAGAGAGATGGTACAATACCACTCGTGTTCTGCTTATTTTATGGTCGATTGTGCAATGCATCCCATGACATTGTTACCAAATTGAAGATACTCATGCTATATATTATAAGTAAAATATAAGTGCTGATGGGGTTTATGATCCGGTGGTGGGGAGACAATGCATAAACATCGCTGATATAGTTTTTGGATCCAGATCGAAATCACGTTGTGACTGATTTAGCTGTGAAGAGGATGAGTTGCTCTTGCCTCCCGAACCGTGTGATATATATTGAGCAGATGCCAAAGGGAAGGAAAGAAAACTGAAACACCAAATTGAACATTCAACTGCAAAGTACAAGACCATTCTCTTTTCCAAGATTTGCATGATTGGGTTGAGAAGTTTCTTCTATTGCCACACTCTCAGCAAACCTTATCCCAGGCTTGTGGAGACAAATGGATCAATGATACTAGACGGATCTTTGAGGCTCCTGGATGTGTGTGGCATCATTAAGGATGCCCTTTTGCAAACAAAGGAGTGCACACATGAACTTCAATCGATTATGCACAGAAGACGAGGAGGTGACATGAGCTTCATGAGTGAGGTTAGAAAATACCTTGCCTCTAGGAAGGATGTCAACAAGGCAATGAACAAGGCCTTCAAGGTCAAGAAAAGTTAGGGAACCGACAAAAACCATGAAACTCCAGCTGTGATCAACATGTTGAAAGAGTTAGATGCAGTAGCTTTTGCTGTGTTTGAATCCTTGTTGTCCTTCATAGCTGGTTCGAAATCAAAGTCAAGCAGTTGGTCATTAGTTTCCAAGCTAGTGCAGCCCAGAAGAGTATCCTGTGAGGGTGAGGAAACTGCAGATACGAATGAACTTGAGAAAGTGGATGCTGCATTGAATGACCTTATTACTCATAAGTCTAAGAAATCTGATTACGCAATGCAAGTTGAGAACGTGCAAATTTGGCTCCAGGATTTGGAGGCAAACATTCAAGATATAGAAGAAGGACTTGAGTGCCTGTTCAGGCGCTTGATCAAAGCCAGAGTCTCTCTTCTCAACATTTTCAACCATTAGGGATGAAAATCATCCAATTTTGTAGACATTGAACAAACATACTTGTATATGAAGGAGATGTATATCTGTTCTATGTCTTGCTTTGTCCCTCTTTTTAAATTGTGCAATCCTGATGACAGATTAAACAAACAGTAAATTCAATTTCCCATGCATTAACCCATCAAACAGAATAAACAATACAATGATTTAATGGAATGATCTCTTGCAAAAGTTGAAAAACTTGAGGGTGAATAACTTGAACCATTTTTTACTCAAACAACTTGAGGGTGTTAAAATTCAGTCTCAAGAATTTTGTGCAATTTAATTGACATTATAGTTGTCAAGATTTCCAATTCTCTCAACAGGCAAGAGATGATTATGCACAAATAAATCAAAGATAATCAATACTCACATGGTAGTTTGCAGATTTGAATCTCCACATGGTCGCTTTTCTTTGTGGTAACAGCCCCATATAATGAGTCTCTTTGCTTATTAGCCTCGATTATTTTCTTGAGACAGACAGAGACGTGGCAAATGCTGATCTTGCCTTCTCTGTGAACACCCACAATTTGATAAATAAATAAATTAGCAACATAATTAATTGTTGTGTCTGCATTTACATGTGAGCTATGCAATGGACCTGCAAGCAATATTATAAAATAGCATATATAAATGCATTTCATGAAGAAAAGCACAGGAAAATTCAAATGCATGCATGTAACAAGGTTGTGAGTCTCTGGCACAGACAACATGTGACCACATGATTTTAATTGATTTCTTAATGTAAAATATTGTGTTAGGTGATCATTTCCATTGAATTTATATATTTGCAGTGCAGAGTTATAGAGAACTCGTCTCCATGGAGGCAGGCAAGCGGAGCTGGAATGCTGGATAGAAGAGTTATTGCCTTACTGTTCTATATATTCTATGGTTTGTTGTGTAGTTACCTCTTTGAAGATGCTCATCTTATATTAGATTTAAAACAGGGTTGGGTGATCAGTGGGTGATACGACCACCTCCTAGTATAGCCGTGGCTATACTATTTTAAAACCAAAAAACCAGGTAAAGCCGTGCGGCTGTCCTATTTAAAAAAGAATTCAGGAGAACGGGTATAGCCGGCCGGCTGTATTTTTTTATAAAAAAAAATTTAAAACCACATACAGCAGCAGCTGTGCTATTTTTTTTAATTTAAAAAATTAGGAAAAAACCGAGTATAGCTGCGCGGCTATCCTATTTTAAAAAAACCAAGTATAAGTGAAAAAAACCGAGTATAGTTGTGTGGCTGTACATACATTCATTCATAGTTAGTAAAATACGGAACGGGAAAAAATACTAATAAAATAGGTACGCGTGTTTGATTCGGAAATTTTTTTGCAAATTACAACTTAAATGTTGGGCCACTATATATTTTTTTTAATATATATTATTTTTATTCAATAATATGTGAGAATTATGTGTATAATATGTGAATTTTGTGTGTCTGATTGAAATTTTTGTAAAAAAATACGTCTATTAAACATGACAAATACATACGTACCTTTATTATACGAGTATTGTATGTTTGTTTTTTTTAAATGTGAACTTTACAGAGTCGTTAAGATGTGTGCAGAACATAAATGTATTAATGAAAATACATATGTACGTGTATTACATTATTAAACATGAAAGTGCTAAATTGTTAATTGGTTTCATTTGTAAATATGTTTTAATTATTATTTCTTTAGTGAACAAATAAATATTTTAATTAACTTCATAAATTATATTACTTAATAAATGATAATTATTTAAATACTAATTATTCACTAAGTAAATAATAATTAAAATATAACTACTAAATAAAGTAATTGAAAAAGAGAAATCAGGACTGTGCTATTTAAAGGGGATATCCGCGCAGCTATACTTTGAAAATATTCTATTTAAAGGGTATAGCCGTGCGGCTATACTGTTAAAATTCTATTTATAGCGTATTCCATTAGGTCATCTTCTTCGCGTTTACCGCCTGTTTGCTGCCGTCGCAAGCTCGTGGACCAGATCCGGTCAAATCTTCTTCGCTTAGTTTACCACATGGTGCCGCCTAAAGCTATCGGAGATGAAGGATCCGCCCAGACGCCCAGACCCTCCCAGGCCGCGCCTAGGCGCCGCCTAGGCCGATTTTTTGAACACTAGCAGCAGATGCATGTGTATGATCTTAAAAAACCAGTTGGTAGGAAATGGAAGGTGATGAATGATTCTGACACAGACAATGTACCACATGAATATAAATTAATGCCAAAATATTTCCTGGGCAGAGTGATACAGAACTCGTCATCGGGGACGATAGGCAGGCAGAGCTAGAATGCTGGATAGAAGAGCTAGCTATTCCCTTTCATTAATATATATATATATATATATATAGAGAGAGAGAGAGAGAGAGAGATGGTACAATGCCCCTTGTGTTCTGAATATTTTATGGTTGATTGTGCAATGCATCCCATGACATTGTTTACTGAATTGAAGATACTCATGCTATATATTATAAGTAAAATATAGGTGCTGATGGGGTTTGTCATCCGGTGGTGGGGAGACAATGCATAAACATCGCTGATATAGTTTCTGGATCCAGATCGAAATCACGTTGTGACTGATTCCACAGTGACGAGGATGAGTGGCTCTTGTCTCCCGAACCGTGTGATATATATTGAGCAGATGCCAAAGGGAAAAAGCAAACTGAAACACCAAATTGAACAGTCAACTGCAAAGTGCAAGACCTTTCTCTTTTCCAAGATTTACATGATTGTGTTGAGAAGTTTCTTCTGTTGCCACACTCTCAGCAAACCTTATCCCAGGAGTGTGGAGACAAATGGATCAATGAACTACTAGATGGATCTTTGAGGCTCCTGGATGTGTGTGGCATCATTAAGGATGCCCTTTTGCAAATAAAGGAGTGCACACATGAACTTCAATCCATTATGCGCAGAAGACGAGGAGGTGACATGAGCTTCATGAGTGAGGTTAGAAAGTACCTTGCCTCTAGGAAGGATGTCAACAAGGCAATGAACAAGGCCTTCAAGGTCGAGGAAAGTTATGCGACCGACAAAAACCATGAAACTCCAGCTGTGATCAACATGTTGAAAGAGTTAGATGCAGTAACTGTTGCTGTGTCTGAATCCTTGTTGTCCTTCATAGCTGGTTCGAAATCAAAGTCAAGCAGTTGGTCATTAGTTTACAAGCTAGTGCAGCCCAAAAGAGTATCTTGTGAGGGTGAGGAAACTGCAAATACGAATGAACTTGAGAAGGTGTATGCTGCATTGAATGCCCTTATTATTCACAAGTCTAAGAAATCTGATTACGCAATGCAAGTTGAGAATGTGCAAATTTGGCTCCAGGATTTGGAGGCAAACATTCAAGATATAGAAGGACTTGAGTGCCTGTTTGGGCGCTTGATCAAAGCCAGAGTCTCTCTTCTCAACATTTTCAACCATTAGGGATGAAAATCATCCAATTTTGTAGACATTGAAACTTGTATGTGAAAGAGATGTATGTGTATTTTCTCACCAGATCCAAAAAAAATATACTCCTTTGACACAAAACATATCTGTTCTATGTCTTGCTTTGTCCATCTTTTTTAATTGTGCAATCCTGATGATAGATTAAACAGAAAGTTAATTCAATTTCCCATGCATAAATAACCCATCAAACAGAATAAACAATACGGTGATTTAATGGAATGATCTCTTGCAAAGATTGATTAACTTGAACCATTTTTTACTCAAACATATTATATTAGATTTAAAACAGGGTTGGGTGATCGGTTAGTGATTTGCATATGACACTGCCAGAGGCACCTATTTTTTCATAGTGATAATATGTCTACCTTGGCTCTTAATGTCAATCCAGTTTTTCACTCTCGTATTAAACATTTGGAGATTGATTATCATTTTATTAGAGAACGAGTTCAATGTCGAGATCTGGTCGTGCAATATATTCCCACAGACAGTCAGGTTGTAGATATTCTTACCAAGGGCCTTCATAGTCCAGTGTTCATTTGACATTGTTCCAATCTTAGGCTAGGTCTGAACCCAGCTGAGATTGAGGGGGAATGATAACTGATGTTACTATTGCCACGTGTCAGTGCTAAGAAGAAAACCAAAATTTTATGAGTTTTAAATGAAAAAATTAAACAATTTCGCAAGGACCATTTGTGATAGGTGCATGAACCTCAGTGGTGTTTTGTGACATATATATATATTAGGTGCTAGCTCGGCCTCTTGAGCGTTTAAGATCTGGGTCCTAGCTGAGTCGCTTAGGTGGAAATCCCACCATCCTTTCAACTGACCGACAAAGCCGGCGATAATGGCTTCAGCCACCCTCCTATTTCCATTAATTTCCTTTTATCTTAGAGGTTGTAGTGTACACCATCATATGTTTCATTGTATTAATGATTTGGTATTCTGTCAGACCATCAATATTCCACTCAACTATGGAACTTCCGTCATATTGAGCGGAATTCCACATTCCATCTTCCTCAAACTGTAAATCAACTGGTGTGGGTCTAGGGTAGTAGTTTTTAGTCTTAGCAGTTTGTGTAAATCTCTTTTCAATCATTAACCTATTAATTTCAAGTTGCTTTTCCTTAAACATTGTTTCCAGGTTATCTATTTCTCCTTCATGGGAACTAACACTTGAGGACCCTTTCCTTTATTTGACAAATTTAACCCTGATAACTTTTTGGCCAAGACGTCAACAAAGTTTTCATTTTCAGATAAGGTCCTTCCCATCTTAAAATTTTTATTATCTAAGGCAGGAGGTGGTTTAAAGAACGCTTAACTCACTTCTCTATTTCTTTTGGTTTCTGAGGGTCCTGGTTCGGATTTCTGTTCCCCCATTGAAACAGATGTTTCAATCCCAGTAACTTGCTTTCCTAAAGACTGCAGAAATAGGTTGGTGTAGTTATTCTGATGAATGACAGTACCTACATCTTCTTTACTAGCTGTGCGAAAATTATTGGCACTATCTTCAAGGACAGTGGTTTCTTTGTAGGGAGCTGCAATTACATCCTTTTGTTTAATCACCATCTCGGGTGGATGTATGGCTTTGACTGACTTCCCATCTTTGGAAGTATAAGTCGAGAAGGGGCTTCCTATCATTTCTATATTATTCCTATATTCAGGGATGTCATACTTTTTAGCACACCAATCTAACTACGCAGAGAAAAAATAGTTGAATTTCTTTTCTTTTATGAAAGCGGTGTGGGCTTTCCAGAGATGGTCTTGCCTATCCTTCCTAAAGGTTGTTTCAAACCAAATTCTTTTATCATAATTTTCAATACTCATATAATCTCTTTTAATCTTTTCGTGTTCTATTTCAAAAGATTTTATCATATTTATTTCAAATTCTACATATGAAAATGTGGGTTCAAGTTGAGGAGGATTTCTTCTGAAACCTAAGTCTAGAATGGTTTGTTTGAACCTATAGGTTGGCCTCTGTATTTGTTCTTGAGTTCTCCTAAGTCCTGCTAGAACCATTCTTTCATGTTCTACGTCATAAGATCTATCAGATGAGGTGCTCGATATGTGTGGTTCTATGTTAGATCTAGAAGGTGCCAAATCAATCCTAGTTCTTCTAGCACTAGAGAATTGTATTTCTACCTATCCATCAACAAATTGCGAGATCCGTGTAGGCTCCTAATTTTCAAGAGGCCTTTTTGGAGCTACTTCATCCAAGATCCATTTTTCTGGCAAAGTTATATCACTCCACTTTATCATTTTTGGGACTGCCACGTTTGACTTTTCAAGATTGGTTTGGAACAAGGTAGTTTCACATTTACTATCTAATTTGGGACAAACAGTGTTCATAACCTTATATGAAACCCTGTAAATAATTGCTAGATTTTGGGATCTTGGGTCCATATCATAACCCTGAGTTTGAATATTCAACGTTAAGGGTTATAAGACATTTATATCAGAAAGTGCAACAGAAAAGTTGGGAAAACAGTTAAAATATATTGGGCTTTCCCCTAAGGTTGACTCGACTATTCCTAACAAGGAATCTTTGAACTTTCTATGGTGCCACGTCAGAAAACTAATGGAGTTTTTTACGAAAACTAACGGCAGGGACCATTTGTAATCACACATACTAACATTGAGGACCATGAATGACACAAAAAAACATTAAGGATGCAATCTGATAGTTTCGTAAACCTTGGGGACGTTTTGTGATAATAAGCCATTAAAAAAAGGACCCGCGTAGAGCTAGCCGCTATGTCAAAAACAGTAAAGCCACTCGGCTATACTATGTTTAAAAAAAATTAGGGAAAAACAAGTATAGCCGCTCGGCGATACGATTTTAAAAAATAATTAGGAAAAATCCGAGTATAGTCGAGCGACTATACTATTTTTTTTATAAAAAAAGAAGAAGAAAGAAACTGAGTATAGTTGCGTGGCTGTATGAATATATATATATAAATAAATAAATAAAACTAGTATAGCATCGCAACTGTACTTTCATTCATAGTTATTAAAATACGGAATGGAAAAAAATATGAATAAAATACGTACGTGTTTTATTCGGCAAAATTTTTTGCAAATTACAACTTAAATGTTCGACCACTATATTATTTTTTAATATAAATTATTTACATTTTTTAATATATATTATTTTTATTCAATAATATGTGAGAATTATGTGTATAATATGTGAACTTATTGAAATTTTTGTAAAAAATACATATATTAAACATGACAAATACGTACGTACCTATATAATACCAGTATTGTACGTTCACTTTTTAAAAAATGTGAACTTTATTGACTCTTTAAGATGTGTGCAGAACACGGATGTATTACTGAAAAATACATACGTATGTGTATAATATATTATTAAACGTGAAAGTGCTAAATTGTTAATTGCTTTCATTTGTAATTATATGTTTTAATTATTTTTTTCTTTAGTGAATAAATAAATATTTTAATTAACTTCATAAATTATATTACTTAATAAACGGTAATTATTATTTTTAATTTTTAAGTTTAATAAAATATTTAAATACTAGTTATTCACTAAGTAAATAATAATTAAAACATAACTAATAAAGTAATTAAAAAAGAGAAATCAGGATTGTGCTATTTAAAGGGGATAGCCGAGCGGCTACACATTGAAAATATTCTATTTAAATAATATAGCCGCGCGGCTATACTTTTAAAATTCTATTTATAGCGTATTCCATTAGGTCATCATCTTCGCCTGGTGCTGGCGCCGCAAGCTTGTGGAGCATATCCAGCCAAATTTTCTTCGCTTAGTTTTCCACACGGTGCCGCCTAAAGCTTTCGGAGATGAAGGATCCGCCCAGGACGCCAGACCCGCCCAGGCCGCGCCTAGGCGGCCGCCTAGGCCGCGCCTAGGCGGCCGCCTAGGCCGATTTTTCGAACACCAGCAGCATGTGCAGGTGTATGATATTAAAAAACCAGTTGGTAGGAAATGGAAGGTGATGAATGATTCTGACACAGACAATGTACCACATGAATATAAAGTATGCTTCCGTTTGTGGCTGTAAGGTAAATAGAGCCAGACTGGTTGACCTGGAAACCACTACCCTCAGTGTGTGTTGACCAATAGACATAATTAGGAGTATCCAATGGGAAATTTGTTGTATAAAGCGTGAGTGCTCCATCAGATTGTAGTGCAAACTGGAACCTCCCTCGTGAGTAGTTTGATGCCGTGTAGCTAGCGTGGAGTGCATTGTTTAGTTTTAGAGTCTCTGTTGGTAGGATTGTATCAGTTGGTTGATCAAAACTCTCCCTCAAATTGTTTGAATTTCCATTGGCCAGAACGAAATTTCATGTGTCAAGCATGGCTGCATAGGCAACTCCAGTACCACCAAAGTCCGCAATCCCTTTTTGTTTGCCTGTTGCAACTGGCCATGTGCAGTGAGTTCGACTGTGGATCCTTGTTGCACTAGATTGTTGCCATTGGCTAACCAGACAATAGTCTTTTTCGGGTATTTTGTTAAACCATATGGCTTGTATGAAGCCACCATCACTACCAATCTTTTGGAAACTGAAAGCGAATTCCCCAAATGGTGAGCACCAGACAGAGTTATTGTTGTCCTTTGCAGTGAGGGATGAGCCCAAAGATATATTGTTGTAAGTGTGAGCAAGGATTCAAAATGGCAGTATCTGTAGAAGGAGAAGTAGAAAGAAAAAAGGATATGGTAGTTCAAAAGCCATGGTACATAATTAAGGAGTTAATGGTGAAACTGCTGATGAGCATCATTTGCTATATCTTTATATAATGCCATCATCTGTGGAGTCACCTACAGTACCTTAAGATCATCAACAATCCATGCAATATATGTTTTACCTGAATGTGTTATGCTCTGGTTTGCTGCCCACATAAGTTTGCTAAAATGACAAACAAATGCAGTCCTCCCTTGATATACACAAAAATTCAAATGTTCTATGATATGATTTCTCTTGCTGTTTGTATGTGCAAATTGAATCTTTGTGCGGCGTACGAAGAATCTGTTTAACTAAATAATGATTTCGTTCAAATACACGGTGTATGGACAATATGGAGATTTGTCTTTTTGGATCATTCCACACATATTTTTCAGTGTTTTCAAAGCTTTCTGTCTCTGCCCTTAATTGTTGGCCTCTTTCATGTGCAACGAATGTTGTCGCTATTGGTTTTTTAAAATATCAAATGATTTAAGGATAAGTGGAAAGAAAACTCCCCAGATAGTGAGGGTAAGAAAGAGTTAGCATTCACAGCAGTGAGGGATGAGCCTAGAGATATATTCTTGGACAAACTGTACAGTAAACCCCCCAACCTATAGGGTCATTTACGAGTTCATACCTGATTTTGGGGACATTTACCAGTACATACTCAACGTCACGGAAAACCTACAATTTGCCCCCTCCAGTAGCCAAACTGTTAGTCAGTTTGTTAAATGATGACATGTCAAAAAGTGGGACCCTTTTTTTTATGACTTGGACCAAAAATTATTTCACTGTATAAATTATTTTTAAATTATTTTAAAAAATCTGTCTCTGTCCCTCTCTCTCTCTCTCTCTCTCTCTCTCTCTCTCTCTCTCTCTTAATGAGCAGTAAACTTTGGAGCAGGGAAGGATTAAGAAGAAGAGGTCTGGGACTGGGTTCTCCTTCATTTTATAAAAAAAATTAAAAAATTAAAAAAAAATAAAAAACCATATATCAGAAAATCTACTTTCTTCTATAATACTTGCTTGTTGCCTTTGGAACTGAAACTAATCTGAGTTTGAGTTAGTAGGTCCATTCCTAAGGTAGGCGCACTTCATAATTCAGTGGCCCTTCTGGCCTTAATCCCCCAATCTTTGCTGAGCCAACGGTGCATTTCTTTTGGCCAACAAAGCCTTTGCAATATTCAAAGTGCAAAAAATTTATTATTAGAAACCAACAAAATTTATTAGACAGATAGATAGATCTGAAACACCAAACTTTACATAAATGGAAATAACGGGGCATACCATGGTCTGGGGCCAAACCGGAGTTGAAACGTGGCGGAGCTTAACTGTTTATGTCCTTAAAGTTCAAGTTGAGGGCTTGAACTACCTTGGCTGGGAGCAGAACAGTTGGGAAACCTGTAATTTAAACACAACATGTTAAACAAAATAGTTCCAAATTGAAACAGAACAATCCTAATCACAAATAGTTGAGTTTCAGAATCTCAATTTCAAAATTCAAAGAGTTCCCATTAGTACATGCTTTCTAGCGAGGCTCAGGAGCAGGGTTGGTGTATCTGCGGCAAGAACATGCCCGTTACTGGGAGGATTATCGGATCAATGGTGGAGATTTCGTCCTGAAGTGGTCGCACTCGTTCGGATTCGAGCGGAGCTCGGCGTCAGCGGAGAGGATGATGGTGACGGAGCCAGCAACGGCATCATCGTGACATTACCACAGAGGAAGCTTTTGGAGCAAGCGATAGTCGCCCTTTGAGTCGTTGACAAAGGCTCAGGTCTTCTCCTTTAGGTCAATGTACAGAGGCGGCGTGAATATGAAATCGGCTTTCTTCTGCCAGAAATGCTTCTTCCTACTGACGGAGCCAAGCGCTAGATCCTCCGGCGGTGGCGCAGGAGGATCGTCTCATGAAGCAAGTCGATGACGAGTCCAATGTTCATAAGATGTTCTGGGTCTGGGTTTTCACAGAGAGAGAGAGAGAGAGAGAGAGAGAGAGAGAGAGAGAGTTTTTAAAATAATTTAAACAGTAAAATAATTTTTTTATTAATTTTTGGTCCACGTGGAAGTCCAAGTCATCAAAAAAATGGATCCCACTTTTGACATGTTAGCATTTAACAGACTGACTAACAGTTTGGCTAACGAATGAGGCAAATTGTAAGTTTTCCGTGACGTTGAGTATGTACTGGTAAATGTCCCCAAAATCGGGTATGAACTCGTAAATGACTCCACAGGTCGGGGGATTTACTGTAGTTTGTCATATATTCTTTTATATTGCGAAAGTCTTAAGAATAGTCATGGACTATAAGGCTAGGCATAAGTCTTTGAAGACTTTCATTAAAAAATTTATTATAAAAAATTTAAAACAAGAAAAATCAGTAATGCCGCCCAGCTATACTATTTATAAAAAAATAAAAAAAATTGACCCACCTAAGGATTAGGCCCATGTGTCAAAATGTGGATAGCCGAGCGGCTATACTATTTTTAAAGAAACATTAATAAAACCGAGTATCACCGACCGGCTATACTATTTTTTAAAAAATTAAAAAATTAGATATAGTATATTAAAAAAAGGACCCACTTAGCGATAGCTGCCACTTCAAAAACAGTAAAGCCGCTCGAAGAATGAGTAGCCTCTCAGAGATACAATTTTTTTAAAAAAAATAAGGAAAAATTCCAGTATAGTCGAGTGTCTATACTATTTTTTTACTTAAAAAAATTTAGAAAGAAATCGTGTATAGCTGCTGTACTGTTCGTACTATTTTTTTTTTTTTTTTTTTTTTTTTTTTTTTTTTTTTTTAAACTTATCACAAAACATCCCAAAGGTTTATGAAACTATCAGATTGCATCCTTAATATTTTTTTGTGTCATTTGTGGTCCTCAATGTTAGTATGTGTGATCAGAAATAGTCCCTCCCGTTAGGTTCCGTCAAAAACTCCGTTAGTTTGCTGACATGGCATATATATATATATATATCACAAAACATCCCTGAGGTTCACCCACTCATCACAAATGGTCCTTACGAAATTTTTTAATTTTTCATTTAAAATTCATAACATTTTAGTTTTCTTTTTAAAATTTTATGTTAAAAATATATATTATATTTTAAATAAATGTGACATATATTATTGTTGATGTGGGCTCCATTTATATGACACATCCACAAACTAATGTAGTTTCAAGAAATAATTTAAAATTCATAAAATTTAAAAATAAAAAAAATAAGGGTTTAGGGTTCATAAATGGTCCTCAAGATTAAAATCCTTCTATAAATGGCGTTTTCATTTATAAATAATTTTAAAAAGAAAACCAAAATTTTATGAATTTTAAATTAAAAAATTAAAAAATTTCATAGGGACCATTTGTGATAGGTGTGTGAACCTCAAGGATGTTTTGTGATATATATATATATGCCACGTCAACAAACTACGGAGTTTTTGACGGAACTTAACAGCATAGATCATTTATGATCGCACATACTAACCTTGAGGACCACGAATGACTCAAAAAACACATTAAGGATGCAATCTGATAGTTTCGTAAACCTTAGGGACGTTTTGTGATATTAAGCCTATTAAAAAAAAACTTGGTGTAGCCTCGCGGCTATACATTCATTTAATGGAACAGGAAAAAATATGAATAAAATACATACATGTTTTATAATTTATTTATAGTTTGTTGCAAGAAGAGTTGTAGAGTGGACTACATCTACATGCATTGTTGATAGTTGCCAAAACACCACATAATTTGAGTTTAAGGTGAAGGAGCTGCTCTGAGTTCCTCATGAAAAGGAATATTCTTGATATATTTTTGTCTCATATTTTGTTCCAATTAATGATTGTTAAATGAGATTGTTGCTCTGAATTTTCCGAAGTATTGTACAAAGTACTCATAAGTTTTGTTTGGATGTGAACATATTATGTCCGCTGAATTTTCCCAAGTATTGTACACATAGTACTCATGAGATTGTTGTGCTGCTAACTTCCTAAAGAGGTCTTGGTGGCTAAATGTTTGGGCCTCTTAGAGATCTTTTAACAATTCATGAATAATAATGCCTGTGAATATGCAAAGAAAATGAAAAACAGAGCAGAGGAGGCACCTTAGAGATAAGTCTTTCGTATCAAAAGTATCTATTTGCAGGTTCTACAACTGGATTTCTGGAGTCAAACATGAAAAAAAATGTCTAAGTTTTGTTTCATACATGTTTCATCTTCTACACTTTTGTAAAATTGGTTCTGGTTGCTGTCTTCTGATATGTGCCGTATTACGATACACTCCAATAATACATGTAGTGACTCATCTTCTAGAGTTTTCCAAATGCACATACATTTAGAAACAAATTAAATTGGTGATAATGATGGCTAGTAAGAATTTGCTACCTAACCATAAGGGAAGAAGAAAACTTTTTTGTTGTTACTCGGTGACTGTGAGGGGGTCTTTTTATTATTAGGACGGCAAAACAAGAGCATAAATACAAATTTCTTGTAGGACCCAGAATTAGAAACAATTTAATTGCTCTTTTAGTTAAACATTTTGTCTTCTGCAGGTGATTTAATTTATAATTGGTTATTTAGTTCATTGCAGCTTAAACTACTTGCATTAGTACTAACTAGAAAGGACGCGAAAAATAATAAAGATAAGAAGACACAAAAGGGGACAAAAATTTTGGACGACTTCATTTTTAATGGACTGTTCATGACTCAGCAGAAGTGGAGAAAGAAAAGCTATAACAATGGCCTGAAGGTTGTGTTGAAATCTCAATTCCATTAAGTTTGGTGTGATCAAGTTTGTGTTATGAAAGCCAAAATTGGTGTGATCAAGTTTTGTTGTTGGCACATGAAAACTTTGCACGGTCTAATGAAAGCCAGAATTGATTCACAGCCACATTGAACTTCTTAGGCATTAACAGAAGTTTGTTTTTCAAATTACAAGAAAAAGTCAGCCATCAATACAAGAAAATTGAAAATTAACATTTCTCATGCCAAACTAAAAAGGTGAGATTGCGAAAGACAGAATCATTCAATATTCCTATGTGTTGAACATTTGGGAAATCATTCAATATTCGTATTGAATATTGCAACGACCCGTTCAATATCAATCAGTCAAAGGAATCCGCAAAAGAAGCAAGCGTCCTGCAAATATCAAACCCATAAAGATTAATCAAAAAATTTACCAACTTTTCCATGACAGAATTCAAGATCTGTGCCATATTAAGGCTTGTTGAGTGTTGTAATTTTCTCAAATTTTTATGACGGATGGGGTAGATAAGATAAAGGGTGACAATAGCGTCAATTGATCTAAAAGCTCACAATTGTACATCAAATTATCCAAACAAACAACCATTACTTTTCAATTTGGAAGATACAAAAGAACATTATTGCTTCTATTAGTGTCTTAATCATGGAAATTAGGGAAATTAATCTTATAATAAACTCATTTAAAAATGACTCACCCATAGACTCAGAGCATGCAGCATGCAGCATATTAAACAGGAACCAATGTTGAATGAGTCAAAGAAGATAATTTCCAAGTAATGCCTGTCTAAAGATTGGAAAAGACTTCAGCATTGACAAAGATAATATTTTTTAATTGATGCTAGATCTATATATGGAAACTTTTGAGTGAAGTTTGATCAATTTGTGGTAGGCTGTAGCATAACGCTCATCTTACCATGGTTTTTTCCGTCCTCAATCTTCTCTGGTTCTTCCTTTTCATGATTCTCCCATATTCCACCATAGCTCAAACATCCAGAAACATATCTTTAGGCTCATCCCTCACTGCACGAAATGACGATAACTCATCGTGGCCATCACCATCGGGTGAATTTGCTTTTGGTTTTCAACAGATTGGAAAAGATGGCTTCCTGCTAGCCATCTGGTTCAACAAAATACCAGATAGAACCATAGTCTGGTCAGCCAACCGGAATGATCTAGTGCAAGAAGGATCCAAAGTTGAACTTGCCAGTGATGGAATGCTCGAGCTTAGAAACTCGGAAGGCGGACAGGTATGGAGTGCTAATTCTGCTGGCACAGAAGTGGCCTATGCCGCCATGCTTGACACAGGGAATTTTGTGCTGGCCAACACAAACTCAACCAATTTGTGGGAGAGTTTTGATGTACCAACTGATACAATCCTACCCACACAAACTCTAAATCAGAACGGCAAACTCTTTGCTCGCTATACAGAAACAAACTACTCACAAGGAAGATTCCAGTTTATACTACAATCTGATGGAAATCTCTTGCTTTACACAACAAGATTCCCACTGGAATCTTCCAACTTTGCATATTATGCAACCATGACTATGGGCACCGGCTTTCAGGTCATCTTCAACCAGTCTGGGTCTATTTACCTTACTGCCAAGAACGGAAGCATACTTAATATGTTATCATCCAACACAGTTTCAATGAAGAATTTCTACCAGAAAGCTACTCTGGACTATGATGGAATTTTGAGGCACTCTGTTCACCCTAAAAGCAATGGCTCAAGTGCTGGAACCCCCCTGGCTTGGTCCCCTTTGACCTCTGAACCTTCAGATATTTGCTTTAGAGTCAGAGGAGACACAGGCAGTGGGGCATGTGGGTACAACAGCTTATGTAGTTATAATGATAAAGGACCAGTTTGCCAGTGCCCGTATGGTTACTCCTTCATTGATCTAAATGATAAGCTGAAAGGATGCAAACAGAACTTCATTTCGCAAAGTTGCGATGAGGCCTCATCAGAGACAAATCTTTTTTATTTTCAGGAGATGCTAAACACGGAGTGGTACGGTGGTGATTATGAGCAATTTACATCAGTACAAGAGGATTGGTGCAGACAAAGTTGCTTAGGTGATTGTTTTTGTGCTGTTGCTATTTTCAACAATGGAGAGTGTTTGAAGAAGAGAATTCCTTTATCGAATGGGAGGATGAGCCCCAGTATTGGTGGAAAAGCTCTCATCAAAATAAGGAAAGATACTTTGATACCTGAAGGTCCAAATGCAAAAGACAAAGATAACTCAACTATGATCCTCGTTGGATCAGTGCTCCTCAGTTGCTCGGGTTTTCTGAACTTGGTTTTACTATTAACAACCTACTTGATTGTTTCTCGCATTTATAATAAAAATGCAGGGGAGAATCAACCTTATTCAGTCATGCCAGGCATGAATGTGAAATGTTTCACTTACGAGGAGCTAAATGAAGCTACCAACGCATTCAAGGAAGAACTAGGTCGTGGTGCTTTTTCAACAGTTTTTAAAGGAGTTTTAGCATTTGAGAACAGGAAATGTGTTGCTGTCAAAAGATTGGACACGATTGTTGGAGAAAATGAGTTGGAATTCAAAGCTGAAATGAGCACAATTGGCAGAACAAATCACAGAAATTTAGTCCAACTACTAGGATTCTGCAACGAGGGGCAGCATCGAATTCTTGTGTATGAGTTTATGAGCAAAGGTTCCCTAGCAAGCTTCCTCTTTGGAGAATCAAGGCCTACCTGGTACCAAAGAAGGCAAATTGCCTTGGGTACTGCAAGAGGGCTCTTGTATTTGCATGAGGAGTGTAGCATGCAAATCATACATTGTGACATTAAGCCTCAAAACATTCTTCTAGATGACTCTTTCACAGCCAGAATTTCTGACTTTGGATTAACAAAGCTTTTGAGAACAGACCAGACTCGAACTACTACTGGAATCAGGGGAACCAAAGGGTATGTGGCCCCTGAATGGTTCAAAAGCTTGCCAATCACAATGAAGGTGGATGTTTACAGCTATGGAATTATGTTATTAGAGATTGTTTGTTGCAGGAAGAATTATGAAGCAAACATAGAGGACGAAGATCAAATGATACTCGCTGATTGGGCATATGATTGCTATAAGCAAAAGAAACTGCATCTACTGTTGGAGAATGATGATGAGGCAATGAAAGACATCAAGAAGATGGAGAAGCATGTGATGATCGCAGTTTGGTGCATTCAGGAGGATCCATCACTCAGACCCACAATGAAGAAAGTCACACAGATGCTTGAAGGCAGTGTTGAAGTCTCAGTTCCACCTGATCCTTCCTCTTTTATAAGTTCAGTATTTTGAGTGCTAGCAATTATAATTCCACTTTTCTGGGCATCAGAAATTTATTATGTCTCAATAAACAGAAGAAATAATTTTATTTAGCCAATATATGTTCATTCAATGCATGCACCAAATATTATTGCATATTCACAAATCAATTAATCAATTTAACTGATGTTACTATTTTTTTTATAAAAAAAGAAGAAGAAAGAAACTGAGTATAGTTGTGTGGCTGTATGAATATATATATATATATATATAAATAAATAAAACTGGTATAGCATCGCAACTGTACTTTCATTCATAGTTATTAAAATACGGAATGGAAAAAAATATGAATAAAATACGTACGTGTTTTATTCGGCAAAAATTTTTGCAAATTACAACTTAAATGTTCGACCACTATATTATTTTTAATATAAATTATTTACATTTTTTAATATATATTATTTTTATTCAATAATATGTGAGAATTATGTGTATAATACGTGAACTTATTGAAATTTTTGTAAAAAATACATATATTAAACATGACAAATACGTACGTACCTATATAATACCAGTATTGTACGTTCGCTTTTTAAAAAATGTGAACTTTATTGACTCTTTAAGATGTGTGCAGAACACGGATGTATTACTGAAAAATACGTACGTATGTGTATAATATATTATTAAACGTGAAAGTGCTAAATTGTTAATTGCTTTCATTTGTAATTATATGTTTTAATTATTTTTTTCTTTAGTGAATAAATAAATATTTTAATTAACTTCATAAATTATATTACTTAATAAACGGTAATTATTATTTTTAATTTTTAAGTTTAATAAAATATTTAAATACTAGTTATTCACTAAGTAAATAATAATTAAAACATAACTAATAAAGTAATTAAAAAAGAGAAATCAGGATTGTGCTATTTAAAGGGGATAGCTACACATTGAAAATATTCTATTTAAAGAATATAGCCGCGCGGTTATACTTTTAAAATTCTATTTATAGCGTATTCCATTAGGTCATCTTCTTCGCCTGGTGCTGGCGCCGCAAGCTTGCGGAGCAGATCCAGCCAAATTTTCTTCGCTTAGTTTTCCACATGGTGCCGCCTAAAGCTCTCGGAGATGAAGGATCCGCCCAGGACGCCAGACCCGCCCAGGCCGCGCCTAGGCGGCCGCCTAGGCCGATTTTTCGAACACCAGCAGCATATGCAGGTGTATGATATTAAAAAACCAGTTGGTAGGAAATGGAAGGTGATGAATGATTCTGACACAGACAATGTACCGCATGAATATAAAGTATGCTTCCGTTTGTGGCTGTAAGGTAAATAGAGCCAGACTGGTTGACCTGAAAACCATTACCCAGTGTGTGTTGACCAATAGACATAATTAGGAGTATCCAATGGGAAATTTGTTGTATAAAGCGTGAGTGCTCCATCAGATTGTAGTGCAAACTGGAACCTCCCTCGTGAGTAGTTTGATGCCGTGTAGCTAGCGTGGAGTGCATTGTTTAGTTTTAGAGTCTCTGTTGGTAGGATTGTATCAGTTGGTTGATCAAAACTCTCCCTCAAATTGTTTGAATTTCCATTGGCCAGAACGAAATTTCATGTGTCAAGCATGGCTGCATAGGCAACTCCAGTACCACCAAAGTCCGCAATCCCTTTTTGTTTGCCTGTTGCAACTGGCCATGTGCAGTGAGTTCGACTGTGGATCCTTGTTGCACTAGATTGTTGCCATTGGCTAACCAGACAATAGTCTTTTTCGGGTATTTTGTTAAACCATATGGCTCGTATGAAGCCACCATCACTACCAATCTTTTGGAAACTGAAAGCGAATTCCCCAAATGGTGAGCACCAGACAGAGTTATTGTTGTCCTTTGCAGTGAGGGATGAGCCCAAAGATATATTGTTGTAAGTGTGAGCAATGATTGAAAATGCCAGTATCTGTAGAAGGAGAAGTAGAAAGAAAAAAGGATATGGTAGTTCAAAAGCCATGGAACATAATTAAGGAGTTAATGGTGAAACTGCTGATGAGCATCATTTGCTATATCTTTAAATAATGCCATCATCTGTGGAGTCACCTACAGTACCTTAAGATCATCGACAATCCATGCAATATATGTTTTACCTGAATGTGTTATGCTCTGGTTTGCTGCCCACATAAGTTTGCTAAAATGACAAACAAATGCAGTCCTCCCTTGATATACACAAAAAATTCAAATGTTCTATGATATGATTTCTCTTGCTGTTTGTATGTGCAAATTGAATCTTTGTGCGGCGTACGAAGAATCTGTTTAACTAAATAATGATTTCGTTCAAATACACGGTGTATGGACAATATGGAGATTTGTCTTTTTGGATCATTCCACACATATTTTTCAGTGTTTTCAAAGCTTTCTGTCTGTGCCCTTGTTGGCCTCTTTCATGTGCAACGAATGTTGTCGCTATTGGTTTTTTAAAATATCAAATGATTTAAGGATAAGTGGAAAGGAAACTCCCCAGATAGTGAGGGTAAGAAAGAGTTAGCATTCACAGCAGTGAGGGATGAGCCTAGAGATATATTCTTGTAAGTTAGATGAGCCTAGAGATATATTCTTGGACAAACTGTACAGTAAACCCCCCAACCTATAGGGTCATTTACGAGTTCATACCTGATTTTGGGGACATTTACCAGTACATACTCAACGTCACGGAAAACCTACAATTTGCCCCCTCCATTAGCCAAACTGTTAGTCAGTCTGTTAAATGCTGACATGTCAAAAGTGGGACCCTTTTTTTGATAACTTGGACCAAAAATTATTTTACTGTATAAATTATTTTAAATTATTTTAAAAAATCTGTCTCTGTCCTCTCTCTCTCTCTCTCTCTCTCTCTCTCTCTCTCTCTCTCTCTCTTAATGAGCAGCAAACTCTGGAGCAGGAAGGATTAAGAAGAAGAGGTCTGGGTCTGGGTTCTCCTTCATTTTATAAAAAAAATTATAAAATTATAATAAATAAATAAATAACCATATATCAGAAAATCTACTTTCTTCTATAATACTTGCTTGTTGCCTTTGGAACTGAAACTAATCTGAGTTTGAGTTAGTAGGTCCATTCCTAAGGTAGGCGCACTTCATAATTCAGTGGCCCCTCTGGCCTTAATCCCCCAATCTTTGCTGAGCCAACAGTGCATTTCTTTTGGCCAACAAAGCCTCTGCAATATTCAAAGTGCAAAAAATTTATATTAGAAACCAACAAAATTTATTAGACTGATAGATAGATCTGAAACACCAAACTTTACATAAATGGAAATAACGGGGCATACCATGGTCTGGGGCCAAACCGGAGTTGAAATGCGGCGGAGCTTAACTGTTCATGTCCTCAAAGTTCAAGTTGAGGGCTTGAACTACCTTGGCTAGGAGCAGAACAGTTGGGAAACCTGTAATTTAAACACAACATTTTAAACAAAATAGTTCCAAATTGAAACAGAACGATCCTAATCACAAATAGTTGAGTTTCAGAATCTCAATTTCAAAATTCAAAGAGTTCCCATTAGTACATGCTTTCTAGCGAGGCTCAGGAGCAGGGTTGGTGTATCTGCGAGGCAAGAACATGCCTGTTACTGGGAGGATTATCGGATCAATGGTGGAGATTTCGTCCTGAAGCGGTCGCACTCGTTCGGATTCGAGCGGAGCTCGGCCTCAGCGGAGAGGATGATGGTGACGGAGCCAGCAACGGCATCATCGTGACATTACCACAGAGGAAGCTTCTGGAGCAAGCAATCGTCGCCCTTCGGGTCGTTGACAAAGGCTCAGGTCTTCTCCTTTAGGTCAACGTACAGAGGCGGCGTGAATATGAAATCGACTTTCTTCTGCCAAAAATGCTTCTTCCCGCTGACGGAGCCAAGCGCTAGATCCTCCGGCGGTGGCGCAGGAGGATCGTCTCATGAAGCAAGTCGATGACGAGTCCAATGTTCATAAGATGTTCTGGGTCTGGGTTCTCACAGAGAGAGAGAGAGAGAGAGTTTTTAAAATAATTTAAACAGTAAAATAATTTTTTTATTAATTTTTGGTCCATGTGGAAGTCCAAGTCATCAAAAAAATGGATCCCACTTTTGACATGTTAGCATTTAACAGACTGACTAACAGTTTGGCTAACGAATGAGGCAAATTGTACGTTTTCCGTGACGTTGAGTATGTACTGGTAAATGTCCCCAAAATCGGGTATAAACTCGTAAATGACTCCACAGGTCGGGGGATTTACTGTAGTTTGTCATATATTCTTTTATATTTCGAAAGTCTTAAGAATAGTCATGGACTGTAAGGCTAGGCATAAGTCTTTGAAGACTTTCATTAAAAAATTTATTATAAAAAATTTAAAACAAGAAAAATCAGTAACGCCGCCCAGCTATACTATTTATAAAAAATAAAAAAAAATGACCCATCTAAGGATTAGGCCCATGTGTCAAAATGTGGATAGCCGAGCGGCTATACTATTTTTAAAGAAACATTAATAAAACCGAGTATCACTGCCCGGCTATACTATTTTTTAAAAAATTAAAAAATTAGATATAGTATATTAAAAAAAGGACCCACTTAGCAATAGCCGCCACTTCAAAAACAGTAAAGCCGCTCGAAGAATGAGTAGCCTCTCGGAGATACAATTTTTTTAAAAAAAATAAGGAAAAATTCCAGTATAGTCGAGTGTCTATACTATTTTTTTTCTTAAAAAAATTTAGAAAGAAACCGTGTATAGCTGCGCGGCTATTTTTTTTTTTTTTTTTTTTTTTTTATAAAAAAAACTTATTATCACAAAACGTCCCAAAGGTTTATGAAACTATCATATTGCATCCTTAATATTTTTTTTGTGTCATTTGTGGTCCTCAAGGTTAGTATGTGTGATCACAAATAGTCCCTGCCGTTAGGTTCCGTCAAAAACTCCGTTAGTTTGCTGACATGGCATATATATATATATATATCACAAAACATCCTTGAGGTTCACCCACCCATCACAAATGGTCCTTACGAAATTTTTTAATTTTTCATTTAAAATTCATAACATTTTTGTTTTCTTTTTAAAATTTTATGTTAAAAATATATATTATACTTTAAATAAATGTGACATATATTATTGTTGATGTGGGCTCCATATATATGACACATCTGCAAACTAATGTAGTTTTAAAAAATAATTTAAAATTCATAAAATTTAAAAATGAAAAAACTAAGGGTTTAGGGTTCCTAAATGGTCCTCAATATTAAAATCCTTCTATAAATGGTGTTTTCATTTATACATAATTTTAAAAAGAAAACTAAAATTTTATGAATTTTAAATTAAAAAATTAAAAAATTTCGTAGGGACCATTTGTGATAGGTGTGTGAACCTCAAGGATGTTTTGTGCTATATATATATATATATATATATATATCATAGACCATCCTGAATCTTTTTAATATGGTGGCTGAATTTTCCGAAGTATTGTGTACATAGTACTCATGAGATTGTTGCGCTGCTAACTTCCTAAAGAGGTCTTGGTGGCTAAATTAGACATCTTTTGACAATTAATGAATAATAATGCCTGTGAATATGCAAAGAAAATGAAAAGCAGAGGAGGCACCTTAGAGATAAGTCTTTCGTATCAAAAGTATCTATTTGCAGGTTCTACAACTGGATTTCTGGAGCCAAACATGAAAAAAAATGTCTAAGTTTTGTTTCATACATGTTTCATCTTCTACACTTACGTAAAATTGGTTCTGGTTGCTGTCTTCTGATATGTGCAGTATTACGATCGTCGGAAGAATCACAACCTCTGCAAAGCAACGAAGCCACACTACTTCATACACTCCAATACATGTAGTGACTCATCTTCTAGAGTTTTCCAAAAGCACATACATTAGAAAACAAACTAAATTGGTGATAATGATGGCTTGTAAGAATTTGCTATCTAACCATAATATTATGTCCTGCATAAGGGAAGGAAAAAAAACTTTTGTAAAATTGGTTCTGGTTGCTGTCTTCTAATATGTGCCGTATTACGATACACTCCAATAATACATGTAGTGACTCATCTTCTAGAGTTTTCCAAATGCACATACATTAGAAACAAATTAAATTGGTGATAATGATGGCTAGTAAGAATTTGCTACCTAACCATAAGGGAAGAAGAAAACTTTTTTGTTGTTACTCGGTGACTGTGAGGGGGTCTTTTTATTATTAGGACGGCAAAACAAGAGCATAAATACAAATTTCTTGTAGGACCCAGAATTAGAAACAATTTAATTGCTCTTTTAGTTAAACATTTTGTCTTCTGCAGGTGATTTAATTTATAATTGGTTATTTAGTTCATTGCAGCTTAAACTACTTGCATTAGTACTAACTAGAAAGGACACGAAAAATAATAAAGATAAGAAGACACAAAAGGGGACAAAATTTTTGGACGACTTCATTTTTAATGGACTGTTCATGACTCAGCAGAAGTGGAGAAAGAAAAGCTATAACAATGGCCTGAAGGTTGTGTTGAAATCTCAATTCCATTAAGTTTGGTGTGATCAAGTTTGTGTTATGAAAGCCAAAATTGGTGTCATCGAATTTTGTTGTTGGCACATGAAAACTTTGCACGGTCTAATGAAAGCCAGAATTGATTCACAGCGATGGAGGCCTCCCAGCCACATTGAACTTCTTAAGCATTAACAGAAGTTTGTAATTTTCTCAAATTTTTATGACGGATGGGGTAGATAAGATAAAGGGTGACAATAGCGTCAATTGATCTAAAAGCTCACAATTGTACATCAAATTATCCAAACAAACAACCATTACTTTTCAATTTGGAAGATACAAAAGAACATTATTGCTTCTATTAGTGTCTTAATCATGGAAATTAGGGAAATTAATCTTATAATAAACTCATTTAAAAAAGACTCACCCATAGACTCAGAGCATGCAGCATGCAGCATATTAAACAGGAACCAATGTTGAATGAGTCAAAGAAGATAATTTCCAAGTAATGCCTGTCTAAAGATTGGAAAAGACTTCAGCATTGACAAAGATAATATATTTTAATTGATGCTAGATATATATATATATATATATGGAAACTTTTGAGTGAAGTTTGATCAATTTGTGGTAGGGTGTAGCAAAACGCTCATCTTACCATGGTTTTTTCCGTCCTCAATCTTCTCTGGTTCTTCCTTTTCATGATTCTCCCATATTCCACCATAGCTCAAACATCCAGAAACATATCTTTAGGCTCATCCCTCACTGCACGAAATGACGATAACTCATCGTGGCCATCACCATCGGGTGAATTTGCTTTTGGTTTTCAACAGATTGGAAAATATGGTTTCCTGCTAGCCATCTGGTTCAACAAAATACCAGATAGAACCATAGTCTGGTCAGCCAACCGGAATGATTTAGTGCAAGAAGGATCCAAAGTTGAACTTGCCAGTGATGGAATGCTCGAGCTTAGAAACTCGGAAGGCAGACAGTGGGGCATGTGGGGAAGGCAGACAGTGGGGCATGTGGGTACAACAGCTTATGTAGTTATAATGATAAAGGACCAGTTTGCCAGTGCCCGTATGGTTACTCCTTCATTGATCTAAATGATAAGCTGAAAGGATGCAAACAGAACTTCGTTTCGCAAAGTTGCGATGAGGCCTCATCAGAGACAAATCTTTTTTATTTTCAGGAGATGCAAAACACGAAGTGGTATGGTGGTGATTATGAGCAATTTACATCAGTACAAGAGGATTGGTGCAGACAAAGTTGCTTAGGTGATTGTTTTTGTGCTGTTGCTATTTTCAACAATGGAGAGTGTTTGAAGAAGAGAATTCCTTTATCGAATGGGAGGATGAGCCCCAGTATTGGTGGAAAAGCTCTCATCAAAATAAGGAAAGATACTTTGATACCTGAAGGTCCAAATGCAAAAGAAAAAGATAACTCAACTATGATCCTCGTTGGATCAGTGCTCCTCAGTTGCTCGGGGTTTCTGAACTTGGTTTTACTATTAACAACCTACTTGATTGTTTCTCGCATTTATAATAAAAATGCAGGGGTGAATCAACCTTATTCAGTCATGCCAGGCATGAATGTGAAATGTTTCACTTACGAGGAGCTAAATGAAGCTACCAACGCATTCAAGGAAGAACTAGGTCGTGGTGCTTTTTCAACAGTTTTTAAAGGAGTTTTAGCATTTGAGAACAGGAAATGTGTTGCTGTCAAAAGATTGGACACGATTGTTGGAGAAAATGAGTTTGAATTCAAAGCTGAAATGAGCGCAATTGGCAGAACAAATCACAGAAATTTAGTCCAACTACTAGGATTCTGCAACGAGGGCCAGCATCGAATTCTTGTGTATGAGTTTATGAGCAAAGGTTCCCTAGCAAGCTTCCTCTTTGGAGAATCAAAGCCTAACTGGTACCAAAGAAGGCAAATTGCTTTGGGTACTGCAAGAGGGCTCTTGTATTTGCACGAGGAGTGTAGCATGCAAATCATACATTGTGACATTAAGCCTCAAAACTTTCTTCTAGATGACTCTTTCACAGCCAGAATTTCTGGAGGTCCTGTGCAAAGAAAGTTGATGAGACCCTATATGTATAAGTAAAATAACAATTTTTCAAATTTTAAAATTCATTAATCATAAATTAAACCGAAATCATTATGTGGCATCAATTACATTAGAACCCACAAATAGAATCAAGATCATCCTTGGTCTATTTTCACGTACTCATATCAACTCAATTTTCTTTTACATTTAAAAAAAAAAACTACACAGAGCAAAATGAAGCAAAGATGCATATGATGGCTAATTCCAATGCAACACATAATTTCTAAATTCTAATATGAGAGAGAGAGAGGTGTGGTGGAGAGCAGAGATGCATAGCACTCCTTTTGCCTTGCCAAAGAGTAAAGAAGAATTTGCTTTTGGACGAAAGAGTCAAGAAGAAGTTGGGAAGAAGTGAATTTGGGGCCAAATGAAAGAAAAGCGATTTGAGAATAGCATGGAGAGACGCCGCACGCACACACAACTCACGAGTTTATTTATTTATTTATTAATGCTTGTAAAAAGAATCTGCCCATTAGGAACATAAAATAATCTTTTGGAATAAAAATTTGCTTAGAACGAAAAGTAGTAGAAAATATATAATATAATGCTGGGCTTTTAAAAACATTGGCAGGCCCCTAAATTTTGGGGGCCCTGTGTGGTCGCACAGCCCGCACATGCCATGGACCGACTCTAGCCTTACTATTTATATATATTCTATGGTTTGTTGTGTAGTTTATCAGATACAGTTACCCCTTTGAAGATGCTCATCTTATATTAGATTTAGAACAAGGTTGGGTGATCGGTGGGTGATCAGCTGATGCGGAGTTGAACCCTGCGGCTTGAGCATAGGCTCCGGGTCACGCTGTTTCTAGAGTGGAGGGAACCACCTAAGGCTGGTTTCATAGAAGAATGACTACCTCCGAGTATAGCCGAGCGGCTATACTACTTTTTCAAAAATAAAAATTCAAAAATCAGGTATAGCCGCGCGGCAATACTCTTTTTGAAAATAATTAGGGAAGGACATGTATAGCCACGCGGCTATACTATTTTTTTTAAAATTAAAAAACCGAGTATAGCCACGCGGATGTACTATTTAAAAAAAAAACCAAGTATAGGTGAAAAAACCCAAGTATAGCTGTGTGGCTGTACATTCATTCATAGTAAAATACGGAACATGAAAAAATACTAATAAAATACGTACGTGTTTCATTCGGCAAAATTTTTGCAAATTACAACTTAAATGTTCCGCCACTATATTTTTTTTTAATATATATTATTTTTATTCAATAATATGTGAGAATTATGTGTATAATACGTGAATCTTGTGTCTCATTGAAATTTTTGTAAAAAAAAATATGCGTATTAAACATGAAAACACATACGTACATGTACATACGAGTATAATACGTATGTTTTTTTTTTTCTTTTTTTTTTTTTTTTTTTTTTTTTTTTTTTTTGTGAACGTTTACAGAGTCGTTAAGATGTGTGCAGACCACTAATGTATTAATGAAAAATACATACATACATGTATAATACATTATTAAACATGAAAATGCTAAATTGTTTATACGAGAAATAATTCTGAAAAAGTAAAAAAAAATCAAAAAGGGACAGTAGAAACTCGAATAATGACCTAATAAGAATGAATAATGCTCTAAACTACTCTTATTGATAAACGAAAATTAGGGAAAACGATTTAAAAGAAAATAAAGGATCCAACTATATATATAAAGCTACAGATGATCTGCTATACTATTTGTTAAAAAATTAAAACAAGAAAAGCCAGTAAAGCTGCCCGGGTATACTATTTATAAAAAATAAAAGACCCACCCAGGGATTAGGCCCACGTGTCAAAATGCAGATAGCCGGGCGACTATACTATTTTTAAAGAAACATTAACAAAAACGAGTATAGTTGCGCGACTATACTATTTAAAAAAAAATACAAGACCGGGTATAGCCGATTGGCTATACTATTTATATATATTTAAAAAAGGACCCGCTTAGAGCTAGCCACCACGTCAAAAACAGTAAAGCCGTTATAGTATGTTTTAAAAAAATTAGGAAAGAATGAGTATAGCCTATTGGCGATAAGATTTTATAAATAAATAAAATATATATATAAAAAAAGGAAAAATCTGAGTATAGTTGAGCGACTATACTATTTTTGAAAAAAAAAATAGAAAGAAATCGAGTATAGCCGCGTGGCTGTACGATTTTTTTTTAAAAACCTTGTATAGCCTTGCGGCTATACATTCATTCATAGTTAATAATATAAGGAACATAAACAAAATATGAATAAAATACGTACGTGTTTTATTCGGCAAAACTTTTTGCAAATTACAACGTAAATGTTTGACCACTATATTACTTTTTAATATATATAATTTTTATTCAGTAATATGTTAGAATTATGTCTATACTACATGAATTTTGTGTGTTTTATTGAAATTTTTGTAAAAAAAAATACGTTTATTAAACATGATAAGTACGTATGTACCTATATAATACGAATATAGTACATTTGCTTTTTTAAAAATGTGAACTTTACTGACTCTTTAAGACGTGTGCATAACACGAATGTATTATTCAAAAATACATATGTATATGTATAATACATTATTAAATGTGAAAGTGCTAAATTGTTAATTGCTTTCATATGTAATTATATGTTTTAATTATTTTTTCTTTAGTGAATAAATAAATATTTTAATTAACATGATAAATTATATTATTTAATAAATGGTAATTATTTTTTTAATTTTTTAATTTAATAATATATTTAAATACTAGTTATTGATTAAGTAAATAATAATTAAAACATAACTACTAAATAAAGTCATTAAAAAAGAGAAACTAAGATTGTGCTATTTAAAGGGGATAGCCGTGTTTAAATTTCTATTTATAGCGTATTCCATTAGGTGATCTTCCTCGCCTTGGTGCTGCCGCCGCAAGCTCGTGGAGCAGATCCAGCCAAATCCTCTTCGCTTAGTTTACCACACGGTGCCGCCTAAAGCTCTCAGAGATGAAGGACTGGCCCAGGCGGACAGACCCGCCCAGGCGGCGACTAGGCGGCCGCGTAGGCCGATTTTTCGAACACTATCTGCATATGCATGTGTATGATATCAAAAAACCAGTTGGTAGGAAATGGAAGGTGATGAATGATTCTGACACAGACAAGGTACCACATGAATATAAATTGCTTCTGTTTGTGGCTGTAAGGTAAATAGAGCCAGACTGGTTGAAGATGACCTGAAAACCACTACCCTCAGTGTGTGTTAACCAATAGACATAATTAGGAGTATCCAATTTGAAATTTGTTTTATAAAGCGAGAGTGCTCCATCAGATTGTAGTGCAAACTGGAACCTCCCTCGTGAGTAGTGTGACGCCGTGTAGCTAGTGTGGAGTGTGTTGTTTAGTTTTATAGTCTGTGTTGGTAGGATTGTATCACTTGGTTGATCAAAACTCTACCTCAAATTGCTTGAATTTCCATTGGCCAGAACGAAATTTCCTGTGTCAAGCATGGCGCTGCATAGGCAACTCCAGTACCACCAAAGTCGGCAATCCTTTTTTGTTTGCCTGTTGCAATATCATTGAGCATCTGTTTATATGTTTTACCTGAATGTGTTATGCTCTGGTTTGCTGCCCACTTCTATGATATGATTTCTCTTGCTATTTGTATGTGCAAATTGAATCTTTGTTCGGTGTACGAAGAATCTGTTTAACTAAATAATGAGTTCGTTCAAATACACGGTGTATGGACAGATATGGATATTTGTCGTTTTGGATCATTCCACACATGTTTTTCATTGTTTTCAAAGCTTTCTGTCTCTACCCTTGTTAGCCTCTTAGCCTCTTTCATGTGCAATGAACTTCGTCGCTATTGGTTCTTCAAAATATCAAATGATTCAAGGATAAGTGGAAACAAAACTCCCCAGATAGTGAGGGTAAGAAAGAGTTAGCATTCGCAGCAGTGAGGGATGAGCCTAGAGAGATAAATAATCCTCTTGAATGCACCAAATACATTTCCATCTTCTTCATGTCATCCTTTGCCTCATCATCATTCTCCAATAGCATGTGCAGTTTCTTTTGCTTATAGCAATCATATGATCAATCAGCTAGTATCATTTGATCTCATCCGCCATCTCTGCCTCATAATTCTTTTGGCAGCTGCAAATAATCTCCCAAGAATTGATTGAATTTGGGTTAGCCAGCACAAAATTTCCTGTGTCAAGCATGGCCGCATAGGAAACTCCAGTGGCAGCACAATCAACACTCCATATCTGTTTGCCTGCTGCATCATTGAGCAGAAACCGAAAGCAAATACTCCAGATGGTGAGGCCCAGAAAGATGTATCGTCCTGTTCATAAGGGATATGCTAGTTCAAATATCAAGGAGCATATGTCTCCAGTGTTTAGAGGAGTACTTCATGGAAAACAGTTTATGAACATGGAAAAATCTGCCTAGGCTGCCTGTGCTGGTCTAGGCGGCACCTAGGCGGCCTGGGCGGGTCTAGGCGGCCTGGGCGGGTCTGGGAGCCTGGGTGTGTCGGGTGGCTGCTTCTCTACTCTTCTCGACCCAACCAGTGGGAGCAACGACTTCTTATCCACTCGTCAGAGAAAGAGGAGAGACGATGGAGGTAGAGAGAGATCAGAGGTGATAGAGACGAAGAGATGAGAGATAAGTGAGGATAGGGCTTGTTGAAAAAAAGGTGAAGCAGTGTTAGTGAAACGCCGTGTTTCACTTATGGGCTGGTATTTTAACAAGGTTCCCTTAAGGGCTTGGGCTCATATATAAATACATTAATTAATTGTGTTTTATTTCAACCCTCTGCTTTATAAGCATATATCATATGATTTTCACACACACACATATATATATATATAACATTTATTTATATTAATTTTGGTATAAATTTATAATTTGTAAAAAAAAATATTATTATTATAAAAATAAATAAAGAATGCCTAGGCGCCTCCCATACCTACTGCTTAATGCTTTTATCTGTCACTTGCACTAATTAAGACTTTTTCATGTACAGTATGAACTTCGTGAGTAATGGATTTTGTGTGAGGTCTATAAGCATAGATTTGTGTTGTGATGTATTTTAATACTTTAAGATGCCTGAAGTAAGAACAAGACATATCTTGGAACTTTTGTCTTTCTGAGGCGTACATGTATGCATTCACAACACAACAATTAAGCTGCAAGATGTCCTAAATCAAATATAGACTTTCTAACTCAAATTTATCCAATGGAAAAATAACATATAGAAACCATTATCTTAATATCCAGCAAGAAGAAAAGACACAATACGAAAAACTGAAATCAGTCACCACCACCATTACGTAAACATCTAGAATGAAATGTTCACGTGAAAAATATAATGAAAACCCAAGTCATAACATCTAGTTGCTGGCTTTGAATCCATCATGATCAAATGCATAAAAAACAAAATTTGGTAACAATCAGTTCTAATTGTGATCACTTAGATAGAACATATAATGGGGATGGATTTGGTGGGACTAAATCCATCCTCATTAAACTTTGGCATTGAAAGTTTCATCCAAAAGAATGTCATGGTGGTATCCTAGCAGCTTGACTAAATTTTTGTGATTTGTGCCGCCAATCACGCTCTCTTCAGCCTTGAATTCGAAATCATTCCAAAGGCGCGAAAGAGGAGAGACGATGATGGAGGTAGAGAGAGATGGGAAATACAATCCGAGTAACTGCTTCCACCTCTTTTAGCATGGTAACCATTGCCACAGCCTCTCCTTACTGAAGGGAGAAACACCCTTCAAATTTCCTAAGGCCTTGCGAATTGCCACTTTCATCATCTTCCTGGTTGCCAAGAATTTCTTAACCTATCTCAACAATGCCCATGCCGTGTTCCCTACCTCCTCCAACTGTCCAACTCGCCCATTTCTTTTAACATTTATGCAGTGCGCGAGTGGCATTGCCTTTCTTTGATACAAGAAATGTCTGTCACCATAATTTCTCACCTTCTGCCTTCATTGTATATTGAATTTTGGGTGACAGATCTAAATGCCCAGCTAATTGAGTTGCTGAATGATCGCTAAGTTCAGCTCATCTAACGGACTGTCTCCCTCATTGTCGTCGAAAGGGAAACCAATAACACCTCTCAAACCTACATATCAAGTCTGTCTGGCCAAACACTCATGGTGCTGATGAGTATCTTGTTAATGCAAGCAAGCTTATTGTCTGGAATGCGCTGTATGATAAAGAAACATGCATTTCATTGAGGGGAAAAGAACATAAAATGCCAATGTTCGAAAAATTGCTAGTGCCTGGAGGAGTAATCGGGGCCTAGACGTTTCTTTTTCTTTATTATTTATAATCATTTTGTATTATAATTATAAATTTATAACAATATCATGCAAAATAAAATGATATATAAATTAGTGGCCTAAATTAGAAAGTACCATAATTGATATAAAACGTGGGGAGAAAGTTTAGCATAAAGCATATAGTAATACTCTAATTAGTTAAAAAAAATATTACATTGCAATTTTTGGGTATAGACCGAAAGGGTTTTTGTCTGTTAGGCCCATAAACGATACGTATAGCTTTATAACTCCTACCCACCAAAACGATACGTATAGCTTAATAACTCCTACCCAACAAAACGATGCGTACAGCGTATTCCATTAGGTCATCTTCTTCGCGTTTACCACCTGGTGCTGCCCCCGCAAGCTCGTGGAGCAAATCCAGCCAAATCTTCTTCGCTTAGTTTACCACATGGTGCCGCCTAAAGCTCTCGGAAATGAAGGACTAGCCCAGGCGCCCAGACCCGCCCAGGCCACCCCTAGGCGCCGCCTAGGCCGATTTTTAAAAACACTAGCAGCATATGCATGTGTATGATATTAAAAAACTAGTTGGCAGGAAATGGAAGGTGATGAATGATTCTGACACAGAAAATGTACCACATGAATATAAATTAAATATTTCCTGGGCAGAGTGATACAGAACTCGTCACCGGGGACGGGAGGCAGGCAGAGCTGGAATGCTGGCTAGAAGAGCTAGCTATTCCCTTTCATTAATATATATATAGAGAGAGAGAGAGAGAGAGAGAGAGAGAGAGAGAGAGAGAGAGAGAGAGAGAAAGATAGTACAATAGCACTCGTGTTCTGCTTATTTTATGGTCGATTGTGCAATTCATCCCATGACATTGTTACCAAATTGAAGATACTCATGCTATATCTTTGAGGCTCCTGGATGTGTGTGGCATCATTAAGGATGCCCTTTTGCAAATAAAGGAGTGCACACATGAACTTCAATCCATTATGCGCAGAAGACGAGGAGGTGACATGAGCTTCATGAGTGAGGTTAGAAAATATCTTGCCTCTAGAAAGGATGTCAACAAGGCAATGAACAAGGCCTTCAAGGTCAAGGTAAGTTAGGGAACCGACAAAAACCATGAAACTCCAGCTGTGATCAACATGTTGAAAGAGTTAGATGCAGTAACTGTTGCTGTTTTGAATCCTTGTTGTCCTTCATAGTGGTTCCAGGGACGGACCCATAGTGGGGTCAATGGGGTCAAACGACCCTATGGACTCCAAGAAAGTAAGGTAGAAGGCCCCTTTGAATTGCTATGTGACCCCATGAAAAGCTGGAGAAGAAGTTGCAGATGTATTGAGGAAGAAGAAGATGAACAGAAATCTGTTCTTTTTTCAAAAGAAGCTGGCCAAAACGGCGTCGTTTTGGCCCAGCTTCTAATTTTTTTTTAAAAACCCGGTTACCAAAACGACGTCGTTTTGGTAGCGAATTTTTTTAATAAAAAATGCGCTGGCCAAAACGGCGTCGTTTTGGTCCAGCAGCACAGCACCGAATTTTTTTTAAAAGACCTGGCCAAAACGACGTCGTTTTGGTCCAGGTCTTTTAAAAAAAAAGAGATCAGCTTGTATATGCACAGCCCCTCCCCATTTCTCCCGATTTTTCAACTTCAAAACCCCCATTTTCTAAACCCTCAAACCTAAATCCCCAATCTCCACCCCCCACAAACCTTTAACCCTCTCCCCCACCAAGCCTTTAAGCCCCAACTCCTCCATTGCCGCCACTTCCAGCTGCGCCGCCGCTTCCAAAAGCTTTGCTTCACTTCAACCACCTCACAATTCAAGGTAAATTCTAACTCTAAACCTAAATAACTTGAATTGAAATTGAATGTATGATTATATTATATTGTTTTGATATATTGGATGCCTTATTTATGAATTTGTTGTGGTTAATTAGTATAAATTTGGTGTTCTCTTTAATTGAATTGAAATTGAATGTATGATTATATTATATTGTTTTGATATATTGGATGTTTTATTTATGAATTTGTTGTGGTTAATTGGTATAAATTTGGTGTTCTCTTTAATTGATTTTACTTATTATTTTGATTAATTTATGTAGAATTATGGAAAGATTTTTTAAGAGGAAGTCATCATTGGGTAGTTCGGATAGTGTGGGTAATTCAAGAACTTCAAGTTCAAGACAAAGTGAGTTAGATGGGGTTTTGGCTAATCTTCAGGCAGACCCGGGACTAAGAATTCTTATGATTGAGTATGATACTAATATTAGAGATGAGGTTCGAAGAGCATATCTACAAAAAGGACCTTGTCAACCTAGAGGTCATTCTTTCCCACAAAGTAATATATCAGGAATTAATCGACGCTTCATTCCCCAATGGTTTGATGAATTTGATTGGTTGGAGTATAGTGTATCTAAAGATGCTGCATTTTGTCTTTATTGCTATCTCTTTAAATCCAATTTTGAGCAAGTGGGTAGTGAAGCCTTCACTGGAGCAGGGTTTAAGAATTGGAAGAAAGGGAGAGAAAGAATGAAGGTGCATGTTGGACCGGTTGGTAGTGTTCATAATAAAGCTAGAGAAGCTGCTACAAACTTGATGAATCAAAATACACATATTGAAACGGCTGTGAGCAAACACTCCGAACAAGCTCGTGTGGCATATCGAAGATGCTTAATTGCTTCAATCAAGTGCATTAAGTTTCTATTGAGACAAGGTCTTTCTTTCCGTGGAAATGATGAAAGTGCCACTTCAAGCAATAGGGGAAATTACTTGGAGCTATTGCAATTCCTTGCAGACAATGATGAGAAAGTTAAAGAAGTTGTGTTGGAAAATGCTCCGGGGAATCTCAAGTTAGTAGCTCCAAAGATTCAAAAAGATATTGTCAATGCATGTGCCGGGGGAAACACTTGATGTTATCATGAGTGGTTTAAAAGATAGATTATTTTCTATATTGGTGGATGAAGCACGTGATATTTCTGTGAAGGAGCAAATGGCTATGGTGTTGCGTTATGTGGACGACAAAGGGCATGTAATTGAAAGGTTTGTGGGGGTTCAACATGTTACCGACACCACTTCAAGTTCACTAAAGGATGCCATTGACATATTCTTTTCTTCCAATGGTTTGAGCTTTTCTAAGTTACGAGGACAAGGTTATGATGGAGCTAGCAATATGAGAGGTGAGTTGAATGGCCTCAAAACAAAGATTTTGAGAGAACAACCTTGTGCATACTATGTTCATTGCTTTGCTCATCAACTTCAACTAGCACTTGTTGCCGTAGCAAAGAAGAATATTGATATTGCCTCTTTCTTCACAACCACTAATAGTGTGGTTAACCATGTTGGAGCATCTTGTAAGCGGCGTGATGCACTTAGAGCACAACTTCAAGAAGAGCTTGTGATAGCTTTTGAAAATGATTGTCTTATAACGGGGCGAGGTTTGCATCAAGAAACAAGTCTCAAACGTGCCGGTGACACACGATGGAGCTCACATTACGGTACCATTATTAGCATCATTTCTATGTTTTCATCTGTGATTCATGTGCTTCAAATGATTATTGATGATAATCCCAATGATAGTGCCGGTGAAGCAAATAAGATTCAAAGGGAAATGCTTACTTTTCAGTTTGTGTTTCACCTATTCTTAATGAAAGCTATATTGGGACTCACAAATGATGTGTCACAAGCATTGCAAAAGAAAGATCAAGAAATTGTGAATGCAATGGCTTTGGTGAAATCATGCAAGGAAAAGCTACATTGGATGAGGAATAATGGGTTTGATGCATTGGTTGAAGAGGTGTCTTCATTTTGTGACAAACATCATATTGATGTTCCTAACATGGATGATGCCTTCGTACTTCCAGGGAGGTCAAGGCGTAATGCTCCAATAAAGACAAATCGTCATCATTATCGTGTGGAGCTCTTTATTTATGTCATTGATGAGCAACTTACGGAGTTAGATGATCGTTTTAATGAGGTAAATACTGAGTTGCTTATTTGTTTGGCATGTTTGAGTCCGAATGATTCATTTGTAGCTTTTGATAAACAAAAGCTACTTCGTCTTGCTCAATTTTATCCTCAAGACTTTTCGGATGGGGATCTTTTGGCACTTGAAGATCAACTTGAACTTTATATTCACTATGTGTGTTCAAGTAGTGATTTCTTTGACTTGCAAGGGATTGGTGATCTTGCAAAAAAAATGGTGGAGACAAGGATGCATCGAGCATTCAATTATGTGTATTTGTTTATTACATTGGCTCTAGTTTTACCAGTTGCTACTGCTTCAGTTGAGAGGGCATTTTCCGTCATGAATATTATCAAAGGTCCACTTCGGAACAAAATGGGAGATCAATGGTTGAGTGATAGTTTACTTGTTTATGTTGAGAAGGATGTTTTTGATTGTATTGAAAATGAAGCTATAATGCTTCGTTTTCAAAATATGAAACCTCGTCGTGGCCAATTGTAATTTGTAATGTTGTTTTTTACATGAATTATGAATGAATGTACTGTAGTTTCATTTTCAATGTTATATTAATCTTTAAAAAAAAAATTGCACTTTTACACTATGACCCTACGACATCAAATTCCTGGGTCCGTCCCTGGCTGGTTCGAAATCAAAGTCAAGCAGTTGGTCATTAGTTTCCAAGCTAGTGCAGCCCAAAAGAGTATCCTGTGAGGGTGAGGAAAACTGCAGATACGAATGAACTTGAGAAGGTGGATGCTGCATTGAATACTCACAAGTCTAAGAAATCTGATTACGCAATGCAAGTTGAGAATGTGCAAATTTGGCTCCAGGATTTGGAGGCAAACATTCAAGATATAGAAGAAGGACTTGAGTGATTTTTGCAAATTACAACTTAAATGTTCAGCCACTATATATATATTTTTTAATATATATTATTTTTATTGAATAATATGTGAGAATTTGTGTATAATACGTGAATTTTGTGTCTTATAAATTTTTGTAAAAAATATGTGTCTTAAACATGAAAAATACGTACGTACCTGTATAATACGAGTATTGTACGTTTTTAACATCCTGGATCGGTTACGGCATGATATTGTCTGCTTTGGGCCCCTTGCCCTCATGGTTATGTTTCTGGGACCTCACGAGCAACTTCCTAGTTGGTCACCCATCCTGGGATTGCTCTAGTCTAAACTCGCTTAACTTTGGAGTTCTCATGACTCTGAAGCCAATGAGCTCCCAAAAGGCCTCGTGCTAAATGAAGGTGGACATGTACATATAAGTCACATCACCCCCTCTCCGTTGGTTGATGTGGGATATTACAACGTTTGCTTTTTGAAAAACATAAACTTTACCGAGTCTTTAAGACATGTGCATAACACGAATGTATTAATAAAAAATACGTACGTACATGTACAATACGTTATTAACCATGAAAGTGCTAAATTGTTTATATGAGAAATAACTCTGAAAAAGTAAAAAATCAAAAGGGGACAATAGAAACTCGAATAATGGCCAAATAGTAATGAATAATACTCTAAACTACTCTTATTGATAAACGAAAATTGGGGAAAACAATTTAAAAGACAAAAAAGGATCCAGCTATATAGTATAGTTGTTCGCCTACACTATGTATTAAAAAAATTAAAACAAGAAAAACCAGTAAAGCCCCCCGGCTATACTATTTATAAAAATCAAAAGAGGACCCGCCCAGGGATTAGGCCCACGTGTCAAAATGTTGAGAGCCGGGCGGCTATACTATTTTTAAAGAAACATTAATAAAACTAAGGATAGCCGGGAGGCTATATTATTTAAAAAAACAAAACAAAACCGAGTATAGTCGTTTGGCTATACGATTTATATAAATTAAAAAAAGGACCCGCTTAGAGCTAGCCGCCACATCAAAAGCAGTAAAGCTGGTCAACTATACTATGTTTTATAAAAAAAAAATTAGGGAAGAACGAGTATAGCCGCTCAGCGATACAATTTTTAAAAAAAAAAAAATTAGGAAAGATCCTAGTATAGTCGAGCGACTATACTATTTTTTTTACAAAAAAAAAATTATAAAAAAACCGGGTATAGTTGCGCTGTTGTACGATTTTTAATAAATAAAAACCTGGTATAGCATCGCAGCTGTACATTCATTCATAGTTAGTAAAATATGGAATGGGAAAAAATACGAATAAAATACATACGTGTTTTATTCGGCAAAATTTTTTGCAAATTACAACTTAAATGTTCGACCACTATATTATTTATTATTATTTTTATTCAATAATATGTGAGAATATTTGTATAATACGTGAATTTTGTGTGTCTTATTGAAATTTTTGTAAAACATGTATATTAAACATGACAAATACATATGTACCTATATGATACGAGTATTGTACGTTTGCTTGTTAAAAAATGTGAACTTTACTAACTCTTTAAGACGTGTGCAAAACATGGATGTACTATTGAAAAATAGGTATGTATGTATATAATATATTATTAAACGTGAAGTGTTAAATTGTTAATTACTTTCATCGGTAATTATATGTTTTAATTATTTTTTCTTTAGTGAATAAATAATATTTTAATTAACTTCATAAATTATATTAATTAATAAACGATAATTATTTTTTTAATTTTTTAATTTAATAATATATTTAATTACTAGTTATTCACTAAGTAAATAATAATTAAAACATAACTATTAAATAAAGTAATTAAAATAGAGAAATCAAGACCGTGCTACTTAAAGAGGATAGCCGTGCGGCTATACTTTTAAAAATATATTTATAGCCTATTCCATTCGGTCATCTTCTTCGCCTGGTGCTGTCGCCGCAAGCTCGTGGAGCAGATCCAGCCAAATCTACTTCGCTTAGTTTACCACACGGTGCCGCCTAAAGCTCTTGGATATGAAGGATCCGCCCAGGCCGCCCCTAGGCGGCCGCCTAGGCCGATTTTTCGAACACCGGCAGCATATGCATGTGTATGACATTAAAAAACCAGTTGGTAGGAAATGGAACGTGATGAATGATTCTGACACAGACAATGTACCACATGAATATAAAGTATGCTTCCGTTTGTGGCTGTAAGGTAAATAGAGCCAGACTGGTTGACCTGAAAACCATTACCCAGTGTGTGTTGACCAATAGACATAATTAGGAGTATCCAATGGGAAATTTGTTGTATAAAGCGTGAGTGCTCCATCAGATTGTAGTGCAAACTGGAACCTCCCTCGTGAGTAGTTTGATGCCGTGTAGCTAGCGTGGAGTGCATTGTTTAGTTTTACAGTCTCTGTTGGTAGGATTGTATCAGTTGGTTGATCAAAACTACTCTCTCCCTCAAATTGTTTGAATTTCCATTGGCCAGAACGAAATTTCATGTGTCAAGCATGGCTGCATAGGCAACTCCAGTACCACCAAAGTCCGCAATCTTTTTTGTTTGTTGCAACTGGCCATGTGCAGTGAGTTCAACTGTGGATCCTTGTTGCACTAGATTGTTGCCATTGGCTAACCAGACAATAGTCTTTTCGGGTATTTTGTTAAACCAGATGGCTCGTATGAAGCCACCATCACTACCAATCTTTTGGAAACTGAAAGCGAATTCCCCAAATGGTGAGCACCAGACAGAGTTATTGTTGTCCTTTGCAGTGAGGGATGAGCCCAAAGATATATTATTGTAAGTGTGAGCAATGATTCAAAATGGCAGTATCTGTAGAAGGAGAAGTAGAAAGAAAAAAGGATATGGTAGTTCAAAAGCCATGGTACATAATTAAGGAGTTAATGGTGAAACTGCTGATAAGCATCATTTGCTATATCTTTATATAATGCCATCATCTGTGGAGTCACCTACAGTACCTTAAGATCATCGACAATCCATGCAATATGTTTTAACTGAATGTGTTATGCTCTGGTTTTCTGCCCACATAAGTTTGCTAAAATGACAAACAAATGCAGTCCTCCCTTGATATACACAAAAAATTCAAATGTTCTATGATATGATTTCTCTTGCTGTTTGTATGTGCAAATTGAATCTTTGTTCGGCGTACGAAGAATCTGTTTAACTAAATAATGATTTCGTTCAAATACACGGTGTATGGACAGATATGGAGATTTGTCTTTTTGGATCATTCCACGCGTATTTTTCAGTGTTTTCAAAGCTTTCTGTCTCTGCCCTTGTTAGCCTCTTTCATGTGCAATGAACTTTGTCGCTATTGGTTTTTTAAAATATCAAATGATTTAAGGATAAGTGGAAACAAACTCCCCGGATAGTGAGGGTAAGAAAGAGTTAGCATTCACAGCAGTGAGGGATGAGCCTAGAGATATAAATAATCCTCTTGAATGCACCAAATACATTTCCATCTTCTTCATGTCTTCCTTTGCCTCATCATCATTCTCCAATAGCATGTGCAGTTTCTTTTGCTTATAGCAATCATATGCTCAATCAGCTAGTATCATTTGATCTCATCCTCCATCTCTGCCGCATAATTCTTTCAGCAGCTGCAAATAGTCTCCCAAGAATTGATTGAATTTGGGTTAGCCAGCACAAAATTTCCTGTGTCAAGCATGGCTGCATAGGAAACTCCAGTGCCAGCAGAATCAACACTCCATATCTGTTTGCCTGCTGCATCATTGAGCAGAAACCGAAAGCAAATACTCCAGATGGTGAGGCCCAAAAATCTGCCTAGGCTGCCTGTGCGGGTCTAGGTGGCGCCTAGGCGGGTCTGGGAGCCTGGGTGTGTCGGGTGGCTGCTTCTCTACTCTTCTCAACCCAACCAGTGGCAGCGACGACTTCTTTTCCACTGGTCAGAAAAAGAGGAGAGACGATGGAGGTAGAGAGAGATCAGAGGTGATAGAGGTGAAGAGATGAGAGATAAGTGAGGATAGGGCTCGTTGAAAAAAAGGTGAAGCAGTGTTAGTGAAACGCTGTGTTTCACTTATGGGCTGGTATTTTAACAAGGTTCTCTTATGGGCTTGGGCCCATATATAAATACATAAATTAATTGTGTTTTTGTTTCAACCCTCTGCTTTATAAGCATATATCATATGATTTTCACACACACACACATATATATATATATAACATTTATTTATATTAATTTTGGTATAAATTTATAATTTGTAAAACAAAATAATTATTATTATAAAAAGAAAAAAATAAAAAATGCCTAGGCGCCTCCCATACTTACTGTTTAATGCTTTTCTCTGTCACTGCACTTGTTAAGATTTTTTCATATACAGTATGAACTTCGTGAGTAATGGATTTTGTGTGAGGTCTATAAGCATAGGTGTTGTGTTGTGATGTATTTTAATACTTTAAGATGCCTGAAGTAAGAACAAGACATATCTTGGAACTTTTGTCTTTCTGAGGCGTACAAGTATGCATTCACAACACAACAATTAAACTGCAAGATGTCCTAAATCAAATATAGACTTTCTAACTCAAATTTATCTAATGGAAAAATAACATATAGAAACCATTATCTTAATATCCAGCAAGAAGAAAAGAAACAATACAAAAAACTGAAATCAGTCACCACCACCATTAAGCAAACATCTAGAATGAAATGTTCACGTTAAAAATCTAATGAAAACCCAAGTCATAACATCTAGTTGCTGGCTTTGAATCCATCATGATCAAATGCATAAAAAACAAAATTTGGAAACAATCTGTTCTAATTGTGATCACTTAGATAGAACATATAATGGGGATGGATTTGGTGGGACTAAATCCATCCTCATTAAACTTTGGCATTGAAAGTTTAGGGTACAGAACTCGTCACCGGGGATGGGAGGCAGGAAGAGCTGGAATGCTGGATAGAAGAGCTAGCTATTCCCTTTCATTAATATATATATATATATATAGAGAGAGAGAGAGAGAGAGAGAGAGAGAGAGAGAGATGGTACAATAGCACTCGTGTTCTGCTTATTTTATGGTCGATTGTGCAATTCATCCCATGACATTGTTACCAAATTGAAGATACTACTCATGCTATATATTTTAAGTAAAATATAGGTGCTGATGGGGTTTGTGATCCGGTGGTGGGGAGACAATGCATAAACATCGCTGATATAGTTTTTGGATCCAAATCGAAATCACGTTGTGACTGATTTAGCTGTGAAGAGGATGAGTTGCTCTTGCCTCCCGAACCGTGTGATATATATTGAGCAGATGCCAAAGGGAAGGAAAGAAAACTGAAACACCAAATTGAACATTCAACTGCAAAGTACAAGACCTTTCTCTTTTCCAAGATTTGCATGATTGGGTTGAGAAGTTTCTTCTATTGCCACACTCTCAGCAAACCTTATCCCAGGCTTGCGGAGACAAATGGATCAATGATACTGAGTTCAACTATGGATCCTTCTTGCACAAGATTCTGTCCATTGGCTGACCAGACAATGGTTTTTTCTGGTATTTTGTTAAACCAAATGGATATTATAAAGCCACCCTCTTTACCAACTCTTTGGAAACCGGAAGAAAATTCGCCAGATGGTGATGGCCAGACAAAGCTGTCATCCAAAGCAGTGAGGGATGAGCCCAAGGGTATTTTGTGGTCAGTTTGAGAAGTGGTGAAAAATGGCATATGTAGAAGGATAAGTAGAAAGTGTTGGCGTGACTTGTGGACTATTGACTTACTTTCCTTACACACCAAGGATTCCTATTATAATTGTAATTGATTTACTTTAATTCCTTATTTCTTACTGTAAATAGAAATATGAATTTATTATTTACTTGGGCATTAAGGCTTTGGTGTATTATAAATATGACCTCCTACAAGGAGAAGAATACACAGAAAATTCCTACAAACAAATATTATCTCATAATTCTCATATTTTAGCATAGTATCAGAGCGGTGATCTTGGGATTGCTGACTCTAGATTCTAAACCCTAGCCACCACCATGGGGGAGGATGACTCTCCTGATCCTCATGGCAATAGCACCACTACTTCCTCCTCTCATTCTCAACCAACTATAGCCGAGTTGAGTGTCCAAATGGCTCAACTTTTGAAGATGCAGACTCAAACCTCGAACCTGGTCTTAAATCAGGATCCTACCAAGATGACCTCGAACTTACTAAGACAGCAACCCCAAACTCGACTCAGACGATGAACCCAAACCCGACTCAGACAACGACCACAAACCCAACTTAGATGACGATCCTAACAACGATTACCTATGAACCTTTCGTTGCACATATCGACATCAAGTTGGATGGCACCAACTATGCCCTATGGTCCCCAAGTTGTCGAGATGTATATATCTGGCAAAGACAAATGTAGTTATATTAATGGCGATCTTCCACAACCTCCTACAACTGCTCCAATGTTTCCCCGTTGGCACACCGAGAACTCCATCGTGAAAGTATGTCTCATCAATTATCTGGAGCAAAGCTTGATTGGCAATTTCATTCGCTTTCCAATAGTAAAAGTAGTGTGGGATGCAATTGCCACGACTTTCTATGATGGCACTGAAACCTCTCAGGTGTATGATCTGAAACGACAAGTCTCCCGTATGAGACAAGCTAGTGGCTCTATTGAAACCTATTGCAATATTCTCCAAAGTTCATAGAGAGAGATTGATTTCCGTCGACCAAATATGATGGAGTATGAATGTGATATCCAATGCTATAATGATATTTAGCAGGAAGATTAAGTTTACATATTTTTGGATGGCCTTGATGATCGTCTTGATAAGGCCTGAAGCGATGTTCTTCTTGTGACTCCACTCCCTACCGTGGACCAAGCTTATGCCTATGTCCACCATGAAGATGTTCGACAAGCTGTGATGATAGGTTCATCCACACCCACTGGCGCTGGCTTAGCAGCCAAGAGTGCTCCTTCAAATCCAGTCATATGCTACTGATGTTGGTGCACCACCTCCCAAAACCATCCCACCCTCCCGTCCCAAGTTTCCATTTGATGGAAGTGGTTGCACTCACTGTGGCAACCCTAAACATACTCGCGACACCTGCTTTAAATTGAATGATTATCCTAAATGGTGGGAGGAACTCCAAGCTCAGAGCTCAGAGAAACTGCCATTAGTTACGGCTGTGCTGCTCTTGTCTCTACCGAACCTCAAACTGTTTCTCAATTGTTATGCATTGATAAATCTATTAGATATCAATTACCTTCCAGGCAAAAGGATGGGAAGCCACCAAACTGTTATTTACTTGATATTGGCAAGACATCCAAGTATCCAATTGCAATCATGTATCCACTGAGAAGCTGTTTGAACCACTCAAGGCTTTTGTGCATTAGTTGTTTGCTATCCATATTCCAACCAAGGTTTCTAAAGCATTGAAAGATCCTAAGTGGATCCAAGCTATAAAAGAGGAGATGAAAGCTCTTGAGAAAAATTAGACTTGGACACTAGAGACTATACAACAAGGAAAAATGATTATCGGATGTAGATGGGTGTTTACTATAAAACACAATGCTAATGGATCTATCAAAGGATACAAGGTAAGACTTGTGACAATAGGATACACACAGACCTATGGTATAAACCATGAAGAAACCTTTGCACCAGTTGCAAAATTGAACACCGTCAGAGTCTTATTGTCCCTTGTAGCTAATTTGGATTGGTCATTACACCAATTTGATGTAAAGAATGCTTTCTTGCATAATGAACTCGCAGAGGAGGTGTATATGGGCATTCCTCTTGGATATAATACTACTCAAACTGGAAAAGTATATAGATTACAAAAGGCATTGTACATATTGAAACAGTCACCACGCGCATGGTTTGGACGGTTCACCATGGCAATGAAGAACAATGGTTTCAAACAGAGTAACTCAGATCATATTCTATTCTTGAAACATCATAAAGGGAACGGAACAGCTTTATTAATCTATGTTGATGATATGTTTATTACTGTGAATGTTAAACATGAAATATCTCAACTACAAGACTATTTGTCTACTGAGTTTAAGATGAAGGATCTAGGTGGACTCAAGTATTTCTTGGGGATTGACGTAGCCTGATCATAGAGAAATATGTCTTGGACTTGTTGACAGACAGAGGAATGCTAGATTGCAAACCTGTGGACACCCATATTGTTCAGAATCATCATTTTGGAGAATACCCGGATCAAGTTCCAACTAACAAAGAAATATACCGAAAGACCAAACATTGCTTATGCAGTGAGTGTTGTAAGTCAATTTATGCATTTTCCAAGTAAATACCACATGAATGCAGTTCTTCAGATACTTAGATATTTGAAGTCTGCACCTGGAAAAGGACTTATGTTCTCAAAACATGGTCATCTGAATATTGATGGTTATTCAAATGCAGATTGGGCAAATAATGTAATAGATAGAAAATTTGCATCGGGTTACTTCACATTCGTTGGAGGTAATTTGATGACATGGAGGAGCAAGAAACATAATAGCTTTATCCACTGCATAAGCCAAGTTCAGAGGCATGACTAAAGGGATTTGTGAGCTCCTTTGGATAAGGAAGTTGCTTACTGAACTTGGATATAAACCTACATCTACAATGAATCTCTTTTGTGACAGTAAGGCTGCTATAGCTATTACACATAATCCGGTTCAACATGATCGCACTAAACATGTTGAGTTGGATTAACACTTCATGAAATAGAAGCTTGAGGTTCAAGTAATTCAGTTTCCTTTCGTATAATCTAAGGATCAATTGACAGATATTTTGACAAAAGCGATTTCCACAATTCACTGGATCAGTTGGGCATTGGCCACATTTATGCACCAACTTGAGAGGGAGTGTTGGCGTGACCTGTGGGCCATTGACTTATCTTCCTTACACACCAAGGATTCCTATTATAATTGTAATTGATTTATTACTTTAATTCCAGATTTCCTACAGTAAATAGAAATAAGTAATTTATTATTTACTTGGCCACTAAGGCTCTTATGTATTATAAATATGACCTTCTACAAGGAGATTAGTACACAAAAAATTCCTACAAACAAATATTCTCTCATAATTATCATATTTTAGCAAAAAGCACAAGGCATATGGTAGTTCAAAAGCCATGGCACCAAGTTACATGAGCTAACAGTGAAACAATCTATATGAACATCAAATTTTACATTACCATTGTTTAATCTTCTGCTTAAAATCATCGAATCATATCCATTAAAGTCATCGACAATCATCGACTCAAATCATTTCTATAATTTTTCATGTCTTCTATTGTTCTTCTTTTCTGACCAATGAAAATTTTTAGTAGGACAGCTTGACTTCCAGTGTCATTGTATGAGGCAATTCATGCTTTGGTCGGCATCTTGAGAAACTCTTTCATTAAATAATCTTAAATGCTTTGGTGCAAGCAGTTAGGCATGCCCTTGTTAAACTTCTTCATACAATGACCTTTGTCACTACTATTGGCTTGTTTGCGTTCTACAAGATGCATTCAAAAATGTTTTTTTGTGGGTAATTGAAAGCATAAAAGTCAAACTTGTGCCATTAAAAACTCTGAGCTAAATTGAGAACTAGGGTTTGAACTTTGATCCACATTAAAAAAAATTGGTGGTGCCATAATAATAAGAAGAGGATCATAAAGAAAAAAAAAAGTATTGCTTATAAAATTAGTCTAGACAGCCACCATGAATTCAAGTTGCCTTTGAAGCATATTTTTGAGATGGGGTAATGAATGAGGTTCATCATGCAGACCAATATTATGCTGCTTAACTTTGTGGGTTCCATTGTCCATTCCATGGCTTGAAATTTACTGTCTAACTTCCTAAGCATAAGCATATCAAAATTACTTGGCAATTGGCATGATTAGTAGGGTGCTTGAGCAAGAAAAACAAAAGAAACTATCTATGCCATGACTCATGAACGTAATTTAAAGACAAAGAAGAGACCATGTTCGTCTGAAGTTGGAAAGTCCTTTGCATATGTGAGTTAGATCAGTTAGTGAAAGACAGCGTGTCTGCTCTCCCATGAACCATATTCGATTTCCCTCCTTGTATATTAAAGTAGTTAGAATATTGTTTTGTAAAAATAAAAGTTTGAAAGCCCAAAGTGAAACACACCGGGCTAGTTTGATTGTTCATTTTTTAGGGAATGAAGCCCAAATTTCATTGATCCTTAATGTTCAATCCACACTCGAATACTTGACCCGCCAACTCAAAAATTGAAAAGGAGTGAAAATATTCCGTTGCCGCTAGAATAAACCAATTTTATTGGTCCACTTACAGTGCACACGGATCGCTATCCCTAACAACCTACAACAAATAATATCCACCGTTGATAACAATACGAATCAACGCTCCATATCCACCGATCCAAAACTTTCAAAATTTGACCAAAATTTCAAACCCGCCGCTTCTCCACTCTCTCACTCTATAAATAAAACTCATCAAAACCTCTCTAATTCACAAATTCATATCGGCATCCTTTTTCTCTCATCTTCTCGCTAACCAAACACCCAAATCCTTCCATCTTTCACATCAAGACCAACTCCAAATGGCTCGTACTAAGCAGACTGCCCGTAAGTCGACCGGAGGCAAAGCGCCACGCAAGCAGCTGGCCACGAAGGCTGCCCGTAAGTCAGCCCCGGCGACCGGAGGGGTGAAGAAGCCTCACCGTTTCAGGCCAGGAACTGTGGCTCTGAGAGAGATCAGAAAGTACCAGAAGAGCACTGAGCTCCTGATCCGCAAGCTTCCATTTCAAAGGCTTGTGAGGGAGATCGCTCAGGATTTCAAGACCGATCTCCGGTTCCAGAGCAGTGCCGTGGCGGCGCTGCAGGAGGCGGCGGAGGCCTACTTGGTGGGTCTGTTCGAGGACACCAATCTCTGCGCCATTCATGCCAAGAGAGTCACCATTATGCCCAAGGATATCCAGCTCGCGCGTCGGATCAGAGGCGAGAGGGCTTGAGGAGATTCAGAGAGCAATTTAGGAATTATCTAGTCTATGATGTTTAAACGGCATGTAGTTAGTTGTAGATGTTTGCTTTATGCCTTAGTCTTTGTTTTGGCTTGTTCTGAGACGACAAGTCGTTGAACCATTCAGTTGGGTTTGTGTAATGCTGGGGCGTAATAAGGATTTGAAATCTAATGGCTAGTTGGATTTGTGTTGATATTGCTGGGTTCTTGTTTCGATTGTCATTTGTCTTTGCATTTCCTATTTAAATCTCTGCTTGTATTGCCAAATTGGTATTGAATATATGATTATGTTTTTGGCTTAAACATGTCAAAATGTGGCCAAAGTTTTTGTTATGCAAAAATAAAAAAAGGGTTCATTTTCACTCAAATTGGGATTATTATTGGGTTTGCGTTGGATGACATGAAATGTAGATGGGCCTGAACCCACAAATTACCCCCAAAAAAATGACCTTTCTGAGCATACAAGTCGTTGAAATATTATAATGAGGGGATCGTGAGTGAGGTAAAAATGCTATAACAAGGAGTTTTGGGTGAGGGTTCAATCTCACTACACAAGAGAGAAAATATTGAACTTGAACTTTTTTAATGATTGAATGGTTAGTTTAAACTTTTCATTGAATCCGTCACCAAAATCCGCTTCATTATAGAAGCTCCTATTGGTGAGGGAGTTTTAACGAGAGGTTCAATTCCACTACCCAACGAAAGAGAGAAAATATTAGACTTTAAAGCATTTGGGAAAGTCCCAAAACAAACAAAACTTAAGGCCCATATATTTATGAAATTTTTCGCTATTTTTTTATTTTTATTCAAACCCTATGGGAAGTTGTTTACATCTTTTAATTAATTTTTAGAAACCAAAAATAAATAAATTCGTGAATCCCCCTAGTAGAATTGTCATGTCAGTGAAACACAAAATTAAAAATAAAACAATCAAAACTAGAAAAAGGGAAAAAAGAAAAAAGAGATACGTTTGTAATCTGCCAGACGAGACATGTTCATTTTGATGTGGGTTATATGGTAAAACACCCAAGGTTGTTGGTGTGTCATATGGCAAATGCCAAATAGGAAACTTACCAATTACACCACGATTTTAAACCCTTCTTGAAAATGAATCTTAGCCGTATGCAAAATCCAACGGTCCGGATTTCAAATAAGAAAATATGACCGTTGGGGTTGAAATTTCGACCGTTGGGGCTAACGTCGGTTCGGGAGCTTCAAATAGTGCCCTTTGCTTTGCTATTAGACTCATGAAACAAGAAACACAAAGCGCAGAGCAAACAGAGAAATAGAGAGATAAAAGGAGACTTTCCTTGGGGTGAATTTATTGGATCCAGAAACCCTACAAGGCTACAGATCTCAGCAAACCATGGAGCACGCTAGAGCAGCAGTTCTTCCACAACAACCCAGAGGTATTCGCCGATCCCACCTTCTGATTTTTTAATAGAACAACGATTCTTTCAAATTTCATTTTGGGTTTTGGTACTTTTCTTCGTTTAGCATATTGGGTTTATGTTTCTGCGATAATGCCATGGGTTTTTATAGCATTCATCATTTTTATTTCTGAGATCTTTCGATGTTGTTTTATCTGGGTTTCTCTTGCCCTGATCATTGATGGGTTGGGGTTATTCATCTAGATCAGTGCAAGATTTATTTTTTCCCAAATTTTATTTCATCATTTCAGTTTTTTTTTATAATTTGGATCTGCCCTTTTCTGTTTCTTTCCCTATTTGTAAATTTGGAATGCAGAATTTATTGGGTTTCTGGTTTTTGGGTTTACTGTTCTCTTCTTTGATTGATTGGGCTGTAGCGATTTCAGATTTCTTTTGGGGTTTTTTGTATTTTAATTTCTTGATTTCGGCCATTTTCATGTATTTCTTTCATTCAGAAAATCAAGGTTTTTATTTATTTATATGTTCATGTTTGGTTTTCTTATAGGAAATGACAAAGTCAAGAATGAAGCACAGAGAAGGAACCGGCGTGTTCTTGGAGACATTGGTAATAATCTTGAGGCTGGTCGTATTGTTGAAGGGAAGCCCCCTGTTCAGATTTCTCGCCCCATAACTAGGTTTATCTCTCTCTCTCTCTCTCTCTCTCTCTCACACACACACACACACACACGCACGCACGCACGCACAGGCGAAATTACTAACAAGTTGATCTTGACTTGCAGAAGTTTTCATGCACAACTGTTAGCAAAGGCACAACAAGCACAAGCAGAAAAGAATCATGTGGTAATAATCTTGAACCACTGCTTTTTATCTCTTTCTCTTTATATAATGAATATCTAGTTTTGAATCTTGAAGTTAATTATACCTGTTCATGGTATTGGCTTTTTAAATTTGTAGAACCCTGTGCTGCCGGTTGTTGAAGATAAAAAACGAGGTCCTGCCAAGAAGGCAGCAGTGGTAGTAGCGCCCAAGAAGGCAATTGAAAAGCCAAAATCTGAGACTGTGGTTGTTATAAGTTCTGATGAAAGAGTAAAGGATAAACCAGTGAACCAATGCAAGCCAATAGAAGGGCCTTCAAGGAAGGAAGTCAAGACTCTGACTTCGATCCTCACAGCTCGAAGCAAGGTAAGTTTGTTGATTTTCTAGCATATTGAGAGAGAATTGCTTCCTTTTATTTGTTGGGGTATTGAATTTTTGTTTGCTGAAGGCTATGGCTGGTGGAGTTAACATCAAGCCAAAGGAAAAGATTGTTGATTTTGATTCTTCTGATGTTAATGATGAATTGGCTGTGGTGGAATACATTGATGACTTGTACCAGTTCTACAAGCTCACTGAAGTATGTTCTTATTCTCTTCCCCCCTCACTTCAAATTTCCCCTTTTCCTATCGCTTCTCTTACTAAAGAAAACTTCCTTGTGCAGGATGACAGCAGAGTTAATGATTACATGGAGTCACAGCCAGACATAAACCCAAAGATGAGATCAATCCTCATAGACTGGTTGGTAGAAGTTCACAGGAAATTTGAACTGATGCCTGAAACCTTCTACCTGACTGTGAACATAATTGATCGATACTTGTCAAAGAAGATCGTTTCTAGGAGGGAACTTCAGCTAGTTGGTATTAGTTCTATGGTTATAGCATCCAAATATGAGGAAATCTGGGCTCCACAGGTAATGTTCTCTTATTCAGTTGTTTTATGAATTATTCATACTTGATTTCAAACTTGTATCTTTTTTAATCTGAAAATGGGTTCTTGATATGCAGGTCAATGACTTTGTTTGCTTATCAGACTATGCATACACTGGTGATCAGATACTTCTGATGGAGAAAGCAATTCTGGGGAAGTTGGAATGGTACCTGACAGTTCCTACCCCATATGTCTTCCTGTCTAGATACATCAAAGCCTCTGTTTCACCTGGTGAAGAGGTACTTATTTCATCATGACAATATAGCCATGCATACTTTAAGCTCTATTTTTAGTGAAGTAACATATACTAATTACTAATTTGATTCTCTTACGTTTGTGTAATGCAGATGAAGAATATGGTTTTCTTTCTAGCTGAGCTCGGAATTATGCATTATCCAACTACTATTCGGTACTCTCCCTCCCTGATAGCTGCTGCAGCTGTCTATGCTGCACGTTGCACCCTCAACAAAGCTCCTTTCTGGACTGAAACTCTGAAGCACCACACTGGCTACTCTGAAGAACAGTTAAGGTAATGTCTTCTTCTATACATAAGTTATAACCCTCTTCAGTTATAAATTATAATTAGCATATTTGCAGTCAATATTACTAATTGTGGAGTGTTGTGTTCTTTTGTCATACAACAGGGATTGCGCCAAGCTCCTGGTGGGCTTTCACTTGAAAGCTGCAGAAAGCAACCTTCAAGCAGTTTATCGGAAATTCTCGAAGCCTGAACATGCTGCCGTTGCTCTTTTCACTCCGGCCAAGAGTTTTCAGTCCTCATCTTCTTCTTGAGCTGATTCAAGTGTTGTGTTTATTTTGAGTCTTGTTTACTTTTTGTAGACAAAAGCACCCATATCCCATATGTGCTAGTGGTGTTTTTAGATTGAGTAATGAGTATGAGAAGATTCTCACAACCGTATTGTTCTAAAATACAAACATAGTTACGTTTCTGCTGATTCAGATTGTGTATTAGATAGATAAGATCAGCTGCAGAGGCTAATGGTCCAATTGCTGCAAGCTACTGCTATTCTTTGTATTCTTTGTAAGGAGTTTCTTACTTGGATTTGGATAGAAATCAAAAATATTAATGCATTATTAAACATTGGATTGGAGTAGATGAATACTGAAATAGTAATGTTCCTTCTACTGTATCATTTCTATGTTGCATGAGAGACTTTTGTCTAAAATGAACCAAATGAGAAATGACTTGAAGTGTGTATGAAAGCAGCAATAATGCAAACGAGAATAATACATAGTAAAAATTGAAAATGTTTAAAATAAAAACAAAATACCCACTTTTCCCTGTTTTTCTTACTTTTCATTTTTTTTCTTCTCCCACTTCTGTTTACATAATAAATTTAAAATAGAGCATGACTGTAAAATTGAGGACGAGCTCCTTAAAACATTGACAAAGTTTCAACAAAAAAAGTATAAAAGAATATTAAAATAATTTAACATGTGTCAAAACCACATTGGTTGTAAAATAAAACATACAATATGCCTAAAAATAAAATATACCTAAAAATGAAAAAACCACTTAACCCTAATCAAAATCACACAAAATGGTCTAGGAATGAAAAAATGTGTGGGTCCCACCTCAAAATCCGTAATCACATCCTCTCAAGATGAGGAATTAGATCAACTAGGTAGGGGTAGTTGATCCAATTCCCATTCCATTTTTCCCTTACTACCTTCCAAAATTACCCTTACCACTTTAAAATAATTATAAAACACCACAAACCCTACAAATAAAAACTCACGTCACTTTAATATTATCAAGATTATGCTTAGGTTATTATTATTTGATTTTGTTAAAATATTATTTGAAATTGGTTAGTTTAGCACCACAATATGGAGGAACATGGACATAAAACAATATTGACACTTGTTATGTTCTTCCATCCCATAAAATGAAGAAACCAAACTTTGAAGCCGTTTTGTTATGTTTTTGAAAAAAATCAATGGTTGTTTATTAATCACCATTGGAAAAAGTAAAATTTTTCCCTTTTCACCTTGGTTGCTAGCCTCTACTTGTCTTGTTATGCTTCTTACCACTGTGTCATTTTTTTTTCTTCTATTATATTCCTTATATTTTTATATACTTGTTTTTTCATCACTTGTTATACAGTATCTTATATTATTCAATTTGCTTTTTTAAAAGTTATTCAAGTGAAAAATATATATTTATATGTGCATGGCATCTTAGTAATCAAATTAGTTTAGGTTCTGATTCATGAGAGGTAAACAATAACAATGGAAATCAACTCTATTCCTGTGATGATTCCACATGGTTAGTAAACAACTTAATGAGAATGATTCTTCCCATACTGATTCATTACTTCCATGATTCCTAAATTCCCCAATTCCTTACTTCCTCCATTCATTGTAAGTAAATGGCCCCTTGGTGTGCTCCCAAGTGGTCCTAAGTTCAAGCCCCCATGGTACTCGCGTGTGTGAGTTTCCCCTACCCTTTCTAATTTTGGCAAAAAATCAAAATCAAAATCAAAATCTTAAGAACTTGGAAAAAAAAATTTTTTTACTAAACGCGAATAATATATAATGAAAATTGAAAAAGTTTAAAGTAAAAAAATAAAATAAAAGGAAAAAGAAAAGACCCACTTTGCCTTAAAATTTGAAAAAATGTTTTATTTATGTAAAAACATATCCCCACGTTAGTTTCCACCACCCCCAAATTTCTTTATTTTCGTTTTTTCCTATTTCTGTTTATAGAATTATATTATATATACCATTTTTTATATCAAATTATATTAAATATACCTACGAAAATGAAAAAGACCACTTAACCCGTGCGTGAACACATGCTTATAGCCTAGTATAGCAAATGCCAAATAGGAGTAACTTGCCAATTACACCCATCTTGAAATTCAATCGTAGCCATATGCGAAATCAACGATCGAAATTTCAAATAAAAAAATTTGACCGTTGGAGCCAACGTGGGTTCTCGAGCTTCAAATACTGCCCTTTGCTTTACTTTCAGACTCCCGAAACAAGAAACACAAGCGCAGAGCAAACAGAGAAAGAGGGAGGGAGAAAAGAAGGAGACTTTCTTTGAGGAAGTCATTGAATCCAGAAACCCGAGAAGGCTAGAGATCTCTGCCAACCATGGAGGACGTTAGAGCAATGGTTCTTCCACAACAACCAAGAGGTATTTACCGATCCCAGCTTCTGATTTTTGAATAGAACAACGATTCTTTTAAATTTCATTTTGGTTTTTAGTACTTTTCTTCCTTTAGCATACTGGGTTTATGTTTCTGGGATAATGTTATGTGGGTTTCTCTTGCCCTGATCATTGGTGGGTTGGGGTTATTATTCCATCATTTCAATTATTTGTTTTCTTTTTCTTAAATTTGGAACGTAGAATTTATTGGGTTTCTGGTTGTTGGGTTTACTGTTTGTCCTTTTCATTTTTCCTGATATGATTCTTTATGGTTTGGGTTCAGTCAGTGCCAACTGGGTTTCTCTTATTTGATCGATTGCAGTTATCTCTTGTGGTTGCAGCGATTTCAGATTTTTTTTGGGGCGGTTCTTTGTATTTTAATTTTTTTATTTCGTCCTTTTCATGTATTTCTTTCATTCAGAAAATCAAGTTTTGTTAATTTACATGTTCACGTTTGTTTTTCTCAAAGGGAATGACAAAGTAAAGAATGAAGCACAAAGAAGGAACCGGCGTGTTCTTGGAGACATTGGTAATAATCTTGAGGCTGCTCATCTTGTTGAAGGGAAGCCCCCTGTTCAGATTTCTCGCCCTATGACTAGGTTTCTCTCTCTCTCTCTCTCTCTCTCTCTCTCTCTCTCTCTCTCTCTCTCTCTCTCTCTCTCTCTCTCTCTAATTTACACGTGCAATTCCTAACAATTTCTTGACTTGCAGAAGCTTTCATGCACAATTGTTAGCCAAGGCACAAGCTAAAGCAGAAAAGAACGGGGTAATAACCTTTTACCACTTTTTGTCATGAAATTCTAGTTTTGAAACTAGGAGTTTTTATACCTATTTATGTTTTTGGCTCTTTGAATTTGTAGAATCCAGTACTGCCGGTTCTTGAAGATAGGGCAGCTGCTCTTAATAGAAAACGTGGTCCTGCCAAGAAGGCCGCAGTTGCTCCCAAGAAGGCAATTGAAAAGCCAATATCTGAGACTCTGGTGGTTATAAGTTCTGATGAAGAAGAAGAAAAAGATAAACAAGTGAACCGATGCAAGCCCATAGAAGGGCCTTCAAGGAAGGAAGTCAAGACTCTAACTTCAATCCTCACAGCTCGAAGCAAGGTAAGTTAGACGTTCTTTTCGTATTTGTGATGACTTTTTAACACATTGTGAGAGAAATGCTACCTTTTATTTGTTGGGGTATTAAATTTATGTTTCTGCAGGCTATGGCTTGTGAAGTTGACATCAAGCCAAAGGAAAAGATTGTTGATTTTGATTCAGCTGATGTTAGTGATGAATTGGCAGTAGTGGAATACATTGATGACTTGTACCAATTCTACAAGCTCACTGAAGTAGGTTCTTATTCTCTCCTCCCCTCACTTCAAATTTCCCCTTTTCTTATCTCATCTTACTAAAGAAAACTTCCTTGTGCAGGATGACAGCAGAGTTCATGATTACATGGAGTCACAGCCAGACATAAACCCAAAGATGAGATCAATCCTCATAGACTGGTTGGTCGAAGTTCACAGGAAATTTGAACTGATGCCTGAAACCTTCTACCTGACTGTGAACATAATTGATCGATACTTGTCAATGAAGATCGTTTCTAGGAGGGAACTTCAGCTAGTTGGTATTAGTTCTATGGTTATAGCATCCAAATATGAGGAAATCTGGGCTCCACAGGTAATGTTCTTATTCAGTTATTTTATGAATTATTCATACTTGATTTCTAACTAGTATCTTTTTTAATCTGAAAATGGGTTCTTGATATGCAGGTCAATGACTTTGTTTGCTTATCAGACTATGCATACACTGGTGATCAGATACTTCTAATGGAGAAAGCAATTCTGGGGAAGTTGGAATGGTACCTGACAGTTCCCACCCCATATGTCTTCCTGTCTAGATACATCAAAGCCTCTGTTTCACCTGGTGAAGAGGTATTTAATTCACCATGATTTGTGATAAATATCGATATTGGATCATACTTTAAGCTTTATTTTTAGTGAAGTAACAAATACTAATGTGGTTCTCTTACCTTTTTGTAATGCAGGTGAAGAATATGGTTTTCTTTCTAGCCGAGCTCGGAATTATGCATTATCCAACTACTGTTCGGTACTCCCCATCTCTGATAGCTGCTGCAGCTGTCTATGCTGCACGTTGCACCCTCAACAAAGCTCCTTTGTGGACTGAAACCCTGAAGCACCACACTGGCTACTCTGAAGAACAGTTAAGGTGATATCTTCTTCTGTATATAACCTTCCTCAGTTATCAATTATATTCGGGTATGTGTAGCTGTGAGTGGGGAAACAGATGTGGTTTATATTTACTAGTTCGATTTTGTTCTTTGTCATACAACAGGGATTGCGCCAAGCTCTTGGTTGGCTTTCATTTGCATGCCGCAGAGAGTAATCTTCAAGCAGTTTATCGGAAGTTCTCAAAGCCTGAACATGTTGCTGTTGCTCGGATCCCTCCTGCCAAAAGTTTTCTGTCCTCATCTTTTTGAACTGATGAGAGTTTTGTGTTCTTGTTTACTTTTTGTAGACAAAGCATCATTATGCCTGGTTTAGATTCTTGGGTAATCATCCATATGTAATCTTCAAGCAGTTTAGATTGGGTATGAGAAGATTGACCGTGTTGTTTATCTTGATTCTTGGGTCATGTATATCCTTAGCTCTCGGATTTGTCTGTCATTTTTTCAACATCCAACAATATAAGCCAATTGTAGTGTTACTATGATGTCAGTTCAAAGTTTAGCCTGTGAACACCAAACTGGGTACAATCTTTTTCTTGCTGCAATTTCAATTTAGATCATGCAGTTTCAATTAAGATCATTCAATTTCGATTTAGTCATAAATAAATAAGGTGTGATGGCTGGGAGAAGCACTAGGCCAGTTCAAAGTACAATGCCAATCATTACCGGGAAAGTTATATTGCTTGCTTCAAAACTTTTGAATAGTCTCATTATCATAAAGAGTGTTTACTGTTTAAAATTGCATAATATAATACCACCAAAGGTTGTTGCTCATTCTCTCTCTCCTACGCACACATACAAATCGGTGATCCATATCTCTACTTCAAATGTACCAGAAAGTGTGAGATTGTTTTCGTATCATAAATGAATGCTTTTTATGTCATTATGTGAAAATAGATACTGTCACTATTGTCTGTAAGGTTCCTTTAATCTCAGGATACCGTAAAATAACTGAAGCGCACAACCCTAACCCATACACAACATCCAGTTACTACTGTCTACAAGAATCCTGCAATCTCAAAATACCCTAAATTACTGGAGTACAACACAGAACTGTAAACCATATATACAATGTCTGGTTAGACCACCGAAAGCACCTCTAGTCTTCCTCTGGATACATATAACCCATGAGCTGACAAATTGTCACTAAATACATTACTTCAAAGCTCATGAGTGGAAGAGAAAGTTGCTTTGCTCACATTTACATATATATTCTGAACTGCAAAAACTGTAGGAGGCCCAAGGTTAAGCGCATAGCAGTTGTTTCTTGACCACTCAACATTTCTGCTCACACTGGTCCTGGGCTTCAGTTGGTCACCTTAACATGACTTGTGACTTTGAGAAATCATGAGCAAAGATGAATGCTGAAAGCAATAATCCAAAGTATTAGGCCTTTTTATTGTATGATGATGTGTGAATTGAAACTCATTGAACCACTGCGAAGTAATGAATGAAGGGTCGGTAGTTTAGACAGCTTCCAACATTCAAGTGAACCATTTTCCTTCACAACCAGCTACCTAAACACAAAAGACCCTTACTTTGCATAAACACAGCTTCACTTAATTTCATTTTTTATATCCCAACAGTTTCACCATAACAACAGCACCTTTATTTGTACATTCCTGGTAAGTGTCAAGCTCCACTATTCGGTCAAAATAGTGAACACTTCTTAATCTTTAAGACCAACCCAAATGGAGAGTCAACAAGGCCACTGGAATTTGCCACACCACAAACCTTTTCAAAGTACTACTCTATTCACATTTAAACCTTTTTCAACCAGGCACTGGTTGGGATTTTGCTTGCACTTATGTATCTCATGAAACCAAATGCACAGATCTAGCAAGTCCAATATGCATGTGCATTTGTATAATTGAAGTAGAAGCCAGGTCATAGGATTTTAATAGAACCTTAAGGTTGAAAAACATGGATAGAAAAGTAGGTTAGAGAATACAAACCCTTGTTCCAGCTATGATGGTACTGTTGAGGGGATGAACTGCACATGCAGTAACTCCTTCAGACAATGGAACAAACCTGTTTTTCATATCTTGTTTCTTTACCCCAGAAAGACTCTGTGTATCCTCTCTACAACATTAAGCAACAAAAGGAACATGTATGTAAACATAAATGCATAGGAAAGTAAACAACTGCATGTTCACACACAGGTGTGCACAGATAACGGGCCAAACTGAAATCAAAGAATTATAGGTGAAGGGGGAAAGGCCATCAAAGAAAATACCACCGCATCCGGAGGGAAATGGTAAATTATAAGTTGGGCATCAGCATAATAAATAATCTACTAAAGGGGGGAGGGGATCCAGACTTGCAGGAGAGCTTTTAAAATACGAAGAAAGTTATGATCTGTTGATTCAGATTATGTATTAGACTTCATGGCTAATCAAAATACTGCAAAAGTTCTAAGGAGTTTCTTACTTGTAGTCCACATGGCTAGGAGAGCTTGAATCTGGATAGAAATCCAAAATATGAATTCCATTGTCGGTTGATGATCCAACCACGTAGATCTGCATTAGAAAACATTGGAGTACAATCTCATACAAATGGCTAGACATTGCAGAATTAAATTGAAGACCAAGAAAATGAAAATATCATAGGATTGTTACAGGTACCATACCAACAAGTTTAATCAACCAAATGAGAAATGACTCAAAGCATGCAAGCAGCAATAATGCAAACTTTTCAATCAATATGTGAAAATGAAATGCGACTTTGCAATACTACCCCATGCATTGACCACTGAGCAGGACCCAGGGATGGAAAAACTCCTCATTAGACATACATTTTCATCCAATTGACACTAGAATATGAATTTGTCCACAAAAGTGAGGTCAATGACTGTAAACTAATGCAAAATGACTAAACAGGAAACCTGATGCAATGCAGTTTGAAATATAAAACAAAACATTCTCCCTTACCGAATTTATTGGCAGCCATGAAGGTTTTCTCAAATATAACAGATCAGCTGACACGCCAGGATCATTTCTACTTCCTCAAAATGAACAGGATAGAAATAGATAAATTAAACACAAGGTGCTAATGTTTCCAATGTTAACGCAGCAAATTGAATGCACAGAACATTACTTACAACCAAGCAGGTGGAGGACAATGAATATGCGTAACTTCAAAATTGTAAACATCCAATACACCTGACCTACATTAAACAAGGTATTAATTCATCATCAGTGTTGTCGCAATAAAATTCAATGATAAAGCATTCAGTTTATTAGATTAGCATATTCCATAGACAATTAGGCATGATCTTCACAATTATTTGTGAGACTTCTTTTGATTCCAATAAAAAGATACAATAAACATAATGATGCCTTGGTGATTTGGCAGCATGCTATAAAGTGACTCCTAATTCTCTGTTCCAGTTTAATCAAAATCCATTTTCATATTCCAGATCAGTTACTGCTGTTCACAAGTCACTTTACCCTCAAAAGAATTGGTATACATCAAGCATGTATTCCTATTGTTTTGTAGGGTACATCTCCTTTCGATTGTAGACCAATATCTCTTCTAAATAATATACTTTCTTGAAAGAAAAGTTAGCAAGTGTCAGACAAATGCAGCGGTATATTCTGAACAGTAACCCCAACCCAATCAGCTTGACCTATATGGTTATTAACCTACCCCGTATCGAGTTTTTTATTGTTAACGTAACATAGAAACTTAAGAAATGACCACAAAAAAAACGAGGAATAAGATTAATGAACCATTGTTTACCAAAAAAATAAAACAAAGGAATCATGACCTACTGCACAGTGATAACAATACGTACCAACCATCATCAAGATGGAATGCCAATTGGTGCGGGCAAGATGGATCAATATTAATGGAGTGTATTTCCTTAGAAACAATGTCTGATTGTGCCTGAAAAATAATGAGAATATTTAGTAGTGTAAATTGAAATATGCAAACCATGATATTTACGTAACATAGATATAGTACAATAGACCGCACTGTCTACATTACTAATATTAATGTGTTAATGGCTTTTGTCTCCAGTGAAGCAATATGAGAATAGGCACAAATATAGTGTTCACAACTTACAACAATGTAACATGCATAAAGACAATACTTCGTATGAATTAATACATTTTTTTCCAAAAACGTTGTGTAAATAGTAAACATATTTGATACCTTCAGAGGCCCAATTTTCTCTAACAATGACGATAACTTCAATGAAGTTAGAGGCGGATGACGTATCTATATAAACAAAAACAAAATAGTTATTACTATCATTTTTCAAGAACATAAATATACGAATCAAGTTCAATATTTTGTCAAGATTGTCTGGGCATATTAGTCGTGACTGCTAGGAAAACTGTTTAGGGTGCTGATGTTTAGTTCTTGTTATTTCTATGAAGTTAGAAAATGAATATATGTAAACAAAATAAGAACCCCTTACTTCTTTATTACTCAGAAGAGCAGAAGACGTTCTTCCACCACGAAGATCCCATACATAAACAAATCCACGCTTTCCAGCTCCAAAAATGATCTGAAAAAAAGTCGTTAAAATTTCTTTAGAAGATAAAAAAATTTACTCATGGCAAGGAATACACCTAGTAGATTTTGGGAACAAAAGCATGAAAATACACCAAAATGTTTCTACTAACTGAAATTCTGGGAGGACATCATCCATGTTTTTAGAAACTAGGACATGAGACACACCATACAAAGTTTATGTTAGTTACTAATGAGTAAATTAAACAAGATGTGCAGAACAAGTAACTAGATATTACAGAGCGCATCTTTCCAAATTCAAGAGCTTTAAATGAGATTTCCCAATATTATTTTCTTATGTACAACTAATTAGCTTTGGTCTTTCCATGAATCTGTTTCATGTTATATTTGCAGAAAAACTATGAGAAAACGGCTTCATATAAGGCATTAAAGAGTACATCAACACTAGTTCTGATCATTTAGAACCTTCCAATTTCCACTATATGCAACTACTCTGATGATCTACCATTCTGGATCAGCACAATATAAAGAAATTACCATACCCTCCAAATTGATGACTGACTTCTTGGGTTTAAGCAAACATCTTGCCCTTTAACACCATGTTTTTCCTAAAAGATCTTTAACCCATAGATAACTTAATAACTAGGATATAAATTTGAACGATCAATCCTCATTCATAATCATGATCAGTTCTACTTATTGACCCATACTTGCATTGCTATTAAATACTAGGTTCTTGACACAAAGAAAAAACAATACAAATTTATAAATAAACCCAATCCTAGACATGTATTTATAAAAAAACCCAAGCACTATTTAAACATAGAAACACACCCAAAATCAACAATTGTATATTTTTTGGGTGTGTTTATAAATGGGTTTTGAGTGTGTGTAATGATGGGTTTTGGGTGTGTTTATAAAGTGTTTTGGGTGTTGGGTTTTTTTATAATTTCAGCCCCCATTTTGGGTGTTTTAGTGAAACTCCCAAGAAACAAAGCATGGATACATGTCTTTCCTAATGATGTGCGCATATCTCAACTTCTGATAAATACGTAAAGATAGCAGATTGAACATAGCAGATTGAACCCAAAAAAAAAAGTGAATTATTGCAGACCTGATCCTCCGCATTTAATTGTATACTATTAAGGGTGCCACGGGAATCCGTTGTAAGTTCAAGACATGGAAATTTACTCATTCTTCTGTCCCATACATTGATTACACCATATGTATCAGAAGCCAGTATCCTAAAATGACCATAAAATAAAAAGGAAGCCTGCCTTAGAAAGAATATATAACTGATAGAAGCAAGAAATATATTCCAGAAGTCACAAAATGGTCAAACAAGAGGGGGGCGGGTTACTTTAAACCAGCTCTGAATAGTGAAAGCATACAAATTTTGCACTATGTAGATTAAAGAAGAGACCCTCAACACAACTCACTACTACCCCTAGTGAACTAAAACAACACCTTTTGCAAAGTAGTACACATTATTAAAATGGAAAAGACAGGCATTCCTATAGTGCATGAGAAGTGGAGGAAGGTATGATACTTCAAAATTTGTACATGCACAAATGAACTTATTCAGTATGGTTTTCTGAAGCAGTCTGTTCAAATATTCAATCTCAATTTTAAATTAAAGAGTAAATCACATAAATCTAAAAATGAGTTATTCATAATCATCTCTACCTGTGATTTTAGAAATAAATACATATAAATGAATAACGGGTATATCTCTATTTCACCAACCTGGAATCGTCAAGTGAAGTAGCAATATCAGTAAGACCTTTATGAATATTAGACCCAAGAACAGAAACACTAGGTCTTGTTCTTAACACCTGGACCAAAAGGTGAGGAATAATTATCATAATAACAAAGAGAAAGCCGTACCAATATATAACCAGCATATTATACATAGAATGTCGTACTAATACATACCCAACACACTAGACAGATTTGACAGAAAAACCTAAGATAAAAATGTGATTAAGTTGTCGGTTTGCTACAATCCTTAACCTGTTCGGAACAATTGTTTTTCACTATTAACACTCCTCCTGACATGTGGGTTCTCTCCACCATTAGCCCAGCGTACAGAATTTAACTTAACTGAGGGGTTTTGCCATTGTGAAGGGATTCGAACTCAGGATCGCTGTGACTGACACCATGATGAAGTTGTCGGTTAACTACCGTTCTCAAAAAATTGAGCTGTTAGGATGTGGGCCAGGAATTGCTCTATACTCAAACAAGATGACAGGTCTCAACAGAAATGTATGTTTTAGAGGAGCTCATCAGATATGAAGGTTATAACCTGACTAGAACTGGAAATCTGGAAATTGGGTCCCCTAACTACATTGTCCTCATTTAAATCATTCATGTGTTAAGTACGTTTTAAGCAGGTGTTTGTGCGCTTCTAACACTCTAAAGTATTTATTAACCAAAAAAATCAGGGTTAGGTGATTTTCACGCTAAAGTAAAATGAATACCCAGAAACAAAACAAAAAATATATATAATAACACGATCGAAAGTTGACATGATGGTATATAATGAGTTCTCATTGGAGCAAATTAGCACATAAATTTCCAAAGAGAGTGCAGCACTAAACGCATGCGTATGATGAAAGAGAAAGAGAAACTTACCTCGGATGGTTTAGAAGAGATAATACCAATATCAAATATAAGTACTTCATTCCTTTTCATAGATGTGCAAACAACCTATATGAACAAATTAGGCAAATCTTAATGTAAGAGCAAATCAATCCAGGAGAGATAATTAAGCCAATTTAAAACAAATCAACCTTGATTAAGGGTTTCTAAACTAACAGAACAACATACTACAAAATATAAAATACATTTGTTTTCAATTACGCAGAATACGAGCATGTACACAGTGGTACTACCAACCCCATTGGTCATTCATATAAAATAGAATTAATAGCCTGAAATTATGCATGCTTAAGAATATCGGAAGGAAAAAAGAATAATCAGCCAGGTTCTATATCTATATAGTTCTTTGGAGTCACAACTGAGAAAAATGAAGCAGCCATATTGCCTTTACAATATCTATAACAATCGTATAAATTGTATTGAACTCAGACCTCATCTTGGTTAGCAAGATTCCACCGGACAAAGTCTAGTTGTTGAGGTAAAGAAAGGTGCACCACATGTTTTGTTTCATCTTCCTGCAAGCCTAGCAGGAAAAGAGGGGTTAAAAAGCCAAATAAAAATTGTTTTAATGAGCAAAAGAGCCAAGCCTTACTTTACAAGCATGCTTATATAAATTCCATGAGCACTATAACTTTACAAATTAAAATGGTCTTGTTTTTCTTCCTTCATTAAACATTCAGTATAAGCTCAAGGTTTGGCCTGTGTAAATAGAAGAGGTGAACAGCTATAACATCAGTAGCCAAAGTTATGCCCAGGAAAACCTCAAACATGTATGAATGTAAAGGTTTGCACATTAAAGTTGTATCCATTAGTTTTGTGCAATGTTATACAAGTTTAGCAGATGATATATGCATCACTCTTGCAATAAACTTGGAAATTATGAACTGATAAAATATATGCCAAAACAAGGAATAACAAGCTGTAGTGAAGGAACTTACGTAGCAAAGGTTCATTACTCTGGCAATAAAGAGTTTCAAAATCATGCACTGTTAGACACCCCGATTTTGTCACAGATACCAGGTATATTCCCTAATATATAGGGGAAAAGAGGAAATGTAAATACAAGAAAAGGAAGTGAAAAGAAAAAGCAACACACACACACACACACGCACACAACATACAAAATAAAACCAAACTAGCAAATGCAACTCGGAATGTATTTACCTTTCTGTCAAAATCAAGTGCAGATATCCCTTGCCTGAAAAAAAATCTGATTGAGCAATCTTTTCTACTACATATGAAACACAAACAAAAACACAGACACACAGACACACACACAGACACACACACACACACGTGTGTATATATATATATATATATATATATATATGTATGAGGATAATTACTGACTTTCCAATTGACGGTTGGTCGTACAAAAATGCGCCATTGTCGATCCAATTCAACTACAAAATTAAAATCCCACAAACAAAAAATCAAAATTTCTGGGAAAAAAAAATATAAAGAAGAAGTAAAGATGATAACAAACAGGGTTTGTAAAATTGCATACATGGGTTTGACACGGTCCCACCATTGATGTGGTACAAATGCGGAAATGCCCTCAGCTATATCAAACAGAAAATATATAAATCAATCAAGCAAGGTACTTGTAATGTGTAGCTAACTAATTGGTAAACTCAGTAACGGCAAAACGAATTAATGGGGCACCTCAGAATAGGATTCCATGAGCAACCCAGAGACGGAATGGCGGTAATTGGGATGGAACCTTCCGTTCAATTCGATCAGGCTTCGACTCCATCTGTGCCCAAAACAACAAAGCCCTCAATTTCAAATTGACAATAAAGCATAGAAATTGAGAAGGGTTATCGATTTGCATTTACCTTGGAGGGGGTTTTGCTGGGGTTTTGAGACGAGGGCTTCTGAGGAACTTAGGTACTTGTCCATCAGGAGTGTTCAGAGTGAGAATTAAGGTTTGGAGCTTTTAAAGGCCGCTTTTGTGTTTTTTTTTTTTTTTTTTTTTTTTTTTTTTGTGGTGTGGGTGGGTTGCTGTTCCCGCCATTTCGTCTTGTGTGTCACAGTGTATGCTAATTGCGCGCGCTCTCTAATAGGTCGGGTTGCGGGATCGGATCAACCAAATTCATACCCGGGTGGGCATTTTTTTAATATCAAAGACAATTGGTATCAAGTTTATTGTTATTAAGAATTCCTGATGATTAATGATTCCAAAAACAAAAACAAAAAAAAAACAATTCATGATGATTAAGGGTAAAAGTTATTTTTTCTTTTAGTTTTGTTGGCATTTTATTTTTCTTGATATCATACGAACTCAGGGTTAATATATTGATATCCTCTTTTTTTTTATTCTTTTATTCTAATGAATGAGGGAAATTCAAACTTGAGACATCTTTCGACTTTGTAACGAGAAATACTATCAGACTAAAAGTAACTTAGCACGTTCAGATTTTCTTTTGATATTATATATTGCTAAATGTCAATAATGTCTAACCATTCCACTAACGGTTTATTTTATGAGATAATTGAAACAAACACCATCCATTTAATGTACTGAGTATGTAGTTGCTCATTTGCTTGGCCTGAAATGTTTACCTATTTTATGCAATTATCATTTAAAAAATAAAGACTGTTAATAGAAAAATGCTTTTAAAACTTTGGTAAAAAACTTGGCATAATCCAAAAGGCCAAATCTCCATGCCTGGTTACACCAACAGTACATATTCTAAAAACATTTTAGCTAAAACCAATAAACATTTGTATGAAATGACTGTTTAATAAAGGAAATTGAAACTCTGTGTGTATATTTTGGTCTCATTACACATCATTGTTGAATTTGCTAACTACCATATGCTCCTCCTTTGTTTGTACCATGACTTTTGAACTATCATATGCTTTATGCTTTCTGATTCTCCTTCTACAGCTGCCATTTTCCACCAAAAACTATTGTGTGGTCAGCCAATGGTAATAATCCAGAGCAAAAAGGATTCAAAATTAAGCTTACTGCAGATGGACAGTTTAGGCTCAATGAGGCTGCAACAGGCAAACAAATATGAGTTGCTGATTCTGCAGGTACTGGAGTTGCCTATGCAGCCATGCTTGACACAGCCAACTGACACAATCTTGCCTACACAGACTCTAAATCAAGATGCCATACTCTTCGATATAAGGAAACAAATTACTCAAGAGGGAGATTCCAGCTTACCTTGCAACATGATGGGAATTTCGTGCTTCACACGACAAATTTCCCATTGGATGCTCCTAATTCTGCTTATTGGTCAACTCAAACATTTGATGGTAGCTCTCGGGTCATCTTCAACTAATCTGGCTCTATTTACCTTAGAGCCGGGAATGGGACAATAATTATGATGGTAATGTCCAATACAATTTCAATGCAGGACTTCTACAAGAGAGCAACTCTTGAGTATGATGGAGTTTTTAGTTACTATGTGTACCCTAAAAGTACCCGCTCAACTGTGGGAAGGTGGTCCATGGCTTGGTCTACTTTGTCCTATGTGCCTTCAAATATCTGCACCTCACTCGTGGAATATACAGGCGGCGATGCATGTGGATTCAACAGCTTATGTAGACATGATGATGAAGGAACAAGTTGCCAGTGTCCATATGGTTACAGCTATTCTGATCCAAATGATGTGTTGAAAGGATGCAAACAGGACTTTGTCTCACAAAGTTGTGATGAAGCCTCACTAGAAACAGATTCTTTTTATTTTCAAGAGATGCAGAACACAGATTGGCCTTATTCTGCGTATGATGAGGATTGGTGCAGGCAGAGTTGCCTGAGTGATTGTTTCTGCGCCGTTGCCATTTTCAGGAAAAATGAGTGCTGGAAGAAGATATTTCCACTTTCAAACGGGGTGATTGATCCCAGTGTTGGTGGAAAAGCTCTGATCAAAATGAGGAAAGACAATTCTACTTTAACACCTGGGGGCACAGATCCAGAAAAGAAAAATACTTCAACTTTGATCCTCATTGGAGCGCTCTTGAGTAGCTTGGTGTTTACGAACTGTCATAATTAGTAATGCATAAAATTATCTAGAGAATTTAGTACATTTCAATACATGTAATTAGTATATATTGAAGGAAACAGAACTGAATGAGCCTTAGCTAATAAAGGTGTTTAAGATATGTAATGTTGCGGAGTATTCTTACTATGTCTTATTGTTTTAGGACAGCTTCATGGAGGATGTCAAGATGAATTTAATTTCTAAGCAAGAATGGGTACATATGTAATAAAACAAAAATTTCTCACAGAATGTTTGCAAAAATAATCCAAAGTTTGAAAAGCTTCAAACTAAACTAGACCATTTCCTTCTGTGGGTCAAGTATTTGTTCTCATTATATACTCCTGTCTCTGTTTACTGACAGTAAAGTTTACGTTTCCGTATGCTTCTACTTACCCCTAAGATCAGTTCAATTCAAAGATTGTGTCTTGGTTTTTTCGTAGGCAAACTAATCGAAAGTACTAAAAAAAACATATATAAAACAAGCTTTGACACCTCAGACAAAGCAATAGAAACAAGGCTGATTGTATGAAAAAGGCTAAATGCTTTTAATAAGGGCAATAGATAATGTTCTCTACAGGCCAATTGCAAATTGCAATCCTACTGCAGATGATTAAATATTTTTTTGGCCGGCCTTCAATTAAGAGACAATGCAAGAAAACAGAGACTTGTACTGCTTAGTCAATGTCAACGGTACTGAAAACTAATTGAATAACAATTGAAATTCATGAGAAGCTGCAGTACTAGTACTACTGAACAAAATAGGCTTCTAACTTCAACGGATTGACGATACTCCTTCACCGAATAACAATGGCAATATATATAGAAATGTAGATATGCTTCTTGGAACCATGGCTTTTGAACTAGCATATGCTTTCTGCTTTCTGCTTATGCAGCTGCCATTTTCAACCATTGCTCAAACTGATGGCAAGAATATATCATTGGGCTCATCCCTTACTGCACTGGACAATAAGTCTTTCTGGGCCTCACCATCTGGGGAATTTGCTTTTGGTTTCCAAGAAATTGGTAAATATGGCTTCTTACTTGCCATCTGGTTTAACAAAGTACCTGAAAGAACTATTGTCTGGTCTGCCAATGGCGATAATCTAGTGCAAAAAGGATCCACAGTTGAACTCACAAGTGCTGGGCAGTTTAGGCTCAATGATATTGCAACAGGCAAACAAATCTGGGTGGCTTCTTCTTATGGTACTGGAGTTGTCTATGCAGCCATGCTTGACACAGGAAACTTCGTTCTGGCCAACCGAAACTCAATCCATTTGTGGGCGAGTTTTGATCAGCCAACTGATACAATCCTACCCACACAGACTCTTAGTCAAAACAGCAGACTCTTCGCTCGCTACACGGCATCAAATTACTCAAGAGGAAGATTCCAGCTTACCTTAGAATCTGATGGGAATCTCAGGTTTTACACAACACTATTCCCATTGGATTCAATTAACTCTCCTTACTGGTCAACCAACATTATGGACAGTGGCGTTGAGCTGATGTTCAACCAGTCTGGCTCCATTTACCTTACAGCCAGTAACGGAAGCATACTTACAATGTTATCAGACGAAATAGTTTCAATGCAAGATTTCTACCAGAGAGCAACTCTTGACTATGACGGAGTTTTCAGGCACTATGTGCACCCTAAAAGCACTGGCTCAAGTGTCAGGTCATGGAACATGGCTTGGTCCACCTTGTCCTCCAAACCTAAAGATTTATGCATGAGTATTTTTCAAGATAAAGGCGTTGGCGCATGCGGGTTCAACAGCATATGTACACAGGACCAAGGACCAATTTGCCAATGTCCATATGGTTATACCGATATGGATCCAGCTGATGTGTGGAAGGGATGCAAACCGAACTTTGTTCCACAAAGCTGTGGTGAGGCCTCATCACCAGAGGCACATCTTTTTTATTTTGCAGAGATGCAAAATACGAATTGGCCTGTGACTGAATACAACTATTTTCAGCCGGCAACTGAGGACTGGTGCAGGCAGGCTTGCCTAGCTGACTGTTTCTGTGCCGTTGCCAATTACAGAGACGGGCAGTGTTGGCTGAAAGGAAGCCCACTTTTCAATGGGAGGATTGAACCCGGTAGCGGAATAAAAGCTCTGATCAAGGTAAGGAATGAAAGTTCAACCTTGATATCTGGTGACAGAGATTCGAAAAAGAAAGACAATTCAACATCGATCCTTGTTGGATCACTTCTCTTGAGTAGCTCAGGGTTTCTTAACGTCCTCTTACTGCTAATAACCTATCTGCTTGTTTCTCGCATGTATTGTGGAAAAGCAAAGGTTATTCAACCTTACCTGGCCATGAACTTGAAATATTTCACTTATGAAGAGCTAGAAGAAGCTACCAATGGATTCAAGGAAGAACTAGGCCGTGGTGCTTTTGCAACAGTTTTTAAAGGAGTTTTAAGGTCGTCTGATAATGGGAAATATGTTGCTGTCAAAAGATTGGACAATATGGTTAAAGACAATGAGTTGGAATTCAAAGCTGAAATTAGCTCAATTGGCAAAACAAATCACAAAAATTTGGTCCAACTACTAGGATTTTGCAACGAGGGGCAGCACCGAATTCTTGTATATGAGTTTATGAGCAACGGATCTTTAGCGGGCTTCCTCTTTGGAGAGTCAATGCCAAATTGGTACAAAAGAAGGCAAATTGCCTTGGGAATTGCAAGAGGGCTCTTGTATTTACATGAAGACTGCAGCAGCCAAATCATACATTGTGACATTAAGCCTCAAAACATTCTTCTAGATGACTCTATCGGTGCAAGAATATCTGACTTTGGATTGGCCAAGCTTTTGAAAATGGACCAGACTCACACCACTACTAGAATCAGGGGAACTAAAGGGTATGTGGCCCCTGAATGGTTTAAAAACTTGCCCATCACACTGAAGGTGGATGTTTACAGCTATGGCATTTTGCTACTGGAGATTCTTTGCTGCAGGAGGAACTTTGAACAACAGGCAGAGGATGAAGATCAAATGATACTAGCTGATTGGGCATATGATTGCTATGAGCAAAAGAAACTGCATCTACTATTCAAGAATGATAACGAGGCAATGGAAGACATGAAGACGATGGAGAAGTATGTGATGATCGCAATATGGTGCATTCAGGAGGATCCATCACTGAGACCGACAACGAAGAAACTCACACTAATGCTTGAAGGAACTGTTGAAGTCTCAATTCCACCAAATCCGTCCTCATTTACAAGTTCAATAATGTAAGTAGTCTGTATTTTGGATCACCAGGGCCCCAAGCCATAAACTTAGTGAATCTCAGGTAGCCTTGCATCTTCTTCTACTCATTGTGACATCTTAAACCATATGTATTCAATGGACACTGAATATGTATTCAATGGTATCAATTTTCTGTCAAAATAAACACATTTATTGACACTGCAGTAAATTATGCATTTTCAATTGAAACCATCAACAACTTGCATGGATTGAATAACAAAAAGGGTCACAAGTGTTGAAGAATATAAGTCCCACATCGGAAACCTGACTAAATAACGTTCATAACGTTGAAGGCTTCAAGCAAGCTGCATCTTTGACTATGAGCCAAGTTGAAATGTTCAATTGACGTGCAGCAACATAAAAGCAAAAGTCTAAACATGTTTTGAACATTTGGGCATATTAATCGGCTCCTATCTAGAACTATAAGGTTCAAAATTACAAAAACATATTCAATATCAATTAGTCAATCAAGCCAAGACACTGTCTACTTAACCTCTCAGGTATTAACAAAATTGTGTAATAATTCACAAGCAAAGGCTATCTTCAAGGATGAAACATCTGATGCAATTGACTAAAATAAGCATACACTGTTATATTCCTATTTAGATCGGTGTACTAGATACTAAGTTATATCAGGGTTGATAGGAGTTTAAATTAGGTTATACCTTAAGGCCTAAGATTTTGTGAAATAAGGAAAGTTTTGAAGCTAATTAAAGAGGTCCTATTTATTTCCTTTTCTGTGAACCATTGCTTGATGGGCTTATAGTCTTAGTCAAGTCGGCATTCGGTGATGAGTAGAGACGACTTGACATAGCCCTATATAAGCTTAAGATCCTGCTCTTGTCAGATATGTTCTCTAACCCTAATATCATCATAAAGAGAGAGCTGAAACAGTTTCTGAGAGATGGCATAAGTCTTAAGTCATTCGTGTCTTTTGCTCGTGCTGCTGCTGCTACGATTGGATGAGTTCTGAGATTGTGTCTCAAGGAAGATGATGACAAGTATGTCTTTTATGTATTTCAAGTTGTGTGAAAGATCATGAACAAATATACAGAAAATCTAACATAGACTACAAATATCAAACCAACTAAGTTAGCCATAGAACCTTCAAGATTTCTACTTTACATTTTTCCAATTCCAAAACCCATGTGATGGGGATCGAGGTCAGGATGCAGGTCACTAACCACATACACGAGTACCGAAATCTAGGGCTAGTGCAAACTCACATATATCGTAGCAAATCCATGTCACAAATAAACTATTTCATTAATCATCAACATCAACTCCCCTATAACTATTACATTAGCCTTATTTATAGGCTTTACAAGACTTAGGCGTCAAGGCTACTTGGTCCAAAAGTAAGCTAATTAATGATAAAATTACACATAAATAATAAAAGATATCCTAAAACTACATAAATAAGAAAATAACAATATATCATGAAATAACTAATTAAATGGTGAACAAGACTTAGTTCTATTTCCCAAACCCTAGCCGCTCTCTCCCTTTGTGAGTCATAAAGGAAAATTCCATAGAGGGGGGAGGAGGAAGAAGCATCACTGCCCCTCTTCCTCCTTTTCTCTTCTTGTCTTTTCCTGTTAGGTTAGTGAATAAGTCCACTAGGGCGATTTGAATAAAAAGCCTCTTGTTGTGGTTTCTTCTAAGCCATGGTTAGATTGAAGTTCCTCATCACTCCCTTTAGGTTATGTTCTCAATCAAATCCTACTCCCAAAAACCGCTCCCTAACCCGCTCATGTTCTTTAAATTTGATTTTACATCGTCTTTGACGGAGGTTGATGCAAATCACCCAACTGTTCTTTGGCAAAGTTATTGTTTTCGTTTATTTGTTCGCTCTTATGCACAGGTAGATAGCCGGAAATCATATTTTCCCCAGATTCGTTATGGATGCGGTGGTGGGTGTGGCCGTGACGAAGCTTCTTCAGGTGGTGGTGGTAAGATTTATTTAGGCTCATGGGTTGATTTAGGGTTTTTGTTATGTTGGGTTTGTGGGCTTTGTTTGGGCTTATGACTAATTGTGGTGATGAGGGCTAGTAATTTTAGTACGGCTTTTGTCCGTGTTAGTTTTGCTTTTAGCAAGTTAGTTTGTTGTCCTCTTGGGATTGGTATTTTAGATGTCTTTGATTATACCGTTGAAGTTTATCTAATGAAGTTTCTATTTGATAAAATAAAAAAAAATAAAAAACCTAATTAAATGGTAAATATCTATCTTGATCCACCCTATGCTCCTACATCACCATGGACCATGACAAAGCATAAAACTCCATTACCAGCCTTTGGAACAAAAGCTTCCAAATCACAAGTTCTGTATGGCTAAGATATTCCACCATGAAGAATGCCAAAAATTATGTGTATTTTATCATAACAACTCAAACTTAACCTTAGCTCCTAAACTCAAAATTATCATAACAACTCAACCTTAGGTCCTAAACTGAGCAGAATTGAGTATAAAAAAAAGCCCAGACCAGATTTCCCCCAAACTCATTCGCTCACTGTTGAGGGTGTAATAGGTTTAAATCAATGGCTCCTTCCCCTAACAACTTTTTAAAACATTTGTATTATATAAGTTAAATAATATAAGTCCTACATTGGAAACTCGACAATGTATGTAGGACTTATTTTACTACTTAACATAATATTTGCATTATATAGGTCCCACATTGGAAACTTAATTAAATAAAATGAGTCATACATACTATTTCAAGTTGGGCATGCTAACATCTTTGCTCCAACTTGAGAGGGAGTGTTGGCGAGTCCATCTTTACTATGTTAGGATTTTGGTTACTTACCTATTTATTTAGTTATATTGTAATTTAGATTTATTTACTTGTGGAGTGAGCCAAAAAGCCCAAATAAACTAAAACGCCATCCCATTTTCATATGTAATTGCTCGACACATCATTGTTTACATATTGTATGCAATCATTATTTAGTAAACATTGATTGCTCCATACACACATACATGCATTCATATATAATATATAGGATATGTGTATATATACTAGCCTGAGGAGAGCATTAATTGGTTTGGTATTTAAGCACCGCTAATTGCCTTTGGAATTGTAAGAGGGCTCCTGTGTGTTCGAAAAATATAATATGTTTAGGGTTTTGAAGGGTAATAACAATGCCCGGACGTCCGTATAAAGAGAAAATCTTTTTTATATAAATATATATATATATATATATATTCTCTTGAAGCCAAGCTAGAGCAAGCTTTATATTTCATAAACAGGCTTTTACCCTTCAGCTAAGAGACAATGCAGGAAAGAACTGGGTCAATGTCTGTTGTAATTGGATAACACAGTAGAATTAATAAGATGGATTGCCAAAATACTCCTCCTATTAACAAAGAGATATATAGGGCAAAATAATGGTTGCTTGCTGTTGTGTTTTCACCATTAACTCCTCCTCTAGTCTCTTTGAGAAGTATGCTTCTTCCTACCATGGCTTTTGAATTATCCTACCCTTTATTCTTTCTGCTTCTTCTTTTACAGTTGCCATTTTCCACCACAGCTAAAGCTCACAAAAATATCTCCCTCGGCTCGTCACTTAATGCACTGAACAAAGACTCTTTCTGGACCTCACCAACTGAGGAATTTGCTTTTGGTTTCCAGGAAATTGGTAAACATAGCTTCTTACTTGCCATCTGGTTTAACAAAATACCTGAAAGAACTATTGTCTGGTCAGCCAATGGCAATAATCTAGTGCCAAAAGGATCCAGAGTTGAGCTCACTGAAGATGGCCAGTTTAGGCTCATTGAGTTTAGAACAGGCAAGCAAATATGGTATGCTGATTTTACTGGTGTTGTCTATGCAGCCCTGCTTGACACCGAAAATTTTGTGATGGCTAACCGAAACTCAATCAGTTTGTGGGAGAGTTTTGATCAACCAACTGATACAATCTTACCTACACAGACTTTAAATCAAGGAAACATACTCTTTTCTCGATATACAGAAACAAATTACTCAAGAGGGAGATTCCAGCTCACACTACAAGATGATGGAAATGTAGTGCTTTACAAAACCAAACTTCCCATTGGATTCTTCTAATTCTGCTTATTGGTCAACCCATACCTTTTTTGGTGGCTATCAGGTCATCTTCAACCATGATGACTCTGTTTACATTGAATCCGAGGATGGGGTAATACTTAGGACAATATTATCCAATACATTTTCAATGCAAGACTTCTACCAGAGAGCAACTCTTGAGTATAATGGAGTTCTTAGGTACTACTATGTCTACCCTAAAAGAACTAGCTCAAATATGAGGTCGCCCAGGGCCTGGTCTACTTCTTCATATATACCTTCAAATATCTGCGCCTCAATTTCGGAAGAGACAGGAAGCGGTGCATGTGGGTTCAACAGCTTATGTAGACAGGATGATCAAGGACCAAGTTGTCACTGCCCCAATGGTTACAGCTTTATTGATCCAAATGATGTTCTGAAAGGATGCAAACAGGATTTTGTTTCACGAAGTTGTGATAAAACGTCACAAGAAACGGATCATTTTCATTTTGAAGCTATGCAAAACACGGATTGGCCTAATTCTGACTATGACCATTTTCAGGAGGTATCTGAGGATTGGTGCAGGCAGGAATGCCTTGGTGATTGCTTTTGCGCCGTTGCCATTTTCAAAACCAGTGAGTGTTGGAAGAAGAGAGTTCCGCTTTCGAACGGGTTGATTGACCTCAGTCTTGGTACAAAAGCTCTGATGAAAATGAGGAAAGACAATTCTACTTTAAAATAAAGAAAGATACCTTAACTTTGATCCTCATTGGAGTGCTCCTGAGTAGCATGATGTTTATGAACTTTTGGAATTAGCAATACCAATTATCTAGAGAATTTGGAATGTTTCAGTACATGTATTTCGTATGCATCAAAGTGAACCGAACTTGACAAGCCTTGTCTTAAGATGTTTAAGATAATGTTATGTATTGAGTTTACTATTTCTGATTGGTTTGTGACAGTACTATTTACTGGAGGAGTTCATATCCTCCATATAAACACCCTTCGCTAAGAAAATTTTTGTATGGCTAAGTTCCACCATGAAGAATGTCAAAGAGTTGCTTGAACGAACTGCTCCTTGCTCATTATAACTTCAATCTATATGCATAAATTACACCAGCTCCATACTTGCCATGTAAATCTCTATCTGATATGTGCCTTCAATGGTTAATTTTATGTTGCAGAAGTAATGTCTTTAAACTGAACCACCATGGAAAAACTTGCCTGGACTGAAGAAACAAAGAGAAGACTAGGGGTTCAGAGCAAGGGCCTCTCATGCAAACCACTTGGAAATCCTACCACAAATGAGCACAGAATTGTTTTTTTTTAGTTGTGTTATTATGCTAGCCTTCTGATAACATAGAACAAGTGTTATTATGCTAGCCTTCTGATAACATAGAACAAGTGTACTGCAGTCACTGGATTTTTGTTTCCCAACAGAATCTAAGCTCAACTAACGTAGGTAAACTAAAAACTGCAAATCCAACTACTGCTAAATCAAATTTTATTGAAAAGAATGTACTAGACTTCAATTATTAAATTTCTGGAATGAGGGGCATCATTCTGTATTAGTTAAGAGTGATGCCGCTTTAGCAGGCTTTCTATTTGAAGAGTCAAGACCAAACTAGTACCTAAGAGGCAAACTGCCTTTTGAATAGTTTGCAAACGACTACTAGAACCAGGGGAGCTAAAGGCTTTGTGGCCCCTGAATAGTTCAAAAACTGTCCCACAGTGAAGGTGGATGCTTACAGCTATGGAATTCTGTTACTAATTGACATTGTAATATATTTATGTACATGACATCAAAACTTTTTCAATTGTAAAATTATTTGCTATATTGAAAAGCATTTACAATATCCAAGCATAATAATTCACACTTCCACACCTTTACAATCACCACCATGATGATGCCCAAGAAAACAAATTGCTTGAAAAAATAATAATAATAATAACCCAAACAAAAAGCTATCTTCTTTTCTTTCTAGCATCAAGGAACAAACACAAATTACAATTTGGAAGACTTCTATTTTTGAGACTTGATGTTAAGGTCCAACTTCATGGTGGATGTCCAGAAGAATTCTCTAAGCCAGAGGCGGTTTCTTCTGTTTCGGTATGGGTGTATATTTAGTAATAAAAAACAATTACTTGCACAGGATTTGCTTCTTGGAGTCGAGCATTTTTCTCACTGTATATGCCGGTCACTATTTAGTGGCCTCTTAAACTAAAGACAAGATTTTTTGTTGGACATCTTAAAAATATTTTAAAATACAACTCAGAACATGATTATAGGCCTCAGACAAGAAAATAGTGGCAAATTACATTGCATGGAGATAAGGATTATGTTTTAAAACCACTGAAAAAGACTCGTGAAATGATCCAAAAATGTCAAATGACCACGTCTACACCAACTGTTTATCTTCTAAGACAGTTCAACTAAAACACCATCTACTTCCATATTTAATTCCTTGACCTCCATGTTTACAGAGTGTTTGCAATCATGTTTCTATCAACGAGATTGTCAACACATCGAACAAACCAATTTTTTGGTGCATCCAATAAAGATGTGTGTATATATTAAGCACCAAAAAGGACACGTGTTGCGTGTTTGAAGGGTGTCTACTGTGTTTGTTTCTTGGGAAAGCCAAGAGAAAACTGATTTGAATGAGATAGAAATGCCTGAAGGGTTGCTCCTGAACATAATGTCCAGATGCCAAGCTAGAGAATTTTTTATATTTAATGCAGGAAAGCATTGACTTCCTTTCATTTTAGCAGATATAAGACATGGAAAATTCTTGGTCAACATCTGCTTGAATTGAATAATAGCAGAAATGAGAAGCTGCGGTTGTGAATAAAAGCTTCCAATGGATTGTGACTCATATATAGTGCAAATGAATTGTCCCTAGTGAAATATCCCTCTGACTATAATGGCTTTTGAACTAGCATATGCTTTCTGCTTTCTGCTTCTCCTTCTACACCGGCCATTTCCCACCACTGCTCAAACTAACAAGAACATACCTTTGGGTTCATCCCTCACTGCAGACAATAGCTCTTTTTGGGCCTCACCATCTGGGGAGTTTGCTTTCGGTTTCCAAGAAATTGGTAGAAACGGCTTCTTACTTGCCATCTGGTTTAACAAAATACCAGAAAGAACTATTGTGTGGTCAGCCAATGGTAATAATCTAGTGGCAAAAGGATCCAAAGTTGAGCTCACTGCAGATGGACAGTTTAGGCTCAATGATGCTGCATCAGGCAACCAAATATGGGTTGCTGATTCTGCTGGTACCGGAGTTTCCTATGCAGCCATGCTTGACACTGGAAATTTTGTGCTGGCTAACCGAAGTTCAATCAATTTGTGGGAGAGTTTTGATCAACCAACTGATACAATCCTACCTTTGCAGACTCTAAATCAAACAAGCACACTCTTTGCCCGCTACACAGCAACAAATTACTCAAAAGGAAGATTCCGCTTTGCACTACAACCGGATGGAGACCTCTTGCTTTACACAACACACTTCCCATTGGATTCTGCTAATACTATCTATTGGTCAACCGACACTGCGGGTGGTGGTTATCAGGTCATCTTCAACCAGTCTGGCTCTATTTACCTTACTGCCAGGAACAGAAGCATACTTCATATGATATCAAACAGCACAGTTTCAACCCAAGATTTTTACCAGAGAGCAACTCTTGACTATGATGGAGTTTTGAGGCACTATGTCTATCCTAAAAGCACTGGCTCAAGTGCTGCTGGGTGGCTCAAGGCTTGGACCAGTTTGTCCTTCATACCTCCAAATATCTGCATGACAATTTTGCAAGAGAAAGGCGGCGGTGCATGTGGTTACAACAGTATATGTAGACATGACCAGGGAACAATTTGCCAGTGCCCACCTGGTTATAGCTTCATTAATCCAGATGATGTGTTGATGGGATGCAAAAAGAACTTCATTTCACAAAGTTGTGATGCTGCCTCACCAGAGACAGATCATTTTTATTTCCAAGAGATGCAAAACACAGATTGGCCAAAGTCTGAATATGAGAAGTTTGAAGTTGTAACTGAGGATTGGTGCAGGCAGGCTTGCCTAGCTGATTGTTTCTGTGCCGTTGCCAATTTCAGAAATGGCCAGTGTTGGCTGAAGGGAAGCCCCCTTTTGAACGGGAGGGTCGACCCCATTAATGGTGTAACAGGTCTAGTCAAAATAAGGAAGGAAAATTCAACCATGGGACCTGGTGGTGGATATTCAAAAAAGAAAGACAATTCAACTCTGATCGTAGTTGGATCGGTGCTCCTGAGTAGCTCAGGGTTTCTAAACTTCCTTTTACTGCTAACAATCTATTTGGTTGTTTCACGCATCTATTATAGAGAAGCAAAGGTGAGTCAACCTTATCTCGTCATGAATTTGAAATATTTCACTTATGAAGAGCTAGAAGAAGCTACCAATGGATTCAAGGAAGAACTAGGCCATGGTGGTTTTGCAACAGTTTTCAAAGGAGTTTTAGGGGCTGATATGGGGAAATTTGTTGCTGTCAAAAGATTAGATAGTATGGTTAAAGAAAGTGAGTTGGAATTCAAAGCTGAAGTGAGCGCAATTAGCAGAACGAACCACAGAAATTTAGTCCAGCTACTAGGATACTGCAACGAAGGGGAGCACCGAATGCTTGTATATGAGTTTATGAGCAACGGCTCTCTAGCTGGCTTCCTCTTTGGAGAGTCAAGGCCAAACTGGTATCAAAGAAGGGAAATCGCCTTAGGAATTGCAAGAGGTCTCTTGTATTTGCATGAGGAGTGCAACAGCCAAATCATACATTGTGACATTAAGCCTCAAAACATTCTTCTAGACGACTCTTTCACAGCAAGAATTTCAGACTTTGGATTGGCCAAGCTTTTGAAAATGGACGAGACTCACACTACCACCGGAATGAGGGGAACTAGAGGCTATCTGGCCCCTGAATGGTTTAAAAACATGCCAATCACAGGGAAGGTAGATGTTTACAGCTATGGCATTATGTTGCTGGAGATTATTTGCTGCAGGAGGAATTTTCAAGAAGAGGCAGAGGATGAAGATCAAATGGTTCTAGCTGATTGGGCATACGATTGCTATGAGCAAAAGAAAGTGCATCTGCTATTACAGAATGATGATGAGGCAATGGAAGACATCAAAAAGTTGGAGAAGTATGTGATGATCGGAATGTGGTGCATTCAGGAGGATCCATCACTGCGACCCACGGCAAAGAAACTGACGATGATGCTCGAAGGAACCGTGGAAGTATCAATTCCCCCAGACCCATCCTCATTTACAAGTTCAATACAGTAAGTGCTTGTATTGTATGCATGTTAGAGCATCAAAAGACTCAAAACCATCAACTTGGTGAGGCAGGCAGTCTCAGTGTTTTCGGGTACATTCCTTTGTGTTCATTCATTGTCATTAATTTTCAGGTAAATACATACATTTACTGAAATTGCAGTAAATTTCTGCATTTTCACTTGATTCAAATCAACATAAAAAACTTGAATGGATTGAATAACAAAATGGGTCAATCAAGGCAAGCCATTTAAACAAGTCTGAAGCTAAGATCAAGCAAAAGATTTCATCTTGCAGTGTCAAAAGTCTAAGCACGTGTTGGACATTTATTTTGAAATATTAAAATAATTCATGTCTAGATGGTTGAATATTTCAACAAAACCAATTCAGTCTTCAAATATAAACTAGTCAATTTAAGCATGGAATTCAATTAGCAAGCAAAGATTTACCATTCAACCTTCAAGATTCAAACTTTACATATCCACTTCCAAATCCCACCAAAAAGCATGAAGAATCTACTACATACTGTTAATTCCAAAACCCTAGATTTCGGGTTTCTAAGCCCTCTCCCCCCTAATCCTACGAGCAAGCTGGATGTCCTTGGGCATAATGGTGACCCTCTTGGCATGAATGGCGCAGAGATTGGTGTCCTCAAAGAGACCTACCAAGTAGGCCTCCGCCGCCTCTTGCAGCGCCGCCACGGCGCTGCTCTGGAACCGGAGATCGGTCTTGAAGTCCTGAGCAATCTCTCTCACAAGCCTCTGGAACGGAAGCTTGCGGATCAAGAGCTCAGTGCTCTTCTGGTACTTCCTGATCTCTCTCAGCGCCACAGTCCCTGGCCTGAAACGATGAGGCTTCTTCACTCCTCCGGTAGCGGGAGCCGACTTCCGAGCAGCCTTTGTTGCCAGCTGCTTGCGAGGGGCCTTCCCTCCGGTGGACTTACGAGCAGTCTGCTTGGTACGAGCCATTGAGAAAAAACGAATTCGAAGGTCTGAAGGATTTTGATTGACTGTGTTTGTTTCTCGGGAAAATTGGAGAAACTTGACTTAGATGCGATGGAAATGGGGGAAGCTTTGGGGGTATTTAATTGCTGGGTGGGGAGAGGAATCGCGGGAACTTCGAAATTTTGTGTTTCCTGTGAAAAAATTTGGAGGAGGAGAGGCGGGAATCTGAGCCGTTGATAAGTCTTCAAATCGAGGGCCGTGGTTCATCGATCCGTAGCACTACGAACCAGCCAATGGTAGCGTGCTTTACCCTTTTTGTAAAGATGGTTAAAGCATGGGCTGTTCTACTCTTAAAACAGCCCCTTGAAATTTCTTCCAATAAATTGGCCCAGAAAAATGAAAAAGAAAAAATCATAATAAATTATGCATCTAAAATCTCGATTATTATCAAACCCAAGACAATGGAGATTCGTTGCAATTGATTTTTATTAGGGTTCACAATGGGCTGTAAATCAAAAGAAAATATATTTAAAACACACCATATAACATTAACATATTAATAATATATTATACTGGTGATGTTACGATCACATCGAAAAAAGATCTCCACTTGCTTTCATAGAGCTAATAAATTTATACACACCCAGATAAGAATTATGACTTACATTTCTCTAGCTATACATGATTTAGAAATCCTGCTGTGTGATATTGTTCTATAATATGTATATTTCTATTCTCTAAATTGAGCTAAAGGGTGCCTATTTGCAAGACCTCTATGCATAACAAGTTAACAACAATCAAAGAGAAGGAGAACAAAATAAGGAAAAAGCACATCACTGCTAGAAAGTGAAGAGCCAAAAACAAAAACAAAAAAATCATACCCAATTGCTAGAAAGTGCAAAATCATGGAACCTAAAAGAGGATTCTCCAGCTGTATCTCTCTCAAGCCTGACCTCTGATAATCTCTGGGAGACACCTTCACTGCTACTTTCATCTTCAAACACTTCTTGTGGAAGAGGTTGTATTTGGTTCTCATTTGGTTGTCTAGCCAATTGAACCTCAGGCGGCAATGGAATGATTGGCGGGGGAGAGGCGCTGCTCCTGAACCTGGTTTGGCCTGCACTCGGAGAAACGACGGCTCGATCCCACATGAAGACATGCATGGAAATAGGAACCTTGGCGTGCCGGTGGAGGGAGAGCTTCTGGCTGAGAGAAATGGTGTCGAAGCATCGAACTGCTCCGGTTGAAGAAACCATCCAAGGGAGCACCTTCTGGTTTGAGACCCTTGAGACCACCAGCAGCCTTGATGCCTCCATTGCTTCCTCGTACAAATTGCTCAGCCCCGATCGGCTTGAAGGCGTGTTTTCATCACCATCTACGACTGATGAAATGTATATAAACCCCTGCCAATGACAATAGGTACGATTTATCAAGTAATCCTTCAGATTATATTATTTGACAGATTGGATTCACTTGTTACACGCAATTGTTGTAATTAAACTAAACAGATACATCAACTGTTACATAATATGTTTACCTCTTCTGTGCGGCTAATGGCGAAGCCAAGCTTAAAATCACCTTCTTGTAATTTGATCTCAATAGGGATTTCACCCCCAAGAGGAGCATACCAAAGTCGAACGGCTCGGACTACACCAATGTCAACCCCATGGTAATCTTCAAAACCATATAAGCTTGCGCTTGCAAGATCAGCTAAGTCAGATAATGACCCTGCATTTACAGTGGAAGAAGCTGTCTCTCCAGAAATCTGCCATAAATGCAATGCAACAATACCAAAAACACACACATCTATTACACTCTTCCAACTCAAACTGGAACTTTAATTTTGAAACACCTATAGAAGTTAAAATAGCCCTACTTGTGCCACATAATCAAAGATCTTCATTAAAATACCTTTGTAAGGAGGGACTCAGTCTGGATGTTCATGAAGACGACGGGGACGCCGGAGGCCTGGGAGGCGATGAGCCAGACATTAGCCCTAGCAAGGGTGTCCTCCAAGTCGTTGTAGCGAGAAGCAGATCGATCTGAAGCCTTTGGAAGGAAGAGGACAGATATAAAGCCACTGGAATGGGGAACTGCTAGCATCTCCTGCATTCTCCTTTCCCATGGATATGAGACATACCCATCTTGAAGCCTACCTCTTGTCAGCGCACTCACCATCCTCGAGTTCCTTGAAGCTGCACATTTATGAAACATACATACATGCACCATGCATGCATTCAACTCATCATCATCTATTTCACACTTTTTTGGATTTTTTAAAGTGATCATGGAACAGTGCTACTATTATTTAATTAAACAATAAAAGTTGAATTGAACTATTAATTGATGGGACATAATTTACTCGTATCACCATCATCACATCATTCCTCTCTTCCAAGTGGGAATGTAATGCACATGTACAACATCAGTCCAATATCCAAACTATTGTAATGATGTGTATGGAAGTTGGCCGAAGAGAAAAGTCACGAGTCTCCACGTGTAGAAGTTGTTGTGTGCTGCCTAAAGGCGGTTTTGCTTTCATACAACGAAACGCATGCCCAAAAAAATATCACCAAGTGGCCCAATTAATAAATAGATAATTACCACCACGGCAATAACAAAATATAAAGGCAAAATGTCACTATTCCTCTTTGTTATTCCCCGCAATTCAAGGACACATTCAAATTTCTATTCATCTCTCTTATGTAATAAGCATGATATAGAAGGTTGTTTCGGAAGGAAATTTTGTACAGAATTTGACAAAATTTACAACATATCATTGAATTATGAGGGATTTTAAATCCAAATTTACAAAATTAAAACTACGGGACTAGAGTGGTAAAACCGACACACTACCTCGATCAAAAATTACCTTTTGCCTAGTATAATTGTTTTTCACATGAATTACTAAAAGGAAAAAAGCAAAGTAATAGTTAGTCAACGCAAAAGTCAATGTGATGATGGGTAATGGTACCTTGGAGCTCGAAGCAGTCGGCCTCCGTGCGATCGCAGAAGCCGACGGTATAATTGGGGTCGGCAATGGACCTGAGCATGTACTGCTTGCTCCGACCGGAAGAGTCGTTCGGGACGATGCACGCCTGCAACTCCGCGAACTCGTCTCGACCGCGTCGGACTTTGACGAGGATAGAAGTGTCCTTGGCTTTAAAGGAGGCGTGGAGGATCTTCTGGACTCCGCTCTTTCCGTTCTTAAACGGCGACTTGACGGTGACGGAGGTGCCGATACGGAGCTCCTCGACGATGTCTCCGGTCTGGAGCATGTCTCCAGTCCACTCGTCGGCTTTGGAGCTGCCTTTGAGGCATTCGATGGACAGCATCACAGGGGATTTGGGCTCTCGGGTCGGGGAGTCTGAGCTCGGTTGCGGTCGGTCCATGGTCATGATCTCTGCTTGATACGGTGCGTTTGACGCTTTTATATGTAAATGTTACTGTATATATGCGTACCCCAGAGAGAGAGAGAGAGAGAGAGAGAGAGAGAGAGAGAGAGAGAGAGAGGGAGGGTTGAAGGAAAATGGCTAGAGGAGATGATTTTGAAATATTGGAAGTGATGGGCAAATGAGTAAAAGTCAATGAATTTGAAGGGGGGAGGGGCTGTTTTGGAGGTTTGTGGTTTTGTTTTTCACTCAAACTCAATTTCTCTGAATTTTCTCCAATATTTTGTATGCATAAAATAAATATCACTATCATATCAGATGCTATGAATATCATATATGATCCTAAATTATTTATTTTTCCTAGCTAATGATGCTATGTTGAAACTTTAAGGTTTATGATATGATATTTCTTCAGGTGCACTTGCTCTCAGCTCTCTCTGTCATAATATTATTTTTCTTTTTAATTTGCTAGTTTTTTCACAACTGGGTATTATTATATATGGAATTTGGATAAGAACATGGTACTGGGATTTACCTTGATACCTGGTAGTAGAAACTATATTATAGAGCTCAAAGCCCTTTCTTTTTTTTTTCTTCTTCTTTGGAATGGAAGCGATTGGGGGATTAAGGTTTACACGAATATTCATTGAGTATCTAAAAGTTTCAAACTTATGCC